TGCATCAACCAAGTCAGCGAGCCTGACCACACGATCCCGTTAGTCGCCTAATGACAAGCACAGTCATGCAATACACATTGCCCAAATACTATCAACAGACAGAACGGATTATGTTAATCTTTATTAAACATTATTGAGCTGGTTATCACAGTAATTAGGTAAAATCAACATTCACAACAAATCAACACCTACACACATGGTCCAAGGCTGTGTTAAACATGTAAGCTGTCACCCAATCACAGAGCATCAATCAATATACTGTGAAGAGAAGAAACTTATCAAATAAAAGTATTTAAAATCAACATAATAAAATATAAGATCGTTTTTGATTTCTTAAACATAGTGGGCTCCCGAATAAGAATAGTTTGCTTAACCATTCCCAACTGACCAATATCAGCGGGCTTAAAACTAATTTTCAAAAGATTTGACATTTGTATTGTGGAACCTCTCTTGAACCCAATTTCTCAATAATGTGACATGTCAATGATTACTGATCAAACTGTGGGCTCTTATAGTTTGAAGACTCTCGTATTCAAGAAAACAAAATAAATGCCTGCTACAATCAGGACTTGTAAACAAAGAAAGAGCAAATTTAAAATATTTGGCCTGAAGACCTTTCATTCTCCACCTCCCAATCATAATTAACCACGTACAGGTCTTCTCAAGTTTCCCTCTAGATAGGTTGGCATTATTTTCTTACCTTGGCCCCTTTTGCAAATCACATTTTAGGCATGTTGCTCTCTCAAAGTAACCTTGTGAGCATGGTTAGAGGTACTAGTTCCCGTCTACTTTCAATAATAGACCTATGATCATGTCTTCCTATTGTTCTCAGGGTTTCTTGAAATAGTGGAAAGCCGACAAACTTGCTAGTGTCCATGCCTTAGGCATTCTGGCTTCAGATGTCTGCATGCTCCACGTGGTCTTTCTCTCGCTCGCTGTTATCAAATTGGTTTTATACTGTGACTACTGTATTGTTTCCCTATAAGGTATTCCTTATTCTGGTATTTCTTGCAGTTAGTCAGTTTATAAGTTGGATAAAACACTTCCCTGAGGTTTGGGTTAAAAAAAGTAAAATTTCTCACTCGTGAATACGTTTTCATACAAAACCTTGGAGAAGTCTTTTATCCTTTACTGAATAACTTATTTAACTGAATTGACAAAACACATTAAAATGTAACATTCTTCATGTTACATGTTACAGAGAGCACAAATAACTTTTTCAACAAGGTTTTCATGACAAAACATCAGCCGGTAAACAAGCAAAGGTGAGAAAATGTAATACATTTTGGAATTCAAATAGACTGGTCCATTCAGGTAAAAATGAAACGAACTGAAATTATTCAAAATTTCATTTATCAAAATTAATAATACAAAACAGATCATCGAAGGAAGTTATATTCAAGAACACAAGCAATTCAAAAGTAAAACAATGGTATGCATTTAATGAAAATACCTCCAAATATATATTACTTATAAAAACGGAACACGGTTTAGAAAATCAAAAGTGATTTCTTTGGTTAAATGACACTTTGTATAAATGATGAGTGGAATAAGATCCAAATACTGTTTACTATAAAGAAAGAAAATACAAACTGTGCATCTCGAGATAATCTCGAGATGCTAGTAAATACTTCTGTCCCTAATTCAATCCAAATCTCATTCTTGCTTAATGAAACACTAACAGTACAGGCACTTGATGAATCAACATCATCACCTTCAGATCTTAGCTCTCGCATCTGCTACACCATGTACACCATGTACACAATGTACTTACTAAGCTGATGTGATATCAGCAAGCTTTGGTGAAGCGACAGTGAGCACTAACATCTGATTTTGATGAGATTGCTGATGAACAAACTTCTATTAGAAATTAAGCGTGACATATCCCCTTTTCCAGTGCTATGTGGTACAAGTGTAGCTCTGTGGTACGTTAAAGTTGACGGTGATGTTATACACATGTAAAAATGTTAAGCTGAGCTCCGCCTCTATTTCCATATATTCCGGATTTATCATTTAGAAACATCTACTATAACATTGGCTGATGTAAAGCCTAATATATTTCAATATGAGTATGTCACTTTTCATCAGAAAATAAATACAGGATATGATTTAAAAACAATTGCTATTTCATATGGAAATATATAGTTACCTTTGCTTAATTATATAGCAGGTCTACACATGGATTTCATATGTATCAATGTTGGAAGTTTCATGTTCTAGAGTGGTCTGCCTTCATGTTCTAGAGTGGCCTGCCTTCGGGTTCTAGAGTGGTCTGCCGTCATGTTCTAGAGTGGTCTGCCGTCATGTTCTAGAGTGGTCTGCCGTCATGTTCTAGAGTGGTCTGCCTTCATGTTCTACAGTGGTCTGCCTTCATGTTCTAGAGTGGTCTGCCTTCATGTTCTAGAGTGGTCTGCCTTCATGTTCTACAGTGGTCTGCCGTCATGTTCTAGAGTGGTCTGCCTTCATGTTCTAGAGTGGTCTGCCTTCGTGTTCTAGAGTGGTCTGCCTTCACGTTCTAGAGTGGTCTGCCTTCATGTTCTAGAGTGGTCTGCCTTCACGTTCTAGAGAGCTTCATGTTCTAGAGCGGTCTGCCTTCGTGTTCTAGAGTGGTCTGCCTTCATGTTCTAGAGTGGTCTGCCTTCATGTTCTAGAGTGGTCTGCCGTCATGTTCTAGAGTGGTCTGCCTTCATGTTCTAGAGTGGTCTGCCTTCATGTTCTAGAGCGGTCTGCCTTCGTGTTCTAGAGTGGTCTGCCTTCACGTTCTAGAGTGGTCTGCCGTCATGTTCTAGAGTGGTCTGCCTTCATGTTCTAGAGTGGTCTGCCTTCATGTTCTAGAGTGGTCTGCCTTCATGTTCTAGAGTGGTCTGCCTTCATGTTCTAGAGTGGTCTGCCGTCATGATCTAGAGTGGTCTGCCTTCATGTTCTAGAGTGGTCTGCCGTCATGTTCTAGAGTAGTCTGCCTTCATGTTCTAGAGTGGTCTGCCGTCATGTTCTAGAGTGGTCTGCCTTCATGTTCTAGAGTGGTCTGCCGTCATGTTCTAGAGTGGTCTGCCTTCGTGTTCTAGAGCGGTCTGCCTTCATGTTCTAGAGCGGTCTGCCTTCACGTTCTAGAGTGGTCTGCCGTCATGTTCTAGAGTAGTCTGCCTTCACGTTCTAGAGTGGTCTGCCGTCATGTTCTAGAGTGGTCTGCCTTCACGTTCTAGAGTGGTCTGCCTTCGTGTTCTAGAGTGGTCTGCCTTCATGATCTAGAGTGGTCTGCCGTCATGTTCTAGAGTGGTCTGCCTTCGTGTTCTAGAGTGGTCTGCCTTCATGTTCTAGAGTGGTCTGCCTTCATGATCTAGAGTGGTCTGCCGTCATGTTCTAGAGCGGTCTGCCTTCATGTTCTAGAGCGGTCTGCCTTCACGTTCTAGAGTGGTCTGCCGTCATGTTCTAGAGTGGTCTGCCTTCGTGTTCTAGAGTGGTCTGCCTTCATGTTCTAGAGCGGTCTGCCTTCACGTTCTAGAGTGGTCTGCCTTCACATTCTAGAGTAGTCTGCCTTCACGTTCTAGAGTGGTCTGCCTTCATGTTCTAGAGTGGTCTGCCTTCATGTTCTAGAGCAGTCTGCCTTCATGTTCTAGAGTGGTCTGCCTTCACGTTCTAGAGTGGTCTGCCTTCACATTCTAGAGTAGTCTGCCTTCACGTTTTAGAGTGGTCTGCCTTCATGTTCTAGAGTGGTCTGCCTTCATGTTCTAGAGTGGTCTGCCTTCATGTTCTAGAGTGGTCTGCCTTCATGTTCAAGAGTGGTCTGCCTTCATGTTCTAGAGTGGTCTGCTGTATGAACCCTGCAGTTTGTGCCATAAACTTCTTAGTTTACTAGTCCAAACATGTAATTGGGCTTTATCTTCTTATCCAAGCATATGTACCCGACGAGCTGAAATCTTACCACTCAGACTTCTCACTAGAAATCTTGAAAAGCAGCCAAAGTCACAGACATGAATGAAGAACTGGGATAAACAGACCATAGAGCCCTCACAACAGCAACTTCAGAACAGAAAACCATGTACAACAGCGCCTGTATGTTGTGTTGTTTAGGTGAGGTCAGATGGGGTTTAATATCGCGTCAAAGATTGTTGCACTTATATAGCGACATGTGTGTGTGTGTGTGTGTGTGTGTGTGTGTGTGTGTGTGTGTGTGTGTGTGTGTGTGTGTGTGTGTGTGTGTGTGTGTGTGTGTGTGTGTGTGTGTGTGTGTGTGTGTTCGTGTGTGTGTCTGCTTGTACTGGTCCGGACTGGATGATTTATAGTGCTAGCCCAATGAGATACCATGCTGCAGTTTAACATGGATACCCCACTCTTGACACAGTATACTGACTCTGAGCCGACCATTCCTTGTTATGGCCCCTTAATGCTGAGCGCCAGACAGGGGAACAAGTACCATTTTTTAACATATTTTGGTATGACGTGCCCGGGATTGAACACCGGACCTTCCACTCTTACTAGACTTTTCACTAGACCACGGTCTTGTGTTGTGTAACTTGTTGTGGGGCTGTACAAGCACTACTGTATGTTGTGTTGTGAGTAGGTTCCTGCTCTGAAATACACATGTATCTAGTGTAACACAAATCACTTGTTATTGACTGTACAAGAGCTACTGTGCGTTGGCAACTGTATTGCATTTTACATTGTGTATGATAAACATTGCAAAGATAAAAAATAACATATGTACTGTCAATAAACAGCTACCGGGTAATAATTTTTTTGCATAAAAAACATCACTGGATTTAATGAAATTCTTATAAAGCATGACTGGATATGCATTACTATTGTTTTAAAAAGCTAGCACCTCTAGATATGATCCATACATAGACAATATTAATCAACAACACATTATCTCTCAGTACAAACTTTCTCAAAGACACACAGGAATGGTTCATCAGGGTAATATTAAAGAAACTGTTTCATCTTTCCATTAATTATATCAATATGAAATATATACATACTTTTGCTTAAATGAAATCAACATTTATTTATTTATTTATTTATTTATTTATTTATTTATTTATTTATAAACACATGTTAAGGGCATTAGTACAGAGAACAATATATTATCAATGTGCACATATTAGCAAAGTGTCAAGGTAAATTATTGCAATGTAAGCATGGTAGTTTGGGTAACAATAAGATAAGGGTTCTCTCTACAGTTGCAGCACCAGACCAGCTGATGACACGTTGTCCCCACCACCCCCAGTCTGCAACACCTGCGTGCACACAAGCACCGGCGCGATGCAGATCTCATAATCCTCCTCCTCCCAGCAGGTGACTGGACGATTATCCTTGAATGGGATCCTTTGTGGCTTGGGGTCACTTTTACTGGATGAAAAGGAATCATCCACAATTAACTTTGCTTTTTCCACGTGAATGTACTGAGACCCGCAGACATGTCGATGAGCGGTGAGTGCGGCCTTCGCAGCAGCAGACATCGTGTTTTTCCACGCAGACCCTTTTTTCGTAAGGATTGCTTGGTATGCAAGAGTATGCAAGTGGATGCGTGTAAGTTTTCTTCGGCCCCCCGTTTCTTTGGTGTTTTTGAGCATGTTGTACACCTGCCTCATCTGGTCTAGGGTTGTTGCGATTCTAGGATGGCTGTCGGAGAGAAGCGTGACATTCCCACCGGTCATCATGCTGACAAGGTTTGGCAGTTCCTGTTCGTTCATACCGAGTGAATCTGAGTAAAGGACCACACTTTCATAGATCTCATCCATGAGGCTTTTATCTGTGAAGGATGCCAGTTCAAAATGAATCTGGGTCTTTTTGGGAATGTTAGAAAGAGTTGACTCTAATTTCTTCACCCTTTCTTGCCTTTTTCCTGTAATCCGAAAAACAAACAGGAAAAAATAACATACTGTATCACATACAAATTTAAACAGGCCTGTGAATGATTTTTAATTCTGAGCATTGCCCAGGTTGATTCCTGACTACATGTAAATTTGATGGTGTGATGTGTACAGTGAAACCTTGTTAGTCCAGACTGAACCACTGATGAAACAATTATGATGACTTCACGCTAGTGTTGTTGGAGTTGATTCTGAGCCAGGAATTTACTAGCCATTCTGAATGTGTAATTTAGCAAGTTTGTTTGTTTTGTTTGTTTGTTGTTTAATGCCGCACTCAGCAATATTCCAGCTATATAAATATGTAAATAATTGAGTCTGGACCAGACAATCCAGTGACTGACATCATGACCCTCAACCTACGAAATTGGGATACAATGACATGCATCAACCAAGTCAACGAGCCTGACCGCCCGATCCCTTTAGTCGCCTCTTACAACAAGCATAGTCACCTCTTAAGGCAAGCATGGCGTTGCTGAAGATCTATTCTCTACCTGGATCTTCACGGGTCTCAATTTAACAAGTAAAACTGTTGCAACTACAGGTCATTATATGTGAACCAGAACATGGTTTTAGTCTGAGAAATCACTTGACTCTGTTGATTCCAGAAATAGAATCAACCTATACGCTTGATTTCTCCATTAAGGATACTCATACATCAGCAGTCTTGGTTTTTTTAGTTACAAATACACAGACAGGCCAAAACATAATTATTCCATTTTTTTGGCTATTTTGCTCTTACTGAAAAAAATATTTATGAGCACAATTTCTCAAATTTTCCGAAGAACTAATGTAAGTAATTCAACTTGAGATTCCACATTCTCCTTTTCTCATCACTACCTACCATCTTTAAATGGGAAGTTGTCCATCATCTGCAGCCCGCCAACAATCAGCAGGTCGGCGTTGTATGTCTCCAGCTGCTGCTGGAACTCCTCCAGAGATTCTAGGAAGGGGTTCACTGAGTCACTGTGCACGATCAGTCTGAAACAGTTAACAAAACACAGCTGAACATTTCATGTCACAAGTGTTCCATATTCTCGTCACTGTTTCAGGAAATGCATGTTTTTAGTTGTGGCGACGAACACACTTTTTCCACAACACATTTTTTCCGGTTATCAAGTAAAACCTGAGGTGAAATTATTGTCTTCTTGCATTTCCTGGAACAAAATATTTAAAAAGCAATCCCAGGCTCCTGAAGAATTGCAGTGTTTAATGCCTACCAAAGATGTGCTCACACTGTGTTTTGTTTAGGTTTCGTATTGAACAAAGTCACATTATGGTCCTATACATCTTCCCGAGGTAAGAGAGTTGACTGACTTTAAAAGTTCAGTTTCCACCCTTGCCGAACTTGGCTGGAATTCCTGGTCTCGATCGTAGTGCCACAAGTGGCTATTGCGAGTTCTGTCACCTCTGTGCCTCTCCTATGGACCAATCAGATTCCATGCCTCGTATCACTTGCATTTGCTTCAAATAAAATGGCGACGCCCAGTCAAGACTATCTGATCGATAATCAAGATCTATTTTGTGAAAAAACGAATCTTGCATCGCGAAGTGCATCAAGTCACGTGAGCACATTGATTCAAAACATGAAAAGATTTGGAAAATATCTCTTGGTTTGCGGTGCACATGCTTTGCAAATCCTGCAGTTGACCGAAATCCAAATGACAGTATACAAACAGGATTTCGATTTCATTGCACAATTTTGATTGGACTATGCACATGTGATGCATAGACTTGTTAGTTCAGCCAAAATATAACTCCATAATACCAGCCTAGTTCGACAAGGGTGGAAACTGGACTTAAGTTAAGTGTTTGGGCCTTGTGGTTTCTGAGGAGACAATATTCAAATATCTTGAATATTATACCAGCAGGAACAAACCAGAATCACACTGTATTGTTACACATCATATCAATGTTTCAGATTCCTAAGCCTCATGGATTCTTGGAAGATTGATATCTAAACAAAAGTAAAAATTGTGAATATACAGCAAATCTGAAACCTCTTCATCTCTTCGTCTGGTTGTGTCCTTATAAATATTATACATCTAAAATCTGACAGCTGCATTTCATTGTCATCTTTATTGTCAAAGCAATCTTTACCATTGGTGGTATAAAAAAAACCTTGACATTTTAATTTAATTTTTCAAGTTTGAAGGTCAGCGGATCCACAAATCAAGCAAAAGAAATGTAATTATTTGACGGGTGTCTATTTCATAGTAACCATGGTTACACATTGTTATTGAACCCCAATACTTTCTGTGATGAAACATATGTCACAGCATGTACATCGGAAAACATGACAAAGGAAATGAAAACCACATCAATTTACGAAAATAAACATCCAATACAAGCGTAAAGATGGCATTTGTCCCCGATCCAGTGTGATCAATACCAGTAGGAAGCAGGTGTTACAACATGCAGAGTCACTGCCTCTGTCAACCTATACATGTGTAGAATCACTGCCTCTGTCAACCTATACATCTGTAGAATCACTGCCTCTGTCAACCTATACATCTGTAGAATCACTGCCTCTGTCAACCTATACATGTGTAGAATCACTGTCTCTGTAAACCTATACATGTGTAGAATCACTGCCTCTGTCAACCTATACATGTGTAGAATCACTGTCTCTGTCAACCTATACATCTGTAGAATCACTGCCTCTGTCAACCTATACATCTGTAGAATGAATCACTGCCTCTGTAAACCTATACATCTGTAGAATGAATCACTGCCTCTGTAAACCTATACATCTGTAGAATGAATCACTGCCTCTGTAAATCTATTCATCTGTAGAATGAATCACTGTCTCTGTAAACCTATACATCTGTAGAATCACTGTCTCTGTCAACCTATACATCTGTAGAATCACTGCCTCTGTCAACCTATACATCTGTAGAATGAATCACTGCCTCTGTCAACCTATTCATCTGTAGAATCACTGCCTCTGTAAACCTATACATCTGTATCGATTTCAGAGCACGAACAGAACTACAAACAGAATACTTCAATATACACGATGTGGCAGCATAGTGGTTGAAGTGTTTTCACGTCACACCAAAGGCCTGGGTTTAATTCCCACATGGGCACAATGTCCAGTATCCCTCACTATGATATAGCTAGAATATTGCTCACATGAATGTAAATGTTCAGGGATGTAACCAAACAGCTAAACCAGGGTGACTACAGATTTAATGTTTAAAGCCTGTGCTCATCTAGTATAGTAAGGTCACTGATGTGTGAAGTGCTTTGTTATTTTAAGTACTCAACCTACACTGTGTTTCTGTTTCAGCATCCTCCACATGCTCAATGATGTATATTTATATTAATATTTATAACCCCTAACAACGTGTGTTAAACAAAAGCGACATCCTAACTTTTGAATACAAAGATACTCTTAAATATAAACCCAAAAAGATATCATTACACCAAATAAAGGTGCTTCAGTGCAAACACTGCAAGGAACCAGTCAGTGTAGTGTTTGTTCATTTGTTTATTTGTTGTTTAACGCTGCACTCAGCAATATTCCAGCTATATGACGGCGGTCTGTAAATAATCAAGTCTGTACCAGACAATCCAGTGATTGACATCATGAGCATCGATCCACGCAATCGGGATACGATGACATGCATCAACCAAGTCAGCGAGGCTGACCACACGATCCCTTTGGTTGGCTCTTACGACAAGCATAGTCGCCTTTTACGGCAAGCATGGGTTGCTGAAGACCTGTTATTGACATCATGAGCATCGATCCACGCAATCGGGATACGATGACATGCATCAACCAAGTCAGCGAGGCTGACCACACGATCCCTTTGGTTGGCTCTTACGACAAGCATAGTCGCCTTTTACGGCAAGCATGGGTTGCTGAAGACCTGTTATACCCCGGATCTTCACGGGTCGTGTCTGTGTAGTGAGACAGGCTGACACATTTGTTACAATCTCATCGGGGGTTACTTACGTCCCAGAATCTACCAAAACACAAACCAGTGATAATAGGATGAGTGGCACGTAGCAGACAGTATTTGATAGTATGATCACAGTATAAAAAAATAAAACAAAAATAAATAAATTAACCATCATTTTCAAAACTCATGTTGATGCAAATCAACATTCCAGAAATATAGTCTCCATCCCTGTTGTATAAAACAATAAATTCACATCAATTGTCATGTTTTTATGATGATTTATGTAATGACTACAACAGCTTGCATTCAGCTCCAATAACTTCGCTGAATATATCACCATAATCGGCTGGCCTGGACTGATGAATTACTGATTAAAATAGTTTCATTTCTCTACATGCATCCAATTAGCTGGTAACTGACTGTGTCTCGGTTTGTTCTAAATTCCCTATGAGGCCCACGATACAATACATCGATTTACATCCCTCGTATCATGATACATACGATACATTTCATTACAAGTTATAATGTTGTAAAAATTGGGAACAATAACAGAAACTGTTCAACACCCAGCTTACACAGATTCTCCAGTACTTCCCTGTTGGCTATAAATAGCATAACATTTACAATGCCATCTAGCCTATATGTTTCTGTCCTACAATATCCCATATTCGTTCACAAATGATTCAGGGCTGTGATTCTCCTTTAGAGTGAGTGAGTGAGTGAGTGAGTGAGTGAGTGAGTGAGTTGGGTTTAACGCCGCTTTTAACAGTATTCCAGTTATATCGCAGCGTGTCAGCTTGATGTGGAAGGAAAGCCCAAAGTGATGCTAGTCTCAGACGTTTAACACTTTGGTGAAACAACAAGCACGGGTATGGTGCTGACAAACCTAGAAACATAATCTGGACGAATTGGGATTTGATCCCACAATCATAGGTTTCTGGCGTGCCCAAGGGACGCAACTCTGCACAGCTAATCGCGGCATCTTAGACGACTGGGCCACCCGTGCCCCCCTTCTCCTTTAGAAATAGTATGGATATTGTATCACACCCATAGCATGAGGATGCGTCTCTTCACCCCACTGTAGCATTATCTACACTTTTACTCCTGACAGGACACAAGTCAACACACACAGGATAAAACTGTCCATGGGGTAAATACATGATAGGTTCCGGCAAACATGGAGAAGAAAACCCCTAATTTGTACAGCAACATAGCCTTTCCATATTCCTGGGATGATGGGTTAATGTTAGGAAGGGCATACTTTAACTGAGTGAGTGAGTTGTGCTTATCGCCGCTTAGAACAGTATTCCAGTTATATCATGGCATGTCAGCTTAATGTAGGTCTCAGACGTTTACCACTTCGGTGAAACGAACGATCTCGGGTATGGTGCTGACAAACCTAGAAACAAAATCGGGGCGAACCGGGATTCGAACCCACGATCATAGGTTTCTGGCGTGCCCAAGGGACGCAACTCTGCACAGCGAATCGCAGCGCCTTAGACGACTGGGCCACCCGTGCACCCCTACTTTAACTGAATGGGTATTAGATAAACATTGCTTTCAAACATTGAAATATGAGGATAGGAAGCCAAACAAAACTATAGTTGTTATTTGTGACAGAGAGACACACCCAGGCTTGCACAAAAGCATAGCAAAAGTGCTACATTGACCTCAATCTCGGCCTGCATTTTACAACCAAGTCCGCATTCATCCATTATGCCAACAGGTTTCAAACTCAACGTTCACACAGGGGAAACACTTCTGCTATTGAGAATACTATTGATGACTGATACAAGATGCTTTTTTAAATCGAAACACTGAAGCAAATTGATGACTGTCATTGACTGTTGATCCCTTGCTCCAGCACAACACCACGCTGTCAGAAAATAAGTGCTAACACTTTTGAGATGAGCCCTCTCTTTCTGTGACAGCCTGTACACTCGACATCACCATGACATTAGCCAGGAATCACAAGCAGGGGATTGAAATACAACAAAGTCAGCTTGTGTAACCAGCAAACTAAGATGAAACAGAACATAGATCATTTCTACTCTTGTTCTCTGTGCTTTGAACATGTTGAATCAGTGAGTGAGTGAGTGAGTGAGTGAGTGAGTGAGTGAGTGAGTGAGTTGGGTTTAACGCCGCTTTTAACAGTATTCCAGTCATATCACGGTGTGTCAGCTTAGAGTGGGAGGAAAGCCCGAAGTGATGCAGGTCCACGAGCACGGGTATGGTGCTGACAAACCTAGAAACATAATCGGGGCGAACCAGGATTCGAACCCGCAATCATAGGTTTCTGGCGTGCCCCAGGGACGCACTCTGCACAGGGAATCGCTGCGCCTTAGACGACTGGGCCACCCGTGCCCCCGTTGAATCAGTAGTGCACCCACAATTTATTATATGTTTGAAAAAAAAAAAAAAGATTTAAATGTGATACACAGACATCAGACACATTTGTCCAAACCTCCCACTTCTCAATGAACTGAAAAAAATGAAATACATAACAATGAACCATTTTATAAAAATGACAACTTTATTTGTTTCTGTATGTTAAACGTCTGTCATCAGGACAAGGCTTCATCCTAAACAGCTATTCTGTTGGTAGCTCAAACTGGCTTTGCTAGATTTTCAAGACCTCACAGGAATTCCACATTCTCAGCAAATAACTGCCAGGTACTTCATTCTCCCCTGTCTCTCTGACAGTCCAGACATTTTTTATATGAAACCATTTTATTGGAACAGAGGTGCACAGATTAACAAGACTTCATTTTTATACATGTTATTAGGGCTGGCTACTGATTTAGATCATAGAGGTCGCTAATCGCTAACTAAATATTGATTAATTATAAACAAATATTGGATAGCAAATATGCAAGAAAGTCCTGAAAGAAATCAACAGATTTCACCACACTGGTGAGCAGTGACACATTTATGCATGGATTACTTTGTGGACGTACACCTGCATTCTGTCTTCCACAATGGATATTATTGGCAATGACAAGTCTGTTTCGGTAAATCTAAACTTTATTTCATCACAATAGTTTCTGTGAGTTATTATCTATGACAATATTTTCATATCAATAATCGTTAATATAATCCTCATTTCCAAAAGGAATTGGACTGGTGAACAGGCAAAGCCTATTTGAACACCTTACCATTCATTGTACATGTTGTATTCACAATTTAATAGCATCTGTATAGTGAATAAAGTTTTTCCGCAGTTATCCATGGGAAACTCAAAAGTAATATACATGTAAATGATGTACAAGAAATCAATCAAACCTTTTTGATACAAGCGACAATGTAAACTCCATTAGTTTTATTGGGTCTGATTGAAGTTTGGAGGTGAACAGAAAACACAAAACACAGTTATTATTTGAGGCTCAGAAACTGGAGCTAGACCTCCAGCTGCAGACACACTCATTCGTCACCACTCGCCCCTTTCCGTAACCTGCAAGAAGACTAGTCCCCCCTATCGATGAATGTTATGTGCGAAAATACGACAAACCAATTAGAATGTGCGTATGACTTCAAGTTCTTCGGTCAAAGAATCCCTAAAGAATAAGTTTTGATATGTCTTCCATCTAAAAATATAATACTGCATGTCCCAATGTGCTTTAAATTGCATCTGAAGTATATATAATACATGGGGAAACATACGTAAATTGAGTTGACAATTCTTTTATCTAAGCCCCATGGCCATGTTAGGGGCAAGAATGCAACTACAAACTTTTCTGTGAATTTTGCAATCTTGTGACCTTGACCTTTTCATGTGCCAAAAGAATTCCGGAGGACATTTGTGAAGCAGTCCATGGAAGAATAATTTCTAATGTCAATAATCTTGATGTTGCGGACGTTTATAACAGTTCTGCAGTCCTGTTTCACTGGGCTGTTCATCAACAGACACCACTATGTGCAATCGGTATATTCCCTCACCCATGCCTCACCATCGACTAATTTCCTTCTACTGTATGCCATTATCCACAACAGTGCATACCAAACAATAACTTTCTGAAGGTTTCACTGAAATAAGCTAATTTATACCACTGTAAGGTGGTACACTTCATGTGTTAGGACAATTTAAGTGAAAACGATTTTGGATAAATGCATGTTATTGTGAAAACCTTTATCTCACCTGTTGGCCCGAGGTGCTGTGTATTGTCCCCACTTGGCACCTGCTTTGTATTCCATAAGGAGGTGGACGTCCTCCGTTGTCGTCTGCTTCCCTGTCACTGAAAGAACATCAGTTAGGCTAAAATGGTGAGGTGAAATTGAGTTTAATGTCGCGTCCAAAATCATTGCACTTACATAGCGACGTGCATGCATGTGTGTTTGTGTGTGTGTGTGTGTGTGTGTTTGTGTTTGTGTGTGTGTGTGTGTGTGTGTGTGTGTGTGTGTGTGTGTGTGTGTGTCCTTGTACTAGACTGGACTGATGCCGATTAATAGTGATAGCTCACACTAAGATACCATGCTGCAGTTTAACATGAATACCCCACTCAGACACAGTATACTGACTCCGAGCCGACCAGTCCTTGTTTGACCAGCCCCTGTCATGCCGAGCGCCAGACAGGGTAACAAGTACCATCTTTTAACGTCTTTTGGTATGATGAGGCCGCGGATTGAACCCCAGACCTTTCGCTCACCAGGCGGAAGCTCTACCAGTACCACTAGACCAAGTAGGCGGTGTTAGGCTAAAGAAGGACGTTTCTTGGCCGTGTTTGAAATAAAAAAAATTGTCTGTCTGCCACCAGGACCCATATACTTTGGAAACTGCAGTCCCTGACCAAACTCTTCAGGCCCTTGATTAAAATACTGCAGCTTATTGTGACAGGCACTTATTTTAAAGACTGTTTCTCGGGCATCGTTTTGTCACTATAAATCCAGCACATCAGTCACTATTATTGCCATGGAACAAAAGATATGGGTTTCATATTTTCCATGTCATATAATGAAGCATATCTGGGTACTCTGGTATCCATGAAAAGACATGCTTGACATCTGACATTGTATCATAAACCTCCACTGACAGCATCCTATGGTTCTCCAGGCAGGTTAAATCTCAAAAACAAGGATGTAATAATATCCTTGTTTATTTTATTAATACAACTTCCGTTTAGAAAGTAACATATGAATGTTTCTCACTGGAAATTTATTTGTTATTTTAACACTATGTAATGAAATGTAATATCAAATGACCAATGTTTTCTTTATATTCCCGAGGATCAAACACCCAACCCTTGTATCTGTAGCCATGGTTAAGCCAGCAACAGATAATTTAGGACCATTCCCTATGGTTCAGGGAAAGTATGTTTCAAACATAAAAAAGTTGATAAATGTTGATATAAGTTTCTTTTTTCGGTTTATAAGTTAGTTAATACACTTTCCCGCAGGTTGTTATGATATTTAAAACCCTTATCCTTTTGATAATGTCCCTCAGTTTTATCTCTCAGATGCGGGTTTTAAATATCATAAAAACCCTCTTACATGCTTTATCATACACTTGAAGAGCTGAGTTCAGAGTGCCAAGTTGTGTTTCAACTATTTGTTGGTATTCTTGGTGGAAAAAATATAAAATGCTCGTCCTGCATCATTTTTGTTTTCACTAAAATAAAAAATAAATTGTACAAACTACCTCATCTCATGTGAGAAAAATGAGCCCAAGGAATATTTCATTTTTTTGCGCAGCCTCAGAACATGTAAAGTGGCAATGTCAGCAAGGAAGTACAAGTTCTGTTTTGATCTTATTTGATCAAAACATCATCACTCAGCATCTTAGAGCCTCATGTCATTGCAGCCTTTGTAGGGTGAAGAATCAGGAAACTAATTAGGAATCACATCACAAAGTGGTTATTTTGAAATATCTTCTTTTATACATGTGATGAGGCTTCACCTATTTCTTAAACATTTCAGCAAAAGTATTTATGATGTGTCTGACTGATATTCAACATGATAATATTTCTATTTTTGTTATAGTTTATATTTCAAGTGACATTTTTTTAATAACTGAAAACCTACACTGCTGACAATTTTAATAAAAAAAATTAATTTCCCCCTATTCATCTTGGCATATTAGCTGCAAGAACATGGGTAAAACAAGAAACTGAATGTCTGGCCTAACAAAGATATTCCTTGTATTTCTAGAATTCTCATTTTGTCAGTTATTCTACAATAACTAGTGTTTCGTTACATTTATTTTGAAACACCCAATGCTCTTTGAGCCGGTCTTGAAGACAAAGGTTGGCAAGACAGTATAATCAAGAAAGGAGTGTGTTGAAGGTCATTAGTGTGGCGGAACTTGATGGCTGACCTTAGCTCTTGTTACTGATATGAAATGATTAGGAGCTAGAATGGGCAACTTGTGTTGCCAAAAGCAATAACAACAGCACCAGCAAAAGGCAATCACGTTGCCAGCAGCAAAATACTAGGTTTCTGCTCAAAATAGACATTAATTTTAATTAAGTTTAGGCAAAAAGTTTCCATTGACTGAGAAGCAGAGGGATTTTTAGATTCCTGCTAAAGAGCAGGGACCGGATAATTATCATGATTATGATGATGGTTGATGAGTACGTATTTACATTTGTAGTCCGCCAATAACAAATATATTGAATAAAAGGGGTTTTGTCTGTACAGCATTTGCCCTGTGCCATGGAAGTGCTTTCTAGCATTGGAAGAAGAGAGACTGAATGTGGAGAGCTTGGGGCAGGGTGGATTGGAAGCCGAAAAGTAGAGAATTAACAAGTAAAATGGGTAATGAAATTGAAATAATGGGTAAACTAAGTAATGGATTATGGCGAATGAGAGATAAAAAGAATGAAGGCGGTCAGTAAATATTCAGGTCTAGACCAGACAATCCAGTGATTGACATTACGAACATTGATTCACTGAATTGGGATACGACGACATGCATCAACCAAGTCAGTGAGTCAGACCACCCGATCCCGTTAGTCATCTCTTATGACAAGCACAGTCACGTTTTATGGCAAGGATGGGTTGTTGAAGACCTATTCTACCCTGGATCTTCACGGGTCGCACGAATGAGAGAAAGAAAGAATAATTACGTCATAGGAAGTAGAATGATCATGATTATGATGGAGGTCAGGTAAGAATGGCGATGCATTGTTTTCAATAAACATATTTAGTGTGAAAACAAAATGAAATTATGTTTATGAATGCCACAAATTTTAATTTTCATGTTAAATATCACATTTTTCTGATCGTAAATTGTAGAGAACAAGACTAGGTCCATCAATTTGTGTTGCAAGATAATGTTAGATACTTACGCATTAATTAAAGCATTGTGATGGCACAGACTTTAATCATGTAAGTCAAAATGCAGTGTTAATGAAGATATGTTTCTTCAAGTAAAACAAAACACCCTTTAAAACAAATTCATTTGTAATATGGACAGATATAGGTCAGGATCCTTGCTAGACAGCCACCAATCACATATACCGTATTTCCTCTATTAGGCGCTGGGCCTCTAATAGAAGCCAGGTCAATTGTTCAGTGCAAAAAATAGAAGCCGGGGCTCCAATAGACGCCGGGTCGATCAATTGATACAATTAATGATCCCTTTTTGCATTGTTTTGGGACCTAAATTCGTGGTCAGTGAAATAGGGGTATTACTAGAAGCCGGGCCTCCAATAGACGCCGGGTCGATCAATTGATACAATTAATGATCCCTTTTTGCATTGTTTTGGGACCTAAATTCGTGGTCATAGTGAAATGCGGGTAATAATACAAGCCGTTCCTCCAATAGACGCAGGGCCTCTAATCATGCTAATTGACGCCGGGTCAAAGGCTTGTCCCAAATAAATAGAAGCCTGGGCATCTAATAGAGGAAATACGGTATTTCAGATTGCGTGGAGAATATGATGACTGAGATTTATTTGGACCCTATTTCTGTGTTTTATAGCTTGATATTTATTCATGTCATGTCAATAGACATGTGATATTAAAAAATCCAGGTCTGAAGTGAATGCTATTTGTGGTGGGACGATACATCAATGCCTTGGTGGATCGCAAATTTTCTTATCATGATACAAGAATCAATCACAGTCGCACACAAAGTAAAAATGTCAATAATTACCTTGGATGTTTGCTTTAATAAATGTTACACCAAACACTAATTAGTAGTGAAAACCTAAATATTTTCATCCATTGCACCATACTTGACACTGCCAACAGTAAATCAACAATTTGCCAGGTATCTACCAATTTGCCAGGTATTTGGCCATTCTGTTTTTGAAAAAGATGGCTTATGTACCACAGATAAGAGCACATGTAAGTATTGTGATACATATGTTATCGTGAGCAATGAATCATGATACATATGGGATCGCACATTTGGTGTATCGCCCAACCCTAGTGAATGTACTACATGTGATGCAATATGCATGTGATAGCGCAGCAGGAGTTTGTAAAATAACTAAACATTTAGGCGTTTAAAAAATTGCCTAAGAGGAAGTTTTAGTCATTTTACTCATTGACTGTAACATATACAATTAATAAAGTAAGCTATGCTCAGCTGAAATCTGCACAACCGTTTACTAACCACATTTCGATTTTGCTGCATGATTTTGATTGGACTATGCATAGACTCGTTAGTCCAGCCTAAATGTAACTCAATAATACCAGCCTAGTCCGACAAGGGTGGAAACTGGACTTTTATAGTCAGTTAACTCCCTTGCCTCGGGAAGATACACAGGTTGCGAACTAGTCGAGATTTCTGGGACATCACCTGGGTAGGCCTGGGGAAAAAATAATAACAAAAGCAACAACCCGTCCTGGTGAATTGTCAGAGATCAGTGCTCCTTTAAAGCGGCTTTGAACAGTACCCTAGTTACATTATGGCGTCTCAGCTTAATGTGGGAGGAGAGCATGAAGTGATGCGGGTCTCAGACGTTTACCACTTTGGTGAAACCTAAAAGCATGGATATGGTGCTGACAAACCTAGAAACATAATCAGGAAGAACTGTGATTCGAACCCACAAAAATTGGAGCACCTTAGATTATTATGGCCACCTGTAATAATGAATAGCACATGGTAATACAGAGAATTAATAAATAAAAATTCCTACCTTTAATGCTTGGATCAAGCGCCTTTGCCATGTTGGGAGTAAGTCTTGCCCCAAGCAGTACATCTAGTCCTTCTTTGGCTAATCTGTTAGCCATGACTGGGGCGTTACCCCCCAATGACCACACCCGATGTGACAGACTGTCTGCCTTGTCAACTAGCTCCTTGAACAGTGTTTCATTGGAAATGTATCGCCTGAAAATATGTAGGTTTTGTCCTGTTAATTTGGTAAGGATATGAGTTAGTGAAGGAGTGAGTGAGTTGAGTTTAATGTTGCTTTTACCAGTATTCCAGTTGGATCATGGCTTTCAGCTCAATGTAGGAGGAAAGCCCAAAGTGATGGATGTCTCAGATGTTTACCACTTTGGTGAAACCCACAAGCACGGGTATGGTGCTGTTAAGTTGAACCCAGAAACATAATTGGGGTGAATCAGTGTTCGAACCCACAATCATAGGTTTCCGGCATGTCCAGGAGACGCAACTGGGTGCAGGCTAAAATGGCACCTCAGCAAAACGTCACCGATTTCTCTGGCAAAAACGGCACCGCATTTGGCGAAAACAGCTAGTATGTGTCTGGCGAAAATGGCACCTCTATTTTTAACATCGATAAGAATGATTTATGTAGTATTATATCTTCATCACATGTTTACAATATCAGTCCATGTACCACCGAACATTCTGATAGCAGCTGACTCAGCTAATTTCTCGATAACGGGTCACAGAAAGTCCGGTACCACATAGACAATGGGTCCACTGGTCACAGTTGTCACATAATACAGCATGTTGATATTTTTGACATTCTTCTCGCATGCAACACATCGAAAGGCCATTGTGAATAATTGTGATCTGACATCACCATGTTAGGCCTCTTAAATACAGTTTCAGCTTGACGTTGAGTTAAATTGAGTAAAGGTACTTAAACTTCAATGTGTATAGTGTTTTCACCATACGTTAGCTGAGCCTCCCAGTCGTCAGCTAGTAAATTGGAGTAGGGGGCTAATTTCTAAGGTTTTCACAATAAGTTGCGTATAGGCTAAGTTGGAATATAGTTGGAATAGAGGCTAATTTCTAATGTAAACTTATTTTTACATTTCACAATTATTGGTGTTTGCAAGTTACCATGTAAGTTAAATTTCATTTATTTGACGAAGGTAAAAAAAAAATAAGATGCCGTTTTCGCCAGGCAATAGTAGCCGTTTTTGCTTGAGGCGAGGTGACGTTTCGCCAATCAGTCACGTTTTGATGAGGTGCCGTTTCAGCTATAACCCAACGCAAGTCAGCACAGCGAACTGCAGCACCTTTGACAACTTGGGGACCCCTGTGCCCACTCAACATATGTTATTGACTCATCACCAAAGACTTTACTCTGATTATATTGATCCTCAAGACATCAGTGAACCGAAAGCCACAGCCGTCAGCCTGAGCCAATTAAATCTATAAGCGGAGCCTGGTAAACATGGCAATCAGGTAAGGGTAAACTGCACTGTTGCTGAATGGAAATTGATAGTCACATTTGTGTAAACGTCAAAACCTTACAAGACAGCGTCTGACATTTTTCAAATAGTTTGAAGTGTCTCCTAAAAATTGAATAGAGTAGTATACTTACTCTGCAGCAGCACCGTGCCTGAAGAAGAATCCCATCAGCTGGGCAAGTTCCGTTTCATTATGAACCGAGTGGAAATGTTTTGGGTTGTCGGGTGCACTAATGTGCATTTTTTCCAACAATTCTAGCCCATCAGAAACTAAATCTTGACATCCTCCAAATCCGATCGCGACCCGAAACTTTGGATGCGGAACCTTTTTTTCGGCCCGCAGTAACCCGGACAACACTTGATGCACCCGCTCTCGCAATGCTTCGTCTGCATGACGCTTGCACAAATATGCAGCTATTACAACAAGGACGGTGATGACACTGCCTGCCTTGAAACCTGTTGACGCCATGTTTCTGCTATATAAACAACAACAAAGGTCTCAAAAAAGATAAGAACCGGCTATGACAGGATCTCCAATTCAATGTGCGTGGCTTGTGAACAATCAAAACAAACTGCGGATCTGACCGGAAGTGAAAGTATATACTATTACCCCGAGACTGATTTTATATACCCTCGGACCTCTGTTGAACGCGCACCTGCTCACACATAACACAGTATTTAACTAATTTTCCTATAAAAAATTGCTTAAAGGGGAAGTGTACACGCAAAAATCACTTTCTTTCTTTTTCTAAACAAAACGCAATTTTAGAATTAATTAGTATCTGTGTTTGAAAATATACACTCATTTTTTTCACAGTGAAAGTAGGAAGCTCACAAAAGTGTGAAAATGATATGCCGTCATGAGGCCTTCTTTTTTCGAGCTAAACTGGCCTGAGTTATCCCCCTTAGATTATGACGTAATTGGTGCCAATTCAACTGGGTCCCTGTCTATTCTCAACGCAAAAGATATCAAGTACCAGTTTGCGGTAAAACAACATGGCCTACGACACACTCCGGCGCAGTGGTGACTCAGCATAACACTATGCTGGCTGGCATCTGAGACGCTAGAATCACAAACCTGGACCTACACCACGTGAAGCGGCTCTAACAAAGCATAATGACGTCATAATGTTTATCAATTGGCACCAATGACGTCATATTGCAAGGGGCATAAGCCATGGTGTTTTTGTTGTGGAAATAGAACACTTGGTAAATGTGAAAAATATAAATCGTTTTAATGGGAAAAATATGTTAATTAATTGTGATATTTTTATATTTTTGTCTATGACACTTCTATGTTAACACTTTTAATGTGGAAAAAGTACAAGAAAAATAGGTGCATTTCCGTGTGAACTTGCCCTTTAAGAGTATTCATTAACAAAAATTACAATTGATAGGTATTCTCCGTCTGGTTAGAAAAGAAAACGTCTTTGAAGATATGTACGAAAGGTTTTCTCTCTCGTTTCAGCCATTTGTATGGAATTACACACATGACAAAGTCATACATGGATACATTGGATTTTATGCTGTCTTTACCATGAGGCAATTTCGATCCACGAGAGTTCACTAACAACATCATATACGTGTCTAAAGAGCAGACTAAAATGGAGATCAATGGACAGGATCCGTGTTCCATGCGTGTCATCGAACCCCGATGTTCTTGTCTCGATTCAAACTTAATTTCAAAATTCCTTTCTTCAAGGTAGTTCTTAGGTACCAATGACACTATAAAGTAATTTTCCTTGTTTAAGTGATTAATATCACTAGGGTAGTCCTTATTACCTGTTTTGGCTATAGTGATCTCAAATGGGTTTCTAAGATCCGGAATGTTTTATTTTCATAGGACTTTGTGTGCATGGGTAAATCAATCTTTTCGTAAGAATTTCGACAAAGATCAATTGAAGTTGTATTTTATAAAATTGGACGTCTACACAAATACCATGGTTAGTTTGAACAGAAATAAAAGTTGATATTTGGCAAAAACTACCAAAACATTTATGATCATGACCATTCTGTGACGTGTCGGATAAAAGGTGAGTTTGATATTTTACTTGGGTTTGAATCCTCGAGAGGTTTAAAAAACTTTATCGTCCCATATGGCTTTGACTTGAGTTATGTTACAGTGAACGACATCACGATGCTTTGTTTCTGTGTGACGTCATCGATTACAGTGATGTCAAATGGAAATGCTATCCCTAATCTCTCTGTTACCGAAGCTGGTTAGCTGTACTTTTTACAATCAAGACACTTGTTATTAAAGAATTGACTTCAATGTTCTTCTTTTGCGTTTTATTGGGGTTAAAACGTAAAAGCCTCTAACGTATACATAGCAGATTTATGCAAAGAGCGTATCGGATTATACGTTTATAACTCCATAAACGCAAAACATACTGAAGTCAATTCTTATAAATAAGAATAAGTATTATAGGCATAAAAGTACAGTAATTAACAACTAATTAAAGTAATTAACAATTCATTAGGACACCTACGTGATTGTATATAAAGGTCAAGAAGAGGAGTTGAAACCAGTAAGATGTAAACATAACACATTGATATATATATATATATAGGAGACGGGCAGCTCTGATAGTTGAAGACTACGGGAGCATACTTGGCCACGAGTAACCAGGGGTGAGGGTAGTAGGTCGAGGGCTATACATTAATGAAAAACAAGTGGAACAGAGATGAGAGGGACGGAAACGTCAGGGTCTTGAGACATATATGGTATTGGGGGGGAATAGTTCGAATTCCAAAAGGGTGAGAAGCTACATCATGGCAAGTCCGAATAAGGTGCTGGTTATTAGATAAGAGTGGGTTAGAATGATCTAGTGTAGGGGGGGAAGGTGGCTGACCAATGATAGATTGGAAAATGAGTAGAGCTGTGACGTAGGTAGCGGTTTAAAAAGGGGCAAAAGCCCCAAATCGAAAGAACGGCTAAGAACGAATAGAGAACGGCTAGACAACGGTTAGAGACGGCTAGAGAGCGGCTAGGTAGCGGCTGCGGCTGGGGAGACTACATCTGGACTGGTGCTCCGCTCTCGGCTTGTTGTCATGATCTTTCGAACCAGAAACCAAACCTAGGCACCAGCATTTCGACTGAGACTGAAGCTTTGCAGCCGAAGTCTCATAATTAAGTGACAATTAGAGTGGGTTGACCGGCAACACAAAGTTGGAATAAAAGCTGTTAAACGAAGATCACTCTTTGTGCTTGTTGGAGGAACTACGGTAATAGGTCCAAGGCCCTCGGGTACTGACATTGTACCTCTCGCTCATCCCAGACAGTCAGCACCAAAGAACGAGGGGATTACCGTAGTTCAGGTGAAGAGGTACACCGATTGCCACTTCTAATTAACAACAATTACCGGCGATTAACGTCGTTTAAAATTACCTTGGATATAAGAACAGCACAGACTTCTTATATATTCACTTACACAAAAATAAGTTCAACAATACGAAATCATGGGCGGATACAGCATTTTGAAAAGGGGTGTGTGTGTGTGTGCACAATTAAGATCTATTTATTGTCCTTGGTGGTAATTTATACAGAAATAAAGATTTTTTTCGAAATAAAAAGGGGGGTAAGATCTGATCTGATCTGATTTTAATGAGATTGGGACTATGTAATAGTGTTAATGTCCTATGCAATATAAACATTACGCAAAATTGCGGCGAATTGAGCATGGTGATACTTATCGTATCGTGAACAAACTATTATGATACGTATCGTATCGGGGTATAGTCACGTGCACTGGTGTGAATATCCAGCCTAGGTCAAGCCGTTGTATGTGCATGTGAAACGGAGACATTGTCTCGGTAATTAGTGTAATGTTTAACTGCTAAATAGATACACATAATTGAGTTTAACTTTGGAGATATAAAATATGTTGTTTCAATGAATTTGAATAATATTCTTTGGGCTGTCAATTTTCGCAGCAAGCTGCACATATATTGGAGTAGAAGCGGCCCTTGTTTCCAGGTGAACATTTAAAACAAGATTAAAAAAACTCCGAGATATTCCTTTTTCGCAGAAATGCAAAACCTATTCACGCATCTCCTTAAAGTCATGCCCGTATTTGGTATGGAAAATCCCATACAGTCAGCTTTAATGTATACGATACACATTAGAGTAATTTATAACAGTACTTTACTCTATAATCTGTATCGCTATTTCAAAAGACTTCATTGCCTTCAGGATTAACTAGATTACTTTGAAATGTACAGTATGACATAATTTTTTTAATAACAGTTTAGTTGCGGAGTTATGTACCCAAAATTTCAAATTAGGAACAATTCACAACATTTTATCTTAAGATGAATTTCCCGCATAACTGTGTGTCTGATAGCTGTTACCCAAATAGTATTTGTTTATTCCAGTTAATTTGCGATATAAATTAAATAATGATATTTGATATGTTATCATAGCTACCCTTTACTATGATATACCATGGGAAGAAATGTGTCTATTTTGATATATTTATTTTTCACTTCGTTCAAAGTGTCCTATTTATTCAGTGCGAGATTAATGTCACAGCAATATGGAGGCAAAAATGAAAATCGTTCCCAATCTTGAATGTTGAACACGCTCGATTTAGTGTGCTTTGATATTTCAAACTTGACAAGGTAATTTGTTTTTATCATTGCGTCCATCGATCGTCGAAGGTGGAGTAACATACTTAATTTGTAGTTGTAAAATGCAAGTTGTGAACTTCTCATCTCTGTCTATCGTGCATCTGGGCCTGTAGTCGGTGTCAGTATCAGAGGTCTGCGTCAGCGTGTATCTAGGCCTAACATACATGTTGTTTAACTAGTGAATCGTAAATAGGAGATTTTAAATTTATTTTTCGGACTGCACGGACCTTGTTTGAATACTGTCTTGACAAGTGTGCAGTTTACCGGACGCAGCTACCTGTTGTCTAGCTAATCAGCTGCCAATTGAGTTATCTTCACTGATCAACAACAGACGGGTCCAATTAGCGATATCTGTGATAGCTGCACTTGGTAAACTGCAGTCTTTGTCATTGCTACTAGTGGATATTAGCGGAGCACCTTAAAATTAACCCTAACCTGGATAAGGAAAGATGGAAAATTGTAAGATTTGAAATGCCATGAGTCAGGGGAATATGCGTCAATGACATACAACCTTCATATTTATTTTTTGTTGTTACAGTATTGTAGGCTGATAAACATGGTATGAAGATTCAGTGCATTTTTCACCAGGATATAATGTAGTGCAGTTGTCATGTCATGTCATTTCAACATTTTCATGATTTTAGCAAATTTTGATTGGGCATTCTTCTATACCATCTCCAAAAATATCTTTAGGACATTTCAGATAACAAACAGTCAGTCTTCTAGAAAATGAAGCGATCTGAAACCCTGCAATTTGCTATGATTGTAATGTGAAACATGTGAGATAGGTTATGCTTTTTATTAATTTACCGTTGTCCCATGTGTTAACTCTAATGTGTCTGCTGACAGGTGTGTATGTTAGCAGCTGCCACGCTGGAGCCAGATGATATGATCGCTGCGTGCGAAACCCAGGACTTTGTGCCATTCGGACGCGAATACAGCAGACATCACCCTGGGAAATTCCAGCTACAAGTCCAGAACACTGCCCATGCTGACCATGGCTTACCACTGCTTAAATCCTTCAGAGATATTTCTCTGCATGATTCATCTAAGGTGCTTATGGAGAATTTGTTGTTTTCTCAATATATTCATTTGTGACATGATATTGATGATAATGTGATTTGATCATAATCTTTAAACATGTTAAACAACATGAATGTTTCACATGTCTTTGGTAAATCATTTTCAAACTCATGAATGACCTAAAACATTCACAAGGAGTGTCCAGCATTACAAATTTATTTATTTATTTATTTATTTATTTATTTATTTATTTATTTATTTATTTATTTATTTATTTATTTATTTATTTATTTATTTATTTATTTATGTATTTGCTACAGAGTTGCCATTTACGAAATGGTGAAAATTATTGTCCACATAGAAATGTCACTGGTCCTCCCTGAAGTCTTGGTCCAGCGGACATGTCTTAATTTCGAACCCTGAGTATCTGAAAAACTTTGATCTGTTAATTTTGGTGAGAATCATACACGTTATGTCTGCAAATGATTCCTAAGTTACGTTTCAGAATTTCATTTGTAGCCGAAGTATTTGTTTTACAGAAAGAGCAGTGGGTGTTTGCTTCCCATGAAGACAGCAGTGGTAGCAGCTTTGATGAGGAACTGTATGTCAGTGGAAACACTGTTGTGTGGAGTAGGGGTGGTCAAGATGGCGTCCGCTCTGTCGTCAAGACGTACACTGTTGACACGCCTGTGCTACAGGTGAGGACATAATCTGACAACACTGAAAGTAGCATCATCATGTTTGTTTCCAAACATTGGACCAAGTTCTTAATTTAACTGCCTGACTATCTGCATGTATTTGTACCAGCCATAGGGGCGGTCGGGTGGCCTAGTGGTTAAAGGGTCTGCTTGTCATGGCGAGGACCCATGTTCCATTCCCGACATGGGTACAATGTGTGAAGCCCATTTCTGGTGTCCCCATGGGGATTCCTTTGACAATGACTGCATCTTAAAACACCATTCACCGTACAGACCCATACCTTTAATGAATCTTAACAACACAAGACAGTTGGTTTTCACTCAGGCAATCATGGCAATTATTGCAGAGAGGAAGCCAATATTTTATTCTGAAAAAAAACAAAAATTGATTTTGCTTCAGTTTAAAAACAAAACTCACACAATTAAACTGTTGAAAGCATGGTGTTGTTGATGCACTGTTGCCTCAGATCCTGGGATATGTGCTTTTGCCTGGTGCCCTACTCCCTCAGATGTGTTTCTTATAATGGAAGATTTGTTTTCCTTCTAGGCTCTGTGGTGTTCGTTTGTGCTGCCCCACAAGGATGTTCAGCTGGACTTGTACCCAACATTTGATGTGCCAGGTAACCCTAGCAACCAGTGCTTTTGTTCATCACATTCAAAGTCTGGATTTGATGTCCAACATTGGTACAGTGTTTTGAGTCCAGTTTTTGACTGCATTAGTGTGACACAGGAAATGGTAGTCTGTTAGTGGATGTGACCTAATGTTTTTTGTTGGTTTATGGAAACATAAACCCCCAAATTGCCTGGTTAGCCAATCAAATGGCATGGGATCACTTGCAATTTATTTATTCTGTGAACATGGTAAAGTCTAGTCTTGTCCTGTGATCATGATAACTGAATAATCAATATGTAGGTTACTTTATAGATTCCATGTGTGCTGTGTTGAAGGTATGATCCAGACTGGTGTGTGTGTTGTGGAAGCTACCAACGTCACTTTCTTCATGGACAAGGGAGGGGAGTATGTCGCAGCTCTGCCCTTCCAGGTCAGTCCAGTGTTGTACCCTTTACAGGGCCCCTCGTCTCCTTGAGACATGGATGCTTCACTGACTTAATTTGCTGTGCAGAGTTGCATCCCTTGATTGTGGGTTCGAATACCAGGTTCACCATGATAATCTTTCTGCATTTGTTTTCCTCCCACATCAAGTTGAATCCAACCATCCATCCATCCATCCTCCCTCCCCCCCCCCCCCCTACTTCTTCACCCACCCGCCCACTCACTCGGCCTACTTTTTGGGAAAATCTTGTACATACAGCGAAGAGCGCAATATCGGGGGATCACTGTATTAGGTTTATGGTTTTGTTCACTTCAGAAGCGATTCCCCTTCAGAATGAACTGTATCCTAGTCTCTATGATCATATTTAGACTTATTAACACTGAAATTGTTGTTACACCATATCAGTTGAAAGTGAATGAGTATGTAGTTTGTATGGGATGTTTTTCAATGATAGTTACACAGCACCATGTTAATTGTTTGGTAAACACATTTTGTGAGAAAGTATAGGATCATGAAGTCTTATCCACCAGCTGGTGGTCTGGTCATGTAGAATGATCAGTCTGTAGTTTGCTGATGGTTCTCAATGGTTCTGAAGTGTTCATGTGAAGTGTTCATGTGAAGTGGCAGCAAATATATTCAGAAGTGATTTTATTCTGTAGGTTGCCAAAATGTGGAAAATGAAAAATGGACTGATATTTGAGAGAACCCTTTCTCATGCTGAAATTACCATGCCAAAAAAGTAAGTTGATGTTTGAATTTTATATTGGTCGTGTTTATCTTAAAGTTTGTTCTATGGTACCTGAACCTGCTGAGGAGCAGCGTTTCTTTGTATGAAATTGGCACTGGTCCTGTAGTCCTTGCCAAACTGCCGAATAGTTAAGGTATCATAAGGACTAGTAGAAATTTGCCCTTTTTGGTAAATGTTATCATTATAAGGACTGGTGGACTAAAACTGTTACCGTATTTTCTTGAGTATAGTGCGCACCCATGTATAATGCGCACCCCCCTCTAGCGGGTTCAGTATTTTGGAGAAACAAATATTCGAATATTACACCGTAGAATCTACCCCTTCAGCGAAGTCCGGCAAACGAACGGGTGAATTTGAGATAAAAAAAATCACCAGACATGTTGATTTACCGTTTAAATAGTATTTATTGTTCTGCTAGGCATTGTTTTATATCCAGGGATTAAGATTACCTTGTGTATTTTCTCGTAAACTAAGCCGGAAACAGCAATCAGCTGTACACACGTTTTCTTGGAATCGACCGGTGATTCGGTCAAGACACACCCAATGATATATCTTTCAAGGATTTTCAATGCAAGGATCGGCAAAAATTGTATCTGAAACTATTTTTTTTATCAGGAATAATATATTCCAATATCTTGTTAATTTAGATGCAGCCTTTACTAAACATATTTAAAATAATAATAACCCTAAGCGAAGCAGCTAATCGCTATTCCCGGGTATTATTGTTTACATGGAACCAGTCTGACCAGTCACCGTCAAGGCTCACGCGCACGTGATCGCGTGATCGCGAGAATTTCATGTTGACATAGAATGGTCAAACAAAAACAAATATGACTTTTAACGAGTCAAAGTATGGCATTTATGATATATGTATCCATTCTCTGTCAACTAAAGTTCGTTTCAAGGCGTCAATAGCGATATTCTGACCGTGGTTGCTGTTAATAATGGTGAGTTGTGCGATCTTCCGATCGCTTCACACACGATTTCGCCGAAATTAATAAAAACAATATTAAAAGGAATTTTGAATAAAATTAATGAAATAAGTTACAAATATAAGTCCAGATATACAAAGAACACTTTTTATAGCCAGACAGTGTAATTACATGATTATTTTGCGTACTTCAGTATGGATTTGTTGACATGGTATTCCCGGTGTTTCGTGCTCACGGTAATGTCTTTCCATAGGGGAAAAAAACATCCAAACTCATAATTCGTGTATAATGTGCACCCCCTTCTACACAGCTGTGTTTTTTGGAAAAAAGTGTGCACTATACTCAAGAAAATACGGTAGTTTCTAACACTGTTAAGCATGTTAAACTTTGCTTTTGAACATGTATGACAGTATTTCTGTGGTCCGTGTATTACTGTGAGGTTCACATGGTGGTATATGTTCCAGGAACGCTCCCAACCAGACTGTGTTGTTCAGTATGCTGCATCCCCTGGACGAGGTGGCTCCCATCATCACCAAGACTTCGGGTCAGTCTGAATGGCTGTATCTTGCTTATACAGTTAATAGTAATGTGTAGTGCTGTCTTGGGACGAGGAGAAACTGTCCTCAGTCATGTATGGAATTCTGCAGATGCAATTACTGACCTGCATTGTTTCTCTTTACTGTCTTGGACTAGCTTCTCCAGGAGTTAATGTATGTTGGCTCTCAAAGTGTGAAAACTATGAGATTATTTTTTTCAGATGAATGAAATTTACAATCAAACTCTGTTACATTTACTTATCAACGGTGACTGATTTGAGGGCTGGGTGGTCCTGTCTGTTTGGTACGAATTGGGGTCACTTTGACAAGTTTCTCTTGTCATCAAAAGCTTCCACTGATATGATCAGACAACTTCCACTGATCGTACAGTGGAAAGCGGATAGATCACTAAAGAAGCCCACCGGTCAGCAGATCGTGTCATCATGCCCATCTGGCAGTGATCTGACTCTTACCGCTTGACAACCCCTGCCAGGTCGGTCTTACCACTTGAACCCCAGTGAACTTGTGTTCAGCAACCCATACTTGTTGTAAGAGGCAACAAACAGGATCAGGTGTTCAGATTCGCTGACTTGGTTGATCACTCACTCACACTCACTCAGTCACTCAGTCACTCAGTCACTCACTCACTCACTCACTCACTCACTCACTCACTCACTCACTCACTCACTGTCATGTATTGATTCCTGGTCCCGTCTCTGTGTAGGTGGCGGTGGCTCCCCCAAAGTCGGCTACATGACAGACAACACGCAGCACCTGGTGTTCACCAGCACAAACCCCTCCCTGGCATTCACGTACGACACCGAGCTCGGACTTCACTCTGTGTGGAGGATACGCTCAGCCAGAGCAGACGTAAGAAATTCTTTGCTGTAACACCGATGTAATATAAACAATGTGTGGAACAGTCTAAATGCTCTGACTACTGGCTTCACTGAACAACTGTGTACAACTGAAGTAGTGTCGGAAAGAGACTGAGATAGAAGGATTAATCATCAGTTATAAGCAAGAAGTACGAATATCTACACAAAATTATTTTTGATATTACAAGTTCTTTTTGTTTTTCAATCAGATGTTTATTTGTAAAATGCCATGAAGTAAGGCAAATAGCAAATAAAGACGATCGTAATGGTCATCATCGGTTGACAGGACGTGTTTCACCTGGATGGGTGATGGAATCCATCTCTGATATATTTTGTAATGTTTACCATACACATATTGTATCTCTAATTACCCTTCTGATCTGAAAAATGTTTCATTATTACTATTCTGATCATATTTCCATTCCATTTCCAACCCTAGGAGCAGAGCACTCTGTCCGTTGCCCTGGACAACACCAGCTTCCTCCACCTGATGTCCGGGACCCCTGGGCACAACCAGTCCAGCAGCAACCACTCCCGCTTCTTCACCAACATCTCCGGCCAGTCCCCATGTGTCTCCCCACTCCGCAGCTTCTCCGGGCGGATCTCCTCCCCTGCGGGACTATCACGGATGCAGAGTCCTAGTGTCACCAACATGGCCGCCGTCAGGTACTGCTGCACTCATCTTAAGATTCATTTAGAGAAATTTATTATATGCATCAACTGTTTTTTTTTAGTTTTATTTGCTTTGTATCTATAGGTTTGAATGTTTTGTGCTTGAAATAGGTCATGGTGCTTCCTATGTACATTGAACACTTATATATTGCAATAAACACATCCGAAAGTGGGGTGGTGGGGCTGCCTCGTTTGTTATAATGTTCACTTATCAAATTATGGTCGTTTGGACCTTCCGATCAATCTGTGCTCATTCTTATGAGGGGCGGTCGGGTAGCCTGGTGGTTAAAGCGTTTGCTCGTCACGCCGAAGACCTGGGTTCAATTCCTGACAAGGGTACAATGTGTGAAGCCTATTCCTGGTGTCCCCCGCCGTGATATTGCTGGAATATTGCTGAAGGCGGTGTAAAACAATAATCACTCATTCTAATGAGTCTGAACACTACTATTTCACACAGTGTGTGACACTTGGCTGATTGTGTGTCATTGTGCCTTCCTTGTGGGGAAACAGGGCTGAAACTACTCCCATCAACCAATGCTGGTCACAAGAAGCGACTTAATGGATTGGGTGGTGAGGCTAGGTGCCTGGATAGATGGGGTGTCACTTCACCCTGACGGTGTGGATCGTTACTCGCAATGTCAATCACTGTATTGTCTGGTCCAGACTTGATTCTTTATAGGCCACTGTCATATAGCTAGAGTAGAATAGGTCTTCAGCAACCCATAAAAAGTATGCTTGCCGTAAGAGGTGGCTAATGGGATGAGGTGGTCAGGCTTGCTGACTTGGTTGATGCATGCCATCGTATCCCAATTGCGTGGATCGATGGTCATGATGTCAATCACTGGATTGTCTGGTCCAGACTCGATTATTTACAGACTGCCGTCATACAGCAGGAATATTGCTGAGTGCGACGTTAAACAACAAATAAAAAACAAACATACTACACATTTTACTTGTTGAATCCTAAAACTTGGATCATGTGGATCTTCAGAAGTTGTCTTGAATATGGTCAAGGTCTGGAAGTCATGTTTTTGGACTGGAAGTACATGGTGGTATTTCAGATTTTAGAAGCTTTGAGGTACTGGTCGTGAAGAGACTGCATTATTGCTGAGTGCAGCTTTAAACAACAACAAACAAACAAATCATTACAGGCCCCAGTGATACAGATGGGATCTGGCTGAGGGGTGTGGAACAACATTCATGTGTTCCGTTGTATTATGTTTTGCCCATTGTATCTGTTGCAGTCGCTCACAGTCCCCTGGCCTGGCAGGGTCGTCGTCCATGTACAGATTCCACTCCCCGTCCCCTGCCTCCGCCCGCTCCCCTGGGGCCTACTTCCGCACCCCCAGCGGCTCTCATAATGTCTCCCTCACTGGCAATGACAGCATCACCGAGTTTGAGGCTCCCCTAAAACCGGAGATATGTTTCGATCATCTGTGGACTGAACCACCCCCTCCAATGAGGTAGGTTTTAAAAACCACACCTTTTAGATTATATGAAACAGACTCCCTCATTCACCAATAATTTCAGATGTATTCTCTGAGAGTCAATTGTTTTTATTTTTTGTCTTGTTGATTTGTGCCCTGATTACGTTGATTTATTTACTTGTTTTGTACCCATCTTATCTAACATGTCTCAGAGAACACACCCTGTAAAGATGTGGCTACCGAGGGTCAGGCTTGCTGAATTTGTTGATACATGTCATCATATCCCAAATGCCATAATGGCCATTTATCATGTTTATCCCAAGCTTTTTGCTTTAATTAATATTAAAAATCAAAGACTTAAGTGAATATGTATTCATTGTCCTCTCTATTTTGTAAAAATCTATTAATTGATTTTTTGTGTCTCACTGGTATTTTTCACCTGATTAAGCCTCCATGTTTCTTTCATGGAATTCTTGGTGAGCTGTTTTGGTGCTATTTTCAAAATTGAGAACAGGAAAGGCAGGCTCAATCATCTAATGCACTGGAATTCCCTTCCCGCCAGAAATCTGTAGGTTTGAATCTTAGATTCGCTTGATTATGTTTCTAGGTTTGTCAACACCATCACCTTGGTCATGTGTTCCACCAAAGTGATAAACGCCTGTGACATTCATAACTTTGCACTTAGTTCACATACCAAGCTGTTGGCTCGAATAGTTGCACAAAACTGTAGCAACCTAAAGCAATGTTCACTCACTCCACATTATGCTGGCACACCGTGATAAAACTGAAATTCTTATCAAAGAGAATTAAACACAACTTACTCCAAGTGGAGGGCTTATCACAGAAGTATGTTTATGTCCGAGTCGTTAGTTCCCAAGTGACCCGTGAAGATTCCGGGGTAGAATAGGTCTTCAGCAACCCATGCTTGCCGTAAAAGGCGACTAGGCTTGTCGTAAAAGGCGACTAACGGGATCGGGTGGTCAGGCTCCCTGACTTGGTCATCAATCCCAATTGCGTGGATTGATGCTCATGATGTCAATCACTGGATTGTCTGGTCCAGACTCGATTATTTTACAGACCGCCGTCATATAGCTGGAATATTGCTGAGTGCGGCGTTAAACAACAAACCAAACCCAAAAAAGTTCCAAGTACAGAGTATGTTCACTGGTGGTCCATATATGTCGCTAGGGATGGACCACTGGGAAAGTCCTCCAAAGCGTTCCTGTGTAAAGACTTCTGTGGCCAGCAGTATCTGTGTTTCATGGTGCCCTACAGACAACAGCTCAGGTGAGTCCAGTGTAGTCATCATCATCATCATCATCATCATGATGATGAGATAAACCTACTCGTTTTCAATGCAGGGCTAGGTTACCTGTAGATTTACCCGTGCAAATTTGAATTTGGAACTGAATGTGCAGGCAAGTGTTTTGAGTGGGTTGGCGGAATCAGAATTTACGAAAACACCAACAACATCCTTTTAGCAAAATATGGTGCGCTAAATGCTCAAGCAGTTCATTTACACCGTAATACTTTACTCGAACTTAAGACAGGCTCTGTAAGGATGTAGCATGGCAACTTTGTAAGCTAAAAGTTTGGCATCACTAAAGAATGTGTGAAGATCCGGGTTAGAATGGATTTCAGCAACCCATGCTTGTCAGAAGAGGCGACTAATTGGATCGGCTGGTCAGGCTCCAATTGGTGTAGGTTGATGCTCATGATGTCAATCTCTGGATTGTCTAATCCAGACTTGAATATTTACAGACTGCTGTCATATTGCTGGAATATTTTTGAGTGATGCGTTACACAACAAACAAACAACTATATAAGATGCCTGTGATACATTCTGTAACATCGTTCATACACAATGATATGTAGTTGCACCTTGTTTGCAGATGTGTCAAGTTTGAGGAGAGCAATGACCTGAGTCAGCTGATTTTCGGCTCCATCACTGTGCTACAGGCCAAGGATGTCACACCCATTGAGGTGAGTGTGAATCTGTTTCACCAGTCCACGTCAGCCACCTGACATAGGGCACCACCTTTCTGGATGGAATAAAATATACAACTACATTGTCTGAGCCCTGTTGCACTCACAGAAAGTTGTCATATCTCTAGCCAAATATTAGAGTTAGTATTTTGAATATCATAAGACATATCTTTTTAGCGGCCTACTAGTGACTTTCAATTGACACTTGTTTTAGATGTTTAATTTGTCAGGAGTCTTGACTATATGAAAAGTCTGGTTATCATGGTTGATTATTACCAGATGTGTACTGTTATGTTAATGTGGTTGAGGCTTGTACTGTTGTCATGGTTGTACTGTGTTGTCGTGTCTGTGGTCGTCATGTCAACATCACTATGGTTATTATTGTGTTGTGGGCCGCCTCTGTGGTCTAGTGGTAGAGCGTCTGCCTGGAGAGCGGAAAGTTCGGGGATCAATCCTCAGTCGTACCATACCAGAAGACGTTAAAAGATGGTACTTGTTGTTACCCTGCCTGGCGCTCGGCATTAAGGGGCTTAAACAAGAACTGGTCGGCTCGGAGTCAGTATACTGTGTCTGAGTGGGGTATTCATGTTAAACTGTGACATGGTATCTCAGTGGGCTAGCACTATAAATTGGCATCAGTCCGGACTAGTACAAGCGGCCACACACACACACACATGCATACATGTCGCTGTGTAAGTGCAATAATCTTGGACGCAACGTTAAACCCCATTTCACCTCACCTCACTATTGTGTTGCAGAGTCTGGACCTGCTACTGGTGCTGGAGCCTTCTGGGATCATTGTGGTGTATACAGGCACTACCAAGGTGGGTAAAATGACAACTATTCTTTTTAGCCTTACATATGGTGACTAAATTTCTGTATGAACAATGAACCACTCCAATGCCAATAGCTACTTGAAAAGCATAGGTCAACATGGTCTAATAATGTGTGTCCTTTCTCACAACAGTATTTGATTACCCTTGGCCTTCCTTCCAGGTCAGTCACGTGCACATCCCGATGTTACCTGTTGGGTCATGGTCTGCAAGCATGCAGAGAGCGGTCACCCCCTTGGGGAGCCCTGCCCGGGGGGGTATCTTCACCTCCAGCCGACCTCCCAGTGCTATGGATGCAAGGTTTGATGATGAGGTAGGAGGGATGTGTATAGGATCATGTTCGTGTTGGGTGGTGGCTGCAATATGTGATCATAATCATATGATTGAACCACATGTCTTCAAAACTTGTAAAATTAGTTATGATAAGGTGTCAGTGAAGACACTAACCACAATATTGTATCAACATGTCCAATTACACAGAGAAAGATGTTACTGTATTGTTTTAGAGATATTTTTGCAGATGATGCATGGTTGGTATAGCCTACACTCCCAGAGATATGATATATGGTTGATGTAGTCAACTCTCTGTTCCCTCCCAGAGATATGGTAGATGGGTAATATAGCCAACTCTCTGTCCCTCCCAGAGGTATGGTATATGGGTAATATAGCCTACCCTCTGTTCCCTCCCAGAGATATGATATATGGTTGATGTAGTTAACTCTCTGTTCCCTCCCAGAGATATGATATATGGTTGATGTAGTCAACTCTCTGTTCCCTCCCAGAGGTATGGTATATGGGTAATATAGCCTACTCTCTGTTCCCTCCCAGAGGTATGGTATATGGGTAATATAGCCTACCCTCTGTTCCCTCCCAGAGATATGATATATGGTTGATGTAGTCAACTCTCTGTTCCCTCCCAGAGGTATGGTATATGGTTGATGTAGTCAACTCTCTGTTCCCTCCCATAGTTATGGTAGATGGGTAATATAGCCTACTCTCTGTTCCCTCCCAGAGTTATGGTAGATGGGTAATATAGCCTACTCTCTGTTCCCTCCCAGAGGTATGATAGATGGGTAATATAGCCTACTCTCTGTTCCCTCCCAGAGGTATGGTAGATGGGTAATATAGCCTACTCTCTGTTCCCTTCCCAGAGAGATGATATATTGGTAATATTGTCTTCCCTCTATGCCCTCCCTGAGAGGTGATACAAGGTTAATATAGCCTACTCTCTGTCCCTTCCCAGAGAGATGATATATGGGTAATATTGTCTTCCCCTCTATGCCCTCCCAGAGAGGTGATACAAGGTTAATAGAGTCTACTATCTGTCCCCAAGTTTAACTACATCTCACCAGTCCCCTCCGAGACAGATGATATGAGTCAGCTGGACGCCTCCATCAGTGATGTAGCAACAGGTGGCAACAGCTTCATTCAGAATCTCAGGGACAACGTTGGCAACAGGTTCACAATTGTAAGTATTCTAGTGGAGTTGAGTAATGAATTTCTTTTGTGAAGAGTGGCGACAGTATAGAGAAACACACTTGAATGCATATTACCAATTTTACCTTACCCTGACTCATACTAATTGCTTGTCTCTTGTTATTCCCAAAAGGTAGCGGAAACTTCTTGTACTGTGTTCCCAGAGAACAGAAATACATATCACCGCAATGCGCCCCTCTCACGCGGACGCAGACCAGAACCTCGTGACCAATCCGTGGGACTCTTCACCCTCCTATTTTCATGCCAACGAGCTAGTTTGGCTTTTTTTTTTCTGTGCTCATAATCCGAGCCATCCTTTCAAAATTACCCACTCTCATTAAATTTTGTTGTTTGGATTACCTTTTTCTAACATTCCTTTATCATATTCATCAATAATTTTCATGATGAAAACATCTACTATATGTCACCATCGTATCTCCGATCGTGATCCCTAACCCATCAGTTCTACGTGCTCTCAACAATGTACTGCTGAAGTTAGATGCGATTTTTGCTCTTCACTTGAAGACGAAGAATTTGCGGAATACTTATACAGTCGAGAGGAAGAAGAAAGAGAAGGGACTCTTCTAAAGGCACTTCATCATCGGAGATGACTTCCAGGAAGAAGGAGAAGACAGAAAAGCATCAGACTACCCCACCCCCCCTTCATAGAAGATGAAGTGCAGATTGAACTTACTTCGTCACAGACTGCTCCTCCTGCAACAGCACCGATTTCTTCCCTTAGCAGTAGGAGCGTTGATTGCTTACTGAATGGAGCTTCAAAATCTAAGAAGAAATCTCCACCTGCATAATCGGACCCAGGCAAGAATCTTCTAGCCTTAGCAATGAAAAAGAAGTCTTCTTCGAAGTTGTCTCCCTCCATGAAGACCATGTCTTTTACGAAGGCTCACACCTCCATGAAATCAAAGCCATCATAATCCACGAAATCTTCTTCTTCCAAGAGATAGAAGACATCCGCAACCCTTCACCTTCATTTCTCAGTCATCTCACCTATCTGTGGCACCTAACACAATGCTTCTGATCTCCTCCTTCCAGGGAGACTCCCCCTAGTGATACTTATTGCAAGAACAGAGAGGATATAGATACCTTGACCATCGTGCCGATCTAGCCAATCTCCCAGATAGCTAAGAATTTGGATGCTTCTTTCAAAAAGCCTACCCAGACCAAGGGTTTACAAACGCCACACTTCAATGCCAAGAAATGTCCCCTACACATCATGGCTGCTTTTCTGTGGGCTCCAGAAATTGATGAAGACTATACCTTAATGTCCGATTCCAAAATTAGGACATATCGTGTGGATGATAGCAAGCACAGCTAGATACAACTGACCAGACGTTGTTTCTTTGGTCTTTCTATCTCATGCTCAGGTTTCTGATGGGTCAGAACCTTATTCAAGTTCCAGATGATCATTGGATCAAAATCCAAAGCTGTATTCTGTCCACAAACAAATATCAGTCAACCAGTGGCAAGTGACTTTAGGTCTACTAACTTCTGCCTAGTAGACTTTATCTACGTTCAGAATTTCTCAAACTGTTCTTAGACCAACAAGGACTCATACTTCCACTTCCACAATGCCTGAAGAAACATCTCCAGTGGTTGACAATCAAGTTCAGAGTCATATATCGAGACCCACCTATTGTGAGATTCAAGCAATTAGTATGAGTCAGGATACGGTAAAATATCAATTTTTTAGGGTAAATATATCATTTATACTGATCCTGAACCACACACTGAAGCACCCGCACAGCTGTCCCTGCTCTCCTGATGTAATTTCAACTTAGGAAGTATAGGGAAAATAATTAGAAATGTCACACGGACTGGTCACGTGATTCTTGCTGAGACTGCGCGTGAGAGGGGTGCATTTGGGTAAAATGTTTTTCTGTTCACAGGAAGTTTCCACGACCTTTCAGGAATGAGAAGAGAGGTGCAATTTGTCAGGATTGTCCTAGGATTAGTATAAATGATATTTTTACCCTAAATAATTCACCCATGTGATCCATTCCCTTGGTTCTTGCGATTGAAGATTAACCCCCAGAGATTTAACATGTATTACCTAGAAACCAAAGCCACCGCCAGTTTTAAGGGACATGGAGACGCTTTCTTTTGAGTGTCAGTCAGTTTTTCAATGATGAATTTCTTGCAAACTCGATCAGTGGGACTGGCCACCATTTTGTTGATAATGCCAACCCAACATTGAGGCTGGTTTGTAATTCGCATTCTGATTGGTACGTTAGACCTTGTAGCATAGCCAATCAAATTGGCAAATAGAAATCAAGGGCGGGTAATTTGAGATTGTGAGAACTACAGGAATGGATCCAGGGTGTAGGTTGTTATATTACATGTCAATATGCCATGATTCTACTGAAGGTTAAGGTGCCAGTGTGTATATTACCAGTACCATTTGCACCAATCTCATTAAAATCAGATCTTAGTTCTCGCTACCGCTAAACAAAGCTTTGTTTAGCGGTAGCGAGAACTAAGATCTGATTTTAATGAGATTGCATTTGCACTGCTCCGGTTTCACTGTCAGCTTGGAAAAATAGTTTCCCAAATCACAATAAGAAAACTTTATATAGGCCAAATGCAGTGTAATAAAATGCTATTAATCTGTATCTGCAGGTGCCTCATTTCTGTTTGGTGAAAGTATATTTCATTTTGATTATGTTGTAAAGATTATTATGAGAACAGTTCTGAAATGGAAGACTGACATTTACTAACTCATTGTGCATTCCTCCCAGGAACTGTTAAGTGGGCAGCTCTGTCGGACATCCATGCCGCCACTCAGCAAGTCACCGGGAAGTAAGTCAGTGTTGTCTCATCAACTATAGGAGGGATGTCATTGTATATTGCAGTATTAATGTATAGTTGGTTGGTTGGTTGTTTTTTTTGTTTAACACCGCACTCAGCAATATTCCAGCTATATGACAGCGGTCTGTAAATAATCGAGTCTGGACCAGACAATCCAGTGATTAATAACATGAGCATCGATCCAAGCAATTGGGATCTATGACATGCATCAACCAAGTCATCAAGCCTGACCACCTGATCCCATCAGTCCCCTCTTACGACAAGCATAGTCGCCTTTTACGGCAAGCATGGGTTGCTGAAGACCTATTCTACCCCGGATCTTCACAGGTCTATAAATGTATAGAATGAAAAGAATATCGATGCTGAATTTATAAATCATTGTACAGAAATGATGACATTTGTTAAGATTACCATGGTTATGATTGACAATAAGAAGGCAGAACATGTTAAACATTTAATTGATCAGTCCAGTTCATATTGAGCTGTAAGTTGATTAATTGCAGGTCTGAGCTCTATGCAGGCAGACAAAACATGTTCAAATCCACCATTCAGTTCATTCAGATAAGAGGAAATGTGTTTCATTTCAACACCAGTACTCACCATCTAAAAGGAAGTGTATGCCCCAATCTATGAAAAGGGGATTTGTATAGAAAGGTAAACTCCAGTGTCTGTTCTCCAGTTGGGATGTGTCTGCAAGCTCTGAAGCACCTGTTGCCAAGGGATACTGCTCTGCAGGTGCTGGGGAAGTGGTATACCTCCCACAACACCCCAGGTAGCCCCGGCAACCAGTCGGAGTGGATGCTGTTCACCAAGTGTCTGCTGACCATGATGGGGTATGACATCAGTAGACTTGCTCTCACCAGCAAGGTAGGAACCCCAAGGCCTCATAATATTGTTTGTTTATTTGTTGTTTGACGCCGCACTCAGCAATATTCCAGCTATATGAAGGCGGTCTGTAAGTCTAGTCTGGACAAGACAATCTAGTGATTGACATCATGAGCTTATCCACACAATTGGGATACAATGATATGCATTAACCAAGTCAGCGAGTCTGACCACCTGTCCCCGTTAGTCACCTCTTACGACAAGCATAGTCGCCTTTTACAGAATTCATGTGTTGCCAAAGACCTATTCTAACTCAAATCTTCATGGCTCCTGATAAGAACCTCAGCAGATGCATTACATATTCTTAATTTCTATGCCGAATTTCTTGCATGTGAAATAGGATTTTTAGAAGTCATTTAAAAATTAATGTTTTTATTAAAAAAACTAGAATAATATGTTACCCTGTTATTCATTCTATGGGATCTTTTGAGTTACATGGGTGTCATTGGCTCTGAGGGTTGAGGATTTTATGAGCTGCTGACACGTGTTTCCTTGTATTGCAGCGTGACCTTGACACTTCTATGTCCCCAGTCATGTCTGCAAAGAGAGCGAGGCCCTCAGACCAGGGCTCGGAGGATGTGAGTCTTCCATGTGACACCGACTCCCACGAGTGTTATCTCAGTATAGCTTCTTGTTAGACCAGTCTTCCTTAATGCCACATGGCTGTATGTTGACTGGAATGTTACACTTACAGGAGAGGAGTCTCATTAAAATCAGATCCTTTACTCAGATATGATACCTCTTTATGTGAAAATCAGAGGATAGTTCCATAGGAGGTTGACTCCGGTGAACTTTCTGTTCACCCAATCAGCATCGAGGCTTCTAAATTCTTGGTATGAGTGAGAAAAATGTTCAGACGTGAAAACTGATTTCTGTATCTCAAAATCATCACTCCATTCTCCCTTGCATTCTACATTGAGTTCATTGTTCCAAATTAAGCGTGAGATTCAAGGTGTCCTTGACATTGCCCTAATGTTTAACGTTATAGATGGACTAAAGGAGCTAACGTCAAGCCCCTCAGGGTCCCCCTTAATTTCAAACACTGGAGCTGATATTCAGATTGGTATACATGGTATAAGCATTTGCTGGAAAGCATTATTTGGTAGTGTTTCCACATCCAATAAAGGATGGTTGTGTGAGTCTGTTCCTTGTGGCTGACTGAGACCATGAACAAACTTCACAAGCAAGGGCGGATGCAGCCTTTTTGAAAGCGAGGGATCCAAAATATTAAAATACTCACTCTTTATAATTTTACTGCCTACAACATACTAGATTTGGTTTTCAAAAGGGGCGGGGGGTTGGGGTCCTGACGCCTTGGCCTCCCCCACTGGCTCCGCCTATGAAAAGCAGTATCCACCAATACCATACACCGAAAGGAAATGTCACACTGACACTGCTCTCGGTGTGTGCCTTGTTAGCATTGACAAATTGTCTGACAAACAAGTGGATGTTCCTTATCAAATCGGGGCGGTCGGGTAGCCTAGTGGTTAAAGCGTTCGCTCGTCACGCGGAAGACCCGGGTTCGATTCCCGACATGGGTACAATGTGTGAAGCCCATTTCTGGTGTCCCCCGCCGTGGTATTGCTGGAATATTGCTAAGAGCGGCGTAAAACCATACTCACTCACTCACTCCTTACCAAATCGTGCAGGTAATGACGTGTCAAAAAGTTCCATTCCGCACAAAAATGTCACAAAAACTGTATATCCCTTGAACTCCCAATGCCATTTTGCCTATTTTATCACACCAAAAACTTGTCTATGCTTAACCTTGAGTTATCAGTCTATGACAAGTATGAATCTCATTAATGTTATTTTAAATACTCCAGCAAAGTGTAAGAAATGTATGAATTGGTAATGTCATTACATGTATATCTGGTTGGTACTGATTTAAAGAACTAGTTGTTATTTATAGGATTGGGATAATCTTGTCAACTCGGACCACCACCGCTTTGTGTCAGAGAATTTGGAGGATGCACTAGAGTTGTCTCCCTGCACAGCCATCCCAGATCGAGTGGCCTACTCCAAGCCCTGCTCCATCAACGACAACAGCCTCCTGTTTGTACACAGCCCTGCTGTCATGCTGGCTCTGCACCTTGTCTACGAGGTCAGTGGGTTGTTGTTGTTCAAGTATAGCGATGTGCCATCAAGCAAGTGTACATGTATACTACTCAACAGAAGTAAAGAACACCCGATGTTTTTATTTTTGGGATAACACTTTCTTAGTAAAGTACAAATTCTAGTACTTTTTGGGTTGAGTCCCATCCTGTAAAGAACACATGATTTTTCCTTCTGACTATCTGAACTTATGTCATTTGAAAATATCTGGTGCTCTTCACATGTTATGTCATGACAGATTAACAATAGTCATTTGATGAAAAAGGTCGAGTGTTCTCTGTAACTTCTTTTGAGTATTGTTGGGGGATTAGGACAAAAGTATATTCAGTGAATTTGACTGTGTTGGAACTCTTAAGTGATAATGGGGGCGGTCGGGTAGCCTAGTGGTTAAAGCGTTCGCTTGTAAAAGACCCGGGTTCGATTCCCGACATGGGTACAATGCACACAGCCCATTTCTAGTGTCCCCCGCCGTGATATTGCTGGAATATTGCTAAAAGCGGCGTAAAACCATACTCTCACTCACTTAAGTGATTATGAAGCTTCTGGTCTGCAAACATTACCGAGTCAACATGGTCAATGAAAATGAAAATATATTATTAATAAAGTAAGATTCACACTTAAACATGTATTACCTGACAGTATGACATGATTCTACTGAAGGTGAAGCTGCCAGCGTGTTTATGACTGCCATAAAATGATGACACATGGTTGGTCCTCAGCCATGTTTTAGAGCCAAAGTTAAGCACCACTGAATCACAGCTTATAGAATATGTACTTCTCCTTGGGTGAGTGGCTTTGTTCAAACAACTCACCCAGGAGTGTATGGTACCCATTTGGATGAGATGTAGCATCACGAGCTGATCCATGGACTGGAGTATGAGCATGTAGCATCACGAGCTGATGGGCGTGTCTTAGGGCATGGATATGGTGTAATATCAATAACCCAATGAAGATCTGGGTTAGAACTGGTCTTCAGCAACCCATGCTTGTCCCCCATGAAGATTCATGTTAGAACTGGCAATCAGGATTGGGTGTTAGGGCTTGCTGACTTGGTTGATGCATGTCATCGTATCCACTTGCGTAAATCGATGCCCATGATGTCAATCACTGGGTCATCTGGTCCAGATATATACAGTCAAGTCCCGTTAATTTGAAGTGGTTGGTTGCAGATGATTATGTAGTATCAACGTTCGTGATCGAAAATCAAACAACTATGCGATAGATAACATACAAACACGTTATAAAAAAATGAAATTTTCATATTGTTATGTTACATTGTTTGCAGAATATGTTTTCTAAACATGCAACCTCTGAAGCTCAACACAAAACAGACTCTATGACAGATTCAAAATACTTTAAAAGCATAGTCTTGAATGGAAGTCGCCAGTTTGAAACTGATGCTGCAAAGCTCAAGAAAGTTGCTTTCTTAGTGGCAAATGTCGACCTCCTGTTAGTCATTTCATTGGTTGGTCATAGTTCGCGAAAGGTCGTTCTGACATGACCTGTAATTGGATGTCCTCAGCAGTAGCGAGAACTTGTATCTGATTTTGATGAGATTGAGGTAATCTTAGCATGTGATTAGTCCTGTTTTATTTATTTGAAGTATTAGTTGTTTATTGTTAAGCAAGTTTATCTCTGCAGCCGTTGTAATATGTAGCTACTAGCCGACTCGTCTGGTATCAAAACACGGGGCTGTGTACTCGCAGGCAGATATCAACAGAGTACGCTGATCACTGTGTCAGATTGAGACTGATTAATGAGTGATTTCAGTAATTTGTTGCTAATTAGGTGTGTCGGAGTCGGAGTGCGAGACTGTCGGATTAACAGGTCTAAATAGCAATGATTTAATTGGTTGCCATCATTAGTGTCAGATAAAGCCGATTGTCGATTCAAGAAACTTGACTGTACATAGCTCAAATAACAACAGACCAAAAAAACAGAGCAATATCAATATGCATTTATTATTTATTATCATGTTTTGTCAGGAGATGAAGTTGAATGTTCTGCTGGCTGAGGAACTACAAGACCTGGCTACGGTTCTGTTCCAAATTGCAAGGTTTGTATGCTTGTTACGTTACCTTTTGTAAAGTTGCAACGTTGATGAATCCCCTGTATAACATGTAAATACTGTAGCACTGTGAGTCCTCGAGTTGTTGCTGCAACATATGAATCAGTAGGACTCTGATTTAATGCAGTTGTTATTGTAATAGGAGTGGGTAAGAAATGGATGACTGAAGTGCTGATTTCATTACATAGAGGCTTCCTTCTTCACTACTTGGACAGCAGTTTTAGTCCGCTAGTCCATTATAACATATAGCAAAACCATTAAAAATGGCAAATTTCTACTTGTCCTTATAATACCTTAACTAAAGGGCAGTTTTGCAAGGACTAAAAGATTAGCACCAATTCCTATCGAAGGACATGCAAGCTTGTGTAATTTTGAAAAAAAGTGATGTATGATTGAAGTGGTGACTTCATTACGTAGGGGCTTCCATGTTCTCTACTTGGACATGACCGCCTCCGTGGTCTAGTGGTAGATCGTCCGCCCGGAGAGCGGAAGGTCCGGGGTTCGATCCCCGGCCGCATCATACCAAAAGATGTTAAAAGATGGTACTTGTTGTTACCCTGTCTGGCGCTCAGCATTAAGGGGCTAAAACAAGGACTGGTCGGCTCGGAGTCAGTATACTGTGTCTGAGTGGGGTATTCATGTTAAACTGCGGCATGGTATCTCAGTGAGCTAGAACTATAAATCGGCATCAGTCCGGACAAGTACAAGCAGCCACACAAACACAAACCCCATTTCACCTCACCTCTACTTGGACATGCAAGCTTGTGTAATTTTGTAAATACCTGATGTGCATTAAACAATGCTGATCTTAACAACTTACACAATGGTTCATCAAAGGGTATGTTTTGACAGTGATCTGAAGTGCTTGGCGTACACAGACTACTATTGTCGTGACTTCCCTGGCTTGTACGATGCTTCTGACGACATCAGCCAGATCACAGAGGGTAAGTCTCCACTACATGCTGCTCTATGACTGTGTTACTTGCAATGAATGCCAGACACATAAATGTGTCAAAATAAAAAAAATAGTTTGCAAGCAAGAACACCTCCCCTACCTTTTGTGAAATGATGCATTTTCCTGCCAAATAGTTGTGTTGATCCTGCTTTCAGAGAAAAAGATAGTATTAATTTTATCTTAAAGCAGTTGTTGCATTTATGTCGAATGTGATTGTGTTTATGTAGAATATGATTGTGTTCATGTAGAATATGATTGTGTTCATGTAGAATGTGATTGTGTTTATGTAGAATGTGATTGTCTTTGTGTAGTCTATGTTGGTTATTATGTGGAATGTGATTGTTTTTATGTGGAATGTAATTGTCTTTACGTAGAATGTGATTGATTAATTTTTGGAAAGTGATTGTGTTTATGGAGAATGTGAATGTGTTTATATGGAAGATGATTTATTGTTTTATGGAATGTGACTGTTTTCACATGTGGAGTTTGATTGTTCATGTGGACTATGATTGTCTTCATAATGAATGTGATCGTGTTAGAAGGAATTTGATACAGAATTATGAAGAATATGATAGTCTTTATGTAGAATCTGATTGTCATTAAGTAGAATACGACTGCCTTGTAAGGAATGTGATTGTCATTAATATGTGCAACATGACTGACTGTCACTATGTGTTGCATCAGATGACCTTCGGAAGATGCAGTACCCCTCCGTGTTCCCCCGACAGGTGCCCAGCGTCCAGCAATGGATCTACTACTACCTGCGCGGCCAGGACTGGACACCTCTGCCCTACATCCCCACCGTCTGCAACAACATTAGGAATGTCGTCACAGTCAGTATTTTCAGTGTTTGCTGACAGTAGAGAAGCATGCATTGTCTTGTCAAGAGGGAGACTATTATATGGGTCTGATTGAGGATTGTGACAGTGTATGACCGTATGGATTGTGTGTTTGATGCACAGATAGGGGGCACGGGTGGCCCAGTCGTCTAAGGCGCCGCGATTCGCTGTGCAGAGTTGTGTCCCTTGGGCACGCCAGAAATCTATTATTGTGGGTTTGGCGCCATTCGCCCCGATTATGTTTCTAGGCTTGTCAGCACCATACCCGTGCTCGAGGGTCTCACCGAAGTGCTAAACGTCTGAGACCTGCATCACTTCGGGCTTTCCTCCCACATTAAGCTGACACGCCGTGATATAACTGAAATAATGTTAAAAGCGGCGTTAAAACCCAACTCACTCATTCACTCACTCATGTAGTGATAATATGGATCGTTGTTCTGCCTGCCAACCAATGGTTTGCTGGCAGATCCTTGTGATATTGCTGGAAGCATAAAACAATACACATTCTGAGGTTGTTATTTTAAAATAATATATTATATCATGTTATCATGGTTATATGTTAGTACTATCAACACAGCTCCTTCTGTTTTTCAGCTATATGCTATACTGCTGAACAAAGATCTCTTGACAGAGCAGGCCATGGAGAAATGTCTCAAGAAAATTGCCCCAGCAGGTATAACTAGAATCCAATGACATATATGAACCCTATGAGGATTCCGGGTTAGAATAGGTCCTAAGCATCCTATGCTGGTTGTAAAAAGTGACCAAATGGATCAGTCTCATTGACTTGGTTGATAGTGTGTCCTCGAACCATGACATTGTTTTTCATTGCTCACAATATCGCTCACGGGATTGTTAGATCCATTTTCGATAATTTACAGGCAGCCATTATATGGCTGGAATATTGCTGAGTGCAGTGTTAGCGACAAGCAAAGAAACATACATGTAACAGACACAACATGGCAATGATGCATAATAATGAGTTTCTGCAAAGTTTCTATCACTTTCTCTGGAGATTTTACGAGAACATCTTCCCAACATGTTGCTAAATGGGTCCATGCAAGAGTTTTCAAATTTGAAAATGTATTGTGACAGAGCTACTGGAAGAAACATTGATGTTGATGAAAGATCGACTGTTGTAGGTCACCGAGCACCTACGGCGGACCTATCCATGTCTCAAAGCTTCCAGACCTACCCTCACATCGATGTCTCAGAGCGGCTCATACTCACTATGTCTGAGATGGGTAAGTGTTGTCTTGTTCCTTGTCCTACATATTGTAAGAAAACGCCCCGTGATCTAGTGGATAGAGTGTCTGCATGGAGAGTAGAAGGTCAGTGGCTCGATTCCTGGCAGCTTCGTATCAGATGGTAGTTGTTGCTACCTTGCCTGGCACTTGGTAGTTAGGAAATAAAATATGAACTGGTCAGCTCGGAGTCATTAAACTGTGTCAGAGTGGGATATCCATTTTAGTCTGCAGCATAGTATCTCGCTAGAGAGCTATAAAACTGACATTAGTCGGTACTGGTACAAGAGCACACGCACACAGTTCAGTTCAAACAAACAAACATTTTGCAATTGCTTCTGCACTTGTAGGGATATGAAACACCCATTGGCATTCTGGGCTAGAATTGGTCCCTAGCAATCTATGCTGGTCATAAGAAGCGAATAATAGATTGGGTGGTCAGGCTTCGTCACTTGGTTGATGGTGGGTCAAAATGCCCTGATTGCATGGATCGGTAATCACATCTATCAGACACTAGATTGTCTGGTCCAGACTCGATTATTTACAGGCCGCTGGGACCCGTGAAGATTCCAGGGTAGAATAGGTCTTCAGCCACCCATACCTGCCGTAAAAGGCGACTATGCTTGTCGTAAAAGGCGACTAATGGGATCGGTAGGTCAGGCTCGCTGACTTGGTAGATACATGTCATCGATCCCAATTGTTGGATTGATGCTCATGATATCAATCACTGGATTGTTTGGTCCAGACTTGATTATTTTACAGACCGCCGTCATATAGCTGGAATATTGCTGAGTGCGGCGTTAAACAAAAAAAAACCAAAAAATACAGGCCGCTGGAATATTGCCGATTGGGGCATTCAGCAACAGACACAAACACAGGGATATGAGAGAGCTGATGTCTGAAGATCAGGAAAATCAGTTTCCTGTTGGTACACAACTCAGTTACTTTACAAAGCATTGATATGAACACCGTGCATTTGATTTTGCTCTACTAGTTTTGATTTACAAAAGAGCTCTTTGAAACAAGGAAGCTGTATTTAATATTCACTAAAGGGAACAGGTCATGTGATATGTGTGCGTGTTTCTCTCCACAGGCATATTGCAAAAAGACCTGGAGTGTCTACCAGTGGGTGTTGCCCTTCCATTTCGAGAGGCCATCCTACACTGCAGATGTAACCCTCCATCTGATTGGCCAGAAGCAGCATACATCATGATTGGTCGACAAGACCTGGCACAGTTGATGTCTGCCCAGAATCAGAAGCCTCGCCCCCCTCAGGGCAGCCTTTCCACTCCGTCCTCACCCCAAGGGAAAGGCAGCAAGGAGGAGGAGGATGGGATGGAGCACATGGACGAGGAGGTGACTGGTCAACAGTAGGGGTGAAGCAATTCAGCAGAGTCACGATGTGATAAGTATCACGTGACATAGGTCACGATATGATACGTATCACGATACACAGGTCAAGATACGATAGGTATCCAAATACACATATTCATGTCAAATCGCATGGAAACTTCTTGACAATATTTCAGAGCAGGTTCAAAAGGAAAAGCTAGCTGCAGACACATGTTCGAAGCCGCTATTATAAGTATTGAACTTGAAACCCTAATCACTACACATTTTGCTATATCTGACTGACAAAAACACCAGAGGTCATTAAACGAGTGGTAAGTAATATATTTCAGCAAGGGTATTGCCTTGTATCGATACAGAAAACGTATGATGTATTGTATCATCACATGAAAACTGACGATGCACCGGTGCACCAATGTATCATTTCACTCCTATTGAATAGGGTCAATACTGACAAGTCTGTTGTGTGCTTGGGTAGAAGTGAACCAATGCCTGAGAAAACAGCTTGAATTAGGTTTTGGGATCAGAGAGGCAGAGTATGGTTGGATGGATGACTTCTGGCAGATCAACAGATGAGGTATAGCACAGTTGCTACCATCTGTTGTCACCACATTTTGGTTGAACCTGACGGTCATGGCTTTCCCTGCTCCAGGCTTGACCAAAAGCAGGCTGTCATGATATTTCTGAAGTACTACATGCAAAGGTTTGTTACAATTGATAGACACCTGCCTCTTTGCTCTTCTTCATGAAATGGTTGATACTGTGTTGGTACATTGCAGCAATATTGCCTGAACTTTTAATTGACAGCTAATAATGTTGTTTTATATCTGAGGAAATGGCATAGCCTATTGGTAGAAGTGTTTGCTTGTCATGTTGAATATTCAGAGTTCAGTTCCCCACATGGTGCTGTGTAGAAAGCTTTGTGCTTGTTTTGGTCCAAATCTTACAATATTCCCATTATGAATGTAGGTGTCTTTCACTACACTGACACCGAAAGAGTTATGTGAGAACTGTTTTGATGAGTATGTTGTTTAATGCTGCAATCAGCAATATTTAGGATATATGACAGTGATTAATATCTCAAACAAAACATTACATGACGTCAGGGATACAATGACACACAAGTCACCGAGTCTGACCCTAAGATTCAATATGTTCGCAAACTGAAGCCCCAGTTGTGATGAGACAGTGAGATGATGTGTGTCTGTGTGTTGCAGCTGCTGAAGCTGCGGTTCAGTGACGACTTGCGGGTCCAGGAAGTCCGGAGACTACTGCAGTCAGCCAGGCCGGCCAGGATTGCCCTAGTACAGAGGCCAGAAGTTAGGTGTGTACAACAGCCTGATGTACTCTCTGCCCTCGACATTCATGCTAGTCTGCTAGCTATATTGCCGAGCAAGTTCCTAAGCTGACTGTTGTGTGCAATGATGCAGTCTTGTAACGGAAAATACATCAGAACACAGTAGTTTCTTTGTCCATGAATTTACATGTTCTGTACAGTGAAGGAAATGTTTTGAATCATCCTCAGTGTTTGAAATTAAGTGTGATAGCTATGGGATCCTTTTCATAACCCAAGTAGTAAAAGTTAACATTTTAGGATGTCCCTAGATTCAACCAAAGGAAAGACTTCAAGAACCGTGGACCCTCCTAAATTCGAAGACAGAACTTGATTAGTTTAGAAGTTACACCAAATTTGTGCTTGAAATCAGATAATTTCACAAGACTCAAGCCTATATTTGGGTAGCAACCTCATTCATGTTCACCTATAATAATAACAGGTCCAACTGAACTGTCACTGAGGAAGTATGGTTCCAATATATCTCCTGTTTCAGTGACCACGACTTCATTGAAGAGCAAGAGAGACACCTTCTGGCTATCTGTATCAGGACAATGTCACTCCCTACAGGAAGGTGAGAAGACAACATGTCTGTTTGTTTGCAACTGAAGGGGACTCAGGGGGGTAAACAGTCTGAGCAAGTTTGATTTAAGTCCCTAGACACCACTTTGACATTTTATTAGTTATCATAGACCTTTTGACATAGAAGAGGTATACTGCCTTAAAAATACATGTACCTTCAAATTCAACAAAATGCCTGGGATAGGGCTTGAATTTGGCAGCCATAGATAACACAAGTAAGTTTCAATTGTTTATGCTGTTTTCATGCTCAAGGCGGTCATGTAGTAGACATTATGTTGTTAATTGATTGATAAATATTGTTGAATCTATGGTGTGTGGACTTGAATATTTTAGTAGTGAGTTTGGATGTACAAATGGAACCATTTTGACAATAAAATAAAGTGAAAATGTCTTTATAAGTCTGTTTGAATGTTCATTTGGTCTTACTTTTAACTTTGGCAAGTTATCATTTGCCATGAAATGGTTTAAGATGCCTTAAATGTGGTGGTTCAAGATTTGTATGCAGCATGCAATTGAAAGAGATATTATCATAGTTTCACTCAGGGCACTTAACATGCCAGATACAATGTTTAGACCTAGGTAAGACAGAGGCAATTGGCCTTGGATCACAGCCCCAGTTTGAAAAGGGTTCCTTGTGGAAGATAAATTTATGTTTTTTGCTCATGTGAAAGATGTATGACATCCATGTTTGTTGTCTGTGAGGCCTTATGATGGCTGGTGTTTTTCAGGGGAATGTTCACCTTGTCAACATACCAGCCCCTTCCGACAGAGACTCTCCCTATCCCCAAGCTCTGTCTCACAGGGAGAGCTCCACCAAGGTAAACCTGCATGACACACATTGTATATAGTCCTCCACACAACTGCTTCTTCTGTAAAAAAATATCGGCAAAGTACACTAAAAAATATGGAAAGTCGTGTTGATTTTGGCTTAATATGGGACATATAATATGGGTCTAGAAGTTGGTGAGTGAGCACTTAATATTTAAGAAATAAACAATGAGTGGGAGTTGTTTATCGTGCAATAAAACACTGCAGGGAGAATAAACTATGAGGGGCGCCGACCTGAGTGGTTTATTCTCCCTGCAGTTTTTATTGTATGATAAACAATGACCACGGGTTGTTCATTTCTTATATGAGATATCAACCTTATGTACAGCCTCTTAAAGGATGATCATAAAATGTACAAGCTTTAAAAATATTTACCCTTATTTAAATAATGATGACTCCCTCAATAGAATCTGACCTCGGCAATGTCAGACAAGTCCATTTTATGCACAGGTGGGCATTTCCTGCATATTCTCACAATCCTCACGTCAATTTCCTGTACCTTTTCTCCAAATACTGATCGTCATATCTCTCCTGCGATTGTTCGGCCCTCATGGTTAACTGTGTTGCCCAGCTACATCTATGGTTAACAACTCACTATACACTCCACTTTAATAAATATTGATGTGCAATATACGAGCAAGCGCATATTCAAATCTCCAGAAATGAGATCATGATAGAACAATGTTTTATCGTGACATAAACCAAGCTTGGTTGTTCACTGTTCTTTGCGATTTATCGCATAGCTGTCTTATAAAGGCAAATACAGTATATCATATCAGCCTGGGAATAATAGTCGACTAGTGGTTGATAGCATGAGCAATGACCCATATCATAGAGGCACTTTGTCTGTGTCTACTGTGTCTGAGTGGGGTATCCATGCTCAACTATGCATGGAATTTCAGTTTGCTAGCACTGAAAAACCGGCATTAGTTTAGACGAACACACAGTTATGAATAGTTATTTGCTGGTCATAAATATACTTGGTTTCAGATGTCTATTTTGTTACCATTGTTAAGGATATATACTTCAAAGACTCTGCTCTGATACTGCTATAAGCGTTGTGAAAGCTTATCTGTCTATTCATTGCCTGTATAAGTAATTATGCATACATGTGATGTTTGTGTTTCAGGAACACAACAGTTGATCTCACACACATCGACACTCCCGCCAACATGGCTGCCTGGCCTCAGTTCCACAACGGTGTCGCTGCTGGACTCAGGATAGCCAACGTATCTCAAGTAGGTGATGACAGCAAGCCACAGATAAGAGGTGGATCCAGGAGTATTCAAATGGGGTGGTTGCATTTTCTGATACTTAACTTCAATGGGGGAATTTATCTGGTGGGATGGGTGAATTGGAGTGGGGTTTCACTTGACATCAGACAAGGTTGAACACTGGTATCTCTTTGATATGAGTGGTTTTGTTTTGTTTTGTTTTTCATTGGGGTACATATGTTTTCAAATAGGTTGGGGGATGTCATACCCCGGGAACTCCCCCCTGGATCTGTCACTGACCAAAGCTAACAATACCTCAAAGATCAAATGACAGTTATATCTGTTTACTTGTTTGCAACATGTTCCCATTGTATTAAGGATGTGCATTTGATAATGTTCAAAATCGAGGTTGCTTAGTGAAATCACTTGCTCTCAGGGCCTGCTTGACCATATTATTCAGGACCAGTGAAGATCTGGGGTAGAATAGGTCTTCAGCAACCCATGCGTGCCGTAAAAGGTGACTATGCTTGTCGTAAGAGGCGATTAACGGGATTGAGTGGTCAGACTCGCTGACTTGGTTGATGTATGACATCATGTCCCAATTGCGTTTTTCGTTGCTCATGATGTCAATCACTGGATTGTCTGGTCCAGACTTGATTATTTTCAGACCACTGTCATATAGCTGGAATATTTCAGAGTGTGGCATTAAACAACAAGCAACCAACCAACTATATTATTCAGGCCGCCTCCATTATCTAGTAGTAGAGCATCTGCGCAGAGGGCGGAATGTCGGGGGTTCTATACCTGGCTGCATCATTCCAAAAGACGTTAAAAGATGGTACTTGTTGTTACCCTGCCTGGTGCTCGGCAACGGGGTAAAACAAGGACTGGTCGGCTCAGCGTTATCTAAGTGCAATAATCTTGAACACAACGTTAAACCTCATATTACCTTACCTCACCTATATTATTCACAGTGTTAAAATTAAGGTCTTCATCAAAATCCTCCCTGTATACTCTTTTTTCTTTCTTTGGATTGATGTTTGTGTTTGTTGTATTTCAGGTTGAATCGACATGGATTATATACAATAAGCCCAAGAGTAATGAGTTGTCAAACGAGTATGCTGGCTTCCTGATGGCTCTGGGGCTCAACAACCACCTGGTGAATCTCAACACCCTCAATGTGCATGACTACCTCAGTAAGGTGAGGACAACCACTGTTATTGAAGTGTCTGGAATTTTGGATTGCATTATAATGTGTTCTCATACATGTTATGATGTATTGCCATTGCATTTTTTAGATGTATAACTTGGTGATGTCAATAGATAACATGTTATTGGCTGCTTTGAGGTGCAAACAATAGGAACACTTTTGGTTGCAATTACTGGAGAAAATAACTTAGCAAAAGTAATGTTGGCAAAAGTCATGTCGGCGAAGGTAATGCCGGTTTGTGCCAGCACCTCTCTTGTGAGATTGCTTGTTCCTACAGCATATTTCACAATAATATCGAGCGTTTGGGTGGCCTTGCAGTTATAGCGTTCGCACGTTACTACAAAGACCTGGGTTCGATTCCCAACATGGGTACAGTGTGTGAAGCCCATTTGTGGTGTCCCCCGCCATGATGTTGCTGGAATATTGCTCAAAAAGGGTGTAAAACCATACTCCTCACTCACAATAACATTAGTGATGGCATACTGCTGTTTTCTTCCACATCTGACCTGCCCTTCATTTTGGTAAAACCAGAAAAATGGTTATTAATGTAAGCACTTCATTTCTTTGGAAAACCGGTAGTCCTCCATAGTTGGACTGTATTTTTCACATTATGTTTCAGGGGCATGAGATGACGACTATTGGTTTACTTCTTGGTTTAGCAGCAGCCAAGTAAGTGTTAGTGACATCAGTAAACTCTGTTCTGTATGTTGTCTAATGCAAGCTTTTGGTACCTGGAATGATATGGGTGGGGTGGGGTGGGGTGGGGTGGGGTGGGATGGGGTGGGGTGGGGTGGGTAATCGAAGAAGACAAACATGTAATTTTTTGTTGCAATGGTCTGACTGCATGTGTGGCCTCTAAATAAATGGATCTGGACCAAATGAACCAGTGATTGATATTATGAACTGTCAAGGTACAGGACACAGAATCAACCAAATCACTGGGCCTGATCCATTCTCTCGACATACTGGATGTCCTGATGTGTTAAAGAAGACAAATGGCTGGCTCCTGTCAAAGAACATATTCTTTGTCTTGATCCAATGACTGTAAAAGTGTTCTGCCTCAACCAGAAATACTATCGAGTGGTTGGTTCCTAAGGATGTAAGCTTTCCTTCTGTGTTTTTGTCAGAAAGGGAACAATGGATATGGCCATCACTCGTCTGCTGAGCATCCACGTGCCAGCCCTGCTCCCACCTACATCCACCGAGCTGAACATTCCACACAACATCCAGGTGGCAGCCATACTGGGCGTCGGCCTTGTCTACCAGGGGACGGGGCACCTGCACATGGCAGAGACACTGTTGTCTGAGATAGGTGGGTATCTACACCTGGTGGGGACACTGTTGTCTGAGATAGGTGGGTATCTACACATGGCAGAGACACTGTTGTCTGAGATAGGTGGGTATCTACACCTGGTGGGGACACTGTTGTCTGAGATAGGTGGGTATCTACACATGGTGGGGACACTGTTGTCTGAGATAGGTGGGTATCTACACATGGTGGGGACACTGTTGTCTGAGATAGGTGGGTATCTACACATGGTGGGGGCACTGTTGTCTGAGATAGGTGGGTATCTATGCATGGTGGGGACACTGTTGTCTGAGATAGGTGGGTATCTACACATGGTGGGGGCACTGTTGTCTGAGATAAGTTGGTATCTACACCTGGTGGGGACACTGTTGTCTGAGATAGGTGGGTATCTTCACATGGTGGGGGCACTCCTGTCTGAGATAGGTGGGTATCTTCACATGGTGGGGGCACTCCTGTCTGAGATAGGTGGGTATCTATGCATGGTGGGGACACTGTTGTCTGAGATAAGTTGGTATCTACACCTGGTGGGGACACTGTTGTCTGAGATAGGTTGGTATCTATGCATGGTGGGGGCACTGTTGTCTGAAAAAAGGTTGGTATCTATACATGGTGGGGGCACTGCTGTTTGAGATAGGTGGGTATCTACACCTGGTGGGGACACTGTTGTTTTGGATAGGTGGGTATCTACACATAGCAGAGACACTGTTGTCTGAGATAGGTGGGTATCTTCACATGGTGGGGGACACTGCTCTCTGATATAGGTGGGTATGTACGCTTGGTGGGGGCACTGTTGTCTGAGATAGGTGGGTATCTTCACATGGTGGGGGCACTGTTGTCTGAAAAAAGGTTGGTATCTATGCTTGTTTGGGGAACTGCTGTCTGATATAGGTGGGTATCTTCACATGGTGGGGGCACTGCTGTCTGATATGGGTGGGTATCTATGCTTGGTGGGGGCACTGCTGTCTGAGATAGGTGGGTATCTTCACATGGTGGGGGTACTGCTGTCTGAAAAAGGTTGGTATCTATGCATGGTGGGGGCACTGTTGTCTGAAAAAAGGTTGGTATCTATGCATGATTGGGGCACTGTTGTCTGAATAAAGGTTGGTATCTATGAATGGTGGGGGCACTGTTGTCTGATATAGGTGGGTATCTACGCTTGGTGGGGGCACTGCTGTCTGAGATAGGTGGGTATCTTCACATGATGGGGGCACTGTTGTCTGAATAAAGGTTGGTATCTATGCATGGTGGGGGCACTGTTGTCTGATATAGGTGGGTATCTACGCTTGGTGGGGGCACTGCTGTCTGAGAAAGGTGGGTATCTATGCTTGGTTGGGGGCACTGCTGTCTGAGATAGGTGGGTATCTATGCTTGGTTGGGGGGCACTGCTGTCTGAGATAGGTGGGTATCTATGCTTGGTGGGGGCACTGCTGTATGAGATAGGTGGGTATCTTCACATGGTGGGGGCACTGTTGTCTGAAAAAAGGTTGGTATCTATGCATGGTGGGGGCACTGTTGTCTGAAAAAAGGTTGGTATCTATGCATGGTGGGGGCACTGCTGTCTGAAAAAAGGTTGGTATCTATGCATGGTGGGGGCACTGCTGTCTGATATAGGTGGGTATCTACACCTGGCGGGGGCACTGGTATGTAAGTGCAGCATATTGTATGTGTATATTTGATGTATAGAAAACTGCTGTCCATGCCTTCATTGTCTTGTGACAGGTCGCCCTCCAGGCCCTGAGATGGAGAACTGTTCGGATAGGGAGTCCTATGCTCTGGCAGCTGGTCTGGCTCTGGGACTACTTATGTTTGGGGTCAGTAAAAACAACATGTTACATAAGCCAGTTTGTACTCTTTGTCTAAATCTTCAACACGTACGTTACATCCAAAAGCATTATATTTATTCAATGGGCTGTTGCCTTTATTCATACAGTGGCACAATGTACACATGAGAATGATGTTTTGTCCAAGTTCTCAGTTGACGTTTGATACGATGACTGCATCTGAAAGGTGTCAAAAACATGCATAATACTCAAAAAACTTTTTTTCCAAAATATTGCATTCTCCAGAGGGGGTTGCGCATTACGCTCGGGTGCGCACTATACTCAAGAATAAAAGAACCATGCAGACTCCTGTGATTGTGAGTCACTCTGTAAGTCTCGACTTGATAATGGTTGGGAGAGCTAGAACATGGGGCGCGTGTCCGATTGGTGTATTAAGAACCCACGTCAAGGTGGAGTATTGTGTATTCGTTTCATGTATGAAAAGTGGTTCTTTTTATCAAGTGTGCCAGGGGGCACTCATGAAGATATCTAGTTGTGCCCATTTGGAATTAAGTGTGCCAACAAGAAGATAATATTTGATCCCTCAAGCTAGTTCTAAACTATTTGGGGGCACGGGTGGCCCAGTCGTCTAAGGCGCCCGCAATTCGCCGTGCAGAGTTGCGTCCCTTGGACACGCCAGAAACCTATGATTGTGGGTTCGAATCCCGGTTTGCCCCAATTATGTTTCTAGGTTTGTCAGCACCCTGCCCGTGCTTGTGGGTTTCACCGAAGTGCTAAACATCTGAGACCTGCATCACTTCGGGCTTTCCTCCCACATTAAACTGATACGCCGTGATATAACTGGAATAATGTTAAAAACGGCGTTAAACCAAACTCACACTAAACTTTATTTAGAAATTTTGCCCCTTTCTTTTTAAACGATTGATTATATCCTTTTTAACTTCTGAATCCCTGGGTTTATGTTGTGAATCATACTGTGCATTAAGTGTGGTCATATGAACCTTAATTTCCATTTTGTTTCCAAAGTAGTTATCACAGGTTTCATATGATAAACAATGTCACATATTATTTCTGTTGAAAAATATGATTTCTAACTGTGCCTCCAGTCACTGGGAACTTATTGTGATGGTGCCATTGTGATATCACCCATACCATTGGCTAATACAAGGAATTCTGAATCCTGTGTTAACAGAAGGGGAGACAGACGGTGGGTCTGTCCGACCACAGCATGGCAGACATCTTGTGTCACTTCATGGTGGGCGGTCACAAGAGGCCCTTGGTGAGATCTCTTTCCGTTAAACTATTTCCACTAATAATCAAATGTCATTATTAAAACGTATAGTTCTGGTTTTCTTCAAATTTTCTGATATCGAGGTTCATTGTTATCAATTTCAATAATCTTTTTAGGTATAAATGTTATATCACAGTTTATCAAAAATTCTCAATTTCCAATGTCTGGTTACTTAAGTAAACTGCTGATATAACTGCTTAGTAGTTCATGAAGGCATGAAAACATTGTTGTTATGTTACAGCCTGGTCCTTACAAGGATAGATACAAGTCCCCCAGCTACCTTATATGGGTATGTCCACATTAAGATCACGCTGTTTGTTAAACTGACTGCTCCAGTTCTAGGTGAGGGCCCACTTGCACAAAGCGATCTTAGCGCTAAGATGATTGTAACTCCCATACTACCCATCTTAGTGCTAAGATCTTTTTGTGCAAAAGGGCCCAGATGTATTTACTTTACTAAGCCGATCACCCTGAAATGAATGTGACAAAAAAACAACATTTTCGGGCTGTTTTAGTTTCCAAGCCAGATAATCATGCTTATGAAGAAATAACGCAAATCCTTTCTACAAGTGGTACATGTAGTATGACTGGTAAATGTTCGCACAATTTTATATTAATAGCTTTCAATTCTTATCAAACATGACTATTAAAGTGCAGTGTAAATTATCAGTGTTCAACAAAATTCCTGGCTGAGCACTTGAGATCAATCCTGTTTACAGTTTCTTAAGCCATGTACGTAAAATCCTGGCTGAGCACTTGAGATCAATCCTGTTTACAGTTTCTTAAACCATGTATGTAAAATCCTGGCTGACTGAGCACTTGAGATCAATCCTGTTTACAGTTTCTTAAGCCATGTATGTAAAATCCTGACTGAGCGCTTGAGATCAATCCTGTTTACAGTTTCTTAAGCCATGTATGTAAAATCCTGACTGAGCGCTTGAGATCAATCCTGTTTACAGTTTCTTAAGCCATGTATGTAAAATCCTGGCTGAGCACTTGAGATCAATCCTGTTTACAGTTTCTTAAGCCATGTATGTAAAATCCTGGCTGAGCACTTGAGATCAATCCTGTTTACAGTTTCTTAAGCCATGTATGTAAAATCCTGACTGAGCACTTGAGATCAATCCTGTTTACAGTTTCTTAAGCCTTGTATGTAAAATCCTGGCTGAGCACTTGAGATCAATCCTGTTTACAGTTTCTTAAGCCATGTATGTAAAATCCTGGCTGAGCGCTTGAGATCAATCCTGTTTACAGTTTCTTAAGCCATGTATGTAAAATCCTGGCTGAGCACTTGAGATCAATCCTGTTTACAGTTTCTTAAGCCATGTATGTAAAATCCTGGCTGAGCACTTGAGATCAATCCTGTTTACAGTTTCTTAAGCCATGTATGTAAAATCCTGACTGAGCGCTTGAGATCAATCCTGTTTACAGTTTCTTAAGCCATGTATGTAAAATCCTGGCTGAGCACTTGAGATCAATCCTGTTTACAGTTTCTTAAGCCATGTATGTAAAATCCTGGCTGAGCACTTGAGATCAATCCTGTTTACAGTTTCTAAGCCTTGTATGTTTGACACAAAATGTGATTTTATCAAACGATGGTTGAGTTACTTCTTACAATTTTGTGTAAATGGTAAATAAAAAAAATGTTGCTACAATGGGCCTTCCTAACTCCTATGATCTTTCTGATTTTGTGCACTGTCTAAACTGGACTAGGCTCCCATGAGTCTGGTTTAGACAGATTCAACTGTATTAGTGTATCTGATACCCATGTGATGTTGCAGGAGGGTGACAGTGTGAATGTCAATGTGACGGCACCAGGGGCAACTCTGGCGCTGGGGATGCTGTTCTTCAACACCGGCAACAGGTAGCTCTGTTTGATAAAAAACACATGCTTAAAATCACTAGCACAAGAATATTATGTTCAGGATCTTGTCAGATATTCGGAATTTTAGAGCAGTTCATTTGAAACTATTTGATTTGGCCTGTCATTTCATTATATGAATTTGTAGTTTTGATTACTGATGATTGTTGTGAATGTTTTTGTTTTTTTGTTTCTGATGATGTTGTGAATGGTTTTGTTTTTTTGTTTCTGATGATGTGAATGTTGTTGATTTTTGTTTCTGATGAAGTGAATGTTTTGAATATTTGTTTCTGATGATGTGAATGTTTTGGTTTTTTTGTTTCTGATGTTGTGAATGTTTTGGATTTTTGTTTCTGATGATGTAAATGTTTTTTTGTTTTGTTTCTGGTGATGTGAATTTTTATTGTGTTTCTGATGATGTGAATGTTTTTTGTTTTTCTTTCTGATGATGTGAATGTTTTGGTTTTTGTTTCTGATGTGAATGTTTTGATTTTTTTTTTAATGTGATGAAGATACTGATTTGCTTTCACAGGATAATGTGCATGGTATTTGGGTTAATTTTGTGATAATATTATTGATATATGAATAGTTTAACAGTCACCTTGATAAACATTTAAAGATCATAAGTATCAAAATATGCCCACAAAATAGATGTTTGACTGTTGTTTTTAACAGTGCTGTAGCTGAGTGGCTGAAAGCACCGGATACTCAGTTTATGTTGGACCATGTCCGCCCGGACTTCCTGTTGCTCAGGGTAAGATTATGTGTAGGATTATGTGCTGATCAATATAAAATGTTGATCAAATAATTTCTTTTTCACCAAATATTGATCAGGTACCCAGATTAATAGATATCTGTGAAGCAGAATATTTTGATTGAGGGTAACATGGAAAGTCTTCATTTATGTCAAGTGATGACATTTAATCTATGTTTTAAGGTAGGGAAAATGATAATTTATTTGCATAAATGTATTTGTAATTTATTTGTCTATTTATTTGTAATTACTGATGTCATGTAATTCCTAAGTTAAAGAAGGAGAAATGGAGAATCGTGGTAAGGAGTATTGCAGTATCATGGATGGTGTCTTGATCTCTCACAACAGTAATCTGTCTCAATATTACAGACCCTGAGTCGAGGCCTGGTGATGTGGGACTCCATTGTGCCCAACCTCAGTTGGGTTGGCAGCCATATACCGGAGGTCAGTGATGCTTACTATAAACAGACAGACAGACAGAAGTTTATTCAATATTTTAGGCCATATGACCTATAGTACAGAAGTGTTCTTTTTTTTTGTATCAACATTGTACAGTCACCTGTAGGTAATAATAAGTTTACATATAATATTAACGTCTAATTACATTAAGTAATACGTTACCACTGTTATACCGAGGCTGTTGTCTCCCACAACTGCTGCTATAGCGAAATCTACCACAGAGATCTCAATTACCTCATGCAGCACGTGCGTAGCCACCTAGCTGCCATGTGACACCCTTCACTCTTGTCTCCTTCGTCTGCTTAGCAAGACGTGTTTTCTCCTGCTGAAGCGTTCCTTGAAGATTTGGTGATATTTATTATCGTTTATTCTCTAATAAACTGTGCTTTTATGGGGCGTTGCGGTAGCTACGCTTGGTTATAATTTTCCCGCCAAATGGAAAATTGTTCCCGCCCTTTTTTCTATATACTTGCGGGGTTCGCGTATGCACGTTGTGTTTTACGTTTCCCCTGTTCTTGTATGTTTTGGGGGTTAACATAACTTATTTCTTTAGTAAAAGTTATATGTGTATGTTATATGTTCACATTGCTCGTTTATTTTCTTGTGAAAATGTTCGTTTGTGAATCATTGTGGTGCGTGCGTTGTAACCATGTTTTGTTCTTTGTTTCTAGAAAACAATCAATGTCTGACATGGATATGTCCCCTGTCTCCACCCCCTCTACCCCTGCTCCTCGGAGTTGTGGGGTGTGCAGAAAGTTTTTGTTGTCCCGGGATCCCCACGATCGTTGCCCGCGGTGCAGGGTTCCTTGCGAGGAAACCCGGTGCACCCTGTGCGAAGGTCTGGGACCTGCGGAGTTTGAGCGGTACCGGCTGTGCGCGCAGTCCGTTTCCACCCCTGTGGTGGCCGGTTCGTCCGGTCGGGGCCCCCGTGCGGGCACCTCCTTGTCGGCTGCGGCGGATCCCCTTGCGGCCCTCGGATCCCCTTGCGGCCCTCGGGCTGTCTGGGGCTTCCGTCGCCGCATTGTTGTCGCAAATTGTGGACTCCAAGCTGGCGGCCTTATCACAAGATAGGCCGCTGGCTGTTCCGTCCCCGGCCTCTTCGGTGGCCGCGGGTTCGGATGCGGGGTCCACCGGTACGGCGCCGGCTGCCGTGGTTACCGGTCCTTCCCCCGAACCATTGCTTCCGCTATCGGTTAAGGACCGCGTGGCCATGGTGTATGACCTCTTCGAGGACATGCCAAAGCCCCTGCCGATACCGCGGGGTATCCACGGTTCCGTGGGTTCCTCCGAGGTATACGACGAGTCGTCCGACAAGGCTTTCCCGGCATCAACCTTGCTGCGCGGGATTAAGCCGTCTTTGGAGAAAGCCTTCACGGCTGCCTCCGGTCGGGGTCTCCCGTTACCTCCCCCGTCGTGGAGAAAAGGGTCTTTCCCAGTTCATGACCTTGCCTTTCCCGAGGCTGGTCCTTCTGCGGAAGCCCATGTGGAGCGTTTGGGGGTCCGTGCTCCACCGGTTGCCACGGTACCGCAAGGTACCCTGCAACAGCTGGACACCCTCGCTCGACACTCCATGCTGGCTATGTCTCACGGAGACACATACCTGGCTGCGGCGGCCAGTCTGGTCGAAGGTTCTCCCACGGACCGTGACCAGCGCATTTACAACTGCTTGCTCGGTTTGAATGCTTCCCTGGAGTACGTTGCCGGGGCTTCGGCCTTTGTTTCCGGCACGTGCCATTTTCTTCGGCGCCAGTCGTATCTGGTTGCTTCAGGGTTGGACGCTGCCAATCAGGAGGTGCTCCTTTCGCAGCCTTGGTCTGCTCGGACCCTGTTTAATAACAAGGTCCCTGGGGTTCTGAAGGAACAACAGGCCGCTGTGTCTGCCGAGGCCTCTCGGCACACACTGGATCTTGTGGGGTCCTTGCATAGGCGCCTGGGTGCCGCTCCGAAGCGGAGCGCGCCCCAGGTTGCTGTGTCCGGCAGGCCTAAGGGGTCGGGTCCTTCTTCCTCCGGGAAGAAGCCCCGCTCTGAGGGCTCCGGTAAGGGTTCTCAGCAGCCCTTTCGCGGGAAGAAGGGGAACTGGGGGAAGCCCAAGTGGTCTAAGGACGGCAAGGGCCCCTCCAGGTGACTCTCATTGGAGGGGTTCGTATGCCGACAGCGCCAACTTCGGTTGGCCCGTAGGCGAACCCGAGTCACACGGCCCTGGACAGTTGCGCCTGCCGCAGCCCGTCCGGCCCCCCTCTCTTTCCCCAGTGGGAGCCAGACTCCAGACTTACTGGGAGAATTGGGAACAAGTGTTCGACGACCCGTGGGTGGTCAACACGATTCGGTACGGCTATCGGCTCGATCTCAAAGCGAATCCGCCGCTCACCGTTGCCCCGTCGGCAGGTTTCTATTCGGAAACCGATCTTCCCTTCCTCGCCGATGCCATCGGCAGGTTGGTGGAGAAGAGGGCAGTTCGGGAGTTAGCTCTACCAGAAATAACACCGGGGTTTTACTCCAGGATATTTCTCGTTCCCAAGAAGGACAGTGCCGAACTCAGAATGATTCACAACTTGAAATCGTTCAACGAGTTCTACCTGCGCAAGCCGCCCAAGTTCAGAATGTTGAGCTTGACGGACCTGAAAGCACTGATCATGCCGGCCGACTGGCTAGCTTTGATCGACCTGAAGGATGCTTATCTGCATGTTCCGATTCACTCGGATCATCACAGGTATCTCAGGTTTGTCTTTCAAGGCAGGCACTACGAGTGGGTTGTACTCCCATTCGGTCTTTCGTCCGCTCCCTGGCTGTTCACCCGGTTAACCACCCCCATAGTGGGGTTCCTCCACCGGAGGGGTGTCCGGTACTTCGCGTACCTGGACGACTCGCTAGTAGCAAATCGAATGTCGGACACCCTGTCACGCCATCTCGTTTTCGCACGTCGGCTCTTGGAGCAAACCCCTTCTCAGAACTTGCAGTTCATCGGAGGTCGGTTCAACACGGTGTCCCATCGCCTATTTGTCCCCCCAGACCGGTGGCACAAAATTCAGGCGATGATTGCCAAAGTCTTAGCGGTGCAACAGACTGTTCACTTTTGGGAACAGCTGTTAGGGCTACTTGTATCAGCCCAGGACTGCACCGTACGGGGTCGTCTCCAACTCCGCCCGCTGCAACGGTTTTTAATCCAGTTGTTAGCAACGGAGGTGAACAGTGCGACCGTTGCCCTCCCGGATCGGCTCCGACCGCATCTGGAGTGGTGGACGGTCCCTTACAATGTCTTATCAGGAGTCTCTATGCGGCCCTACCGGGCCACGTTGAACCTGTATACAGACGCCTCTCTAGTGGGCTGGGGCGCCCATCTAGAGGGGGAGGTGAGCTCGGGGCTGTGGTGCGTAGACGAACTAGGTCTTCACATCAATTGTCTCGAGTTCAAGGCAGTGATCAACGCAGTCAATCACTGGAAGCATCGTCTCGTCGACGCCCGGCTCATGCTGGCGACCGACAACACGACGGTAGTGTCCTATGTGAACAAACTGGGGGGAACCCACAGTCACTCGCTGCTCGATCTCACGTTCGAGTTTTACGCTCTGGTGGACAGTGTCCCGTGCCAGATACGCGCCCGTCACATCCCAGGTGTGCGGAACGTACTGGCCGATGCTCTATCGAGGCCTCGGGATCCGAGCCCCACAGAGTGGATGCTGAACCCAGTAGTGTTTCAGTGGCTGTGCGAACGTTTGGGTCGTCCGATGGTCGACCTGTTCGCAACGCGGTTCAACAATCAACTCCCGTTGTTTGTATCACCAGTCCCGGACCCGAGGGCCATCGATCACGATGGTCTCGCGTTAGACTGGACGGGCTTGGACGCTTATGCTTACCCGCCGACAGCGTTGATACCACACATTCTAAGCCGGCTTCGAGGAGTTCGCTGTCGAATGTTACTGATCGCGCCCATGTGGCCGAACAGATCGTGGTACCCCGACTTGCTGACCCAGGTCACGCAGTCGCCACTCCCACTGCCTGTGAGACCGGATCTCTTGATCCACCCTCACACCCGTCAGCTTCATCCAAACGCAGGGCAGTTCAATCTGCACGCGTGGATGTTGTCACCGAGCGTCATACGTTAGTATGCATCGTGATTCTACCCAGAAGGTGTATAATGCACGTTGGGTTATTTTCACGAAGTGGTGTTGTAAACATCACATTCATTCGCCAGATAAGGTATCTGTGCAGGATATTGCTCGTTTCATGTCTCACTTGCGAGAGACCCGGAAACTCTCCGGGGGTTCCATTGCCAACTATGTCTCGTCCGTTGCTACGGTACGGGACGTTGCTATGGGTACCAGTCTCTCCAAAGAGCCGGTGATACGGGGTATTATCAAGGGTTTCAAACAGCACGATCTTAAGAAGGGCCGCCTTCGGGCACCGGCCTGGGATCTTTCCCTAGTGTTGCAATCACTTACGGAAGCTCCGTATGAACCCTTGCATAGTGCTTCGTTCCGGCATGTGACTTGGACAGCATTTCTCCTCTCCTTTGCCACGGCGGCACGTGTATCCGAAATTCATGCACTCGATGTCGCCAAGGTACGATTCGATAGGGGTGACGAAGGAGCGGTCCGCCTGGGCCTGCTCATGGGCTTCGTCGCCAAGAATCAGAGAGTCGGGCAAAAGGAGAGAGAATTCACTGTAAGATCACTCAAAGAAATCTTACATCCTGCTGATACTGAGGACAGAGCGCTGTGTCCGGTTAGGGCCCTTAAGTATTATCTTAAGGCTTCGAATGAACGTAGACAAGGGCGTGACCGTCTGTTCATATCGTGTAACCCTAATCGCACGGTTGACATAACTCGCAACTCGATTGCGTTGTGGCTTCGTTCTGTCATCAATCTGGCGTACCGGTCTCGGGGGTTACCGGTAGCGGGGTCAAACCCGCACGAGATCAGGGCGCTAGCGGCAACATTTGCCCTACACTCGAATATCTCTGTTCACAGAATATTACGAGGTTGTTACTGGCGTTCTGACTCGGTTTTTGCCAATCATTACCTCAGAAAGGTTTCTGATGAAGACGTGGAGGGGGTGCACCGTCTTGGGCCGCTGATCGCGGCACAAGCGGTCATCTAGGGGGTGTGTCCAGCGCAATTTCAAACTCCGCAGTCGTCAGTCCTTGCACGGTGGTCAATCTGGGTCGTCTCCAATGTTCCCACGCTGTGGGTACAGGAGTGGGGGTCCTGCAAACCAGCGCACTCACACCATAGGTGAGGCGGCTTTTTGTGTGTTTTGTCCTTATTTGTATTTTGACAATTATGCATTTAATTGTCTGTCGTGTATTCCAACCTTGCGATACATGCTTACGAATACTGGAATTAGGTCACGCGCCTAATGCATACTTTAAGTAGGCTTGCTCTGGGATATACGGTCTGAAGGAAATTAATTTCCCTCTTTTCGACTGTTTAACCTGATCTAAGATTTAGCTCACGCGGATACAGTGTTCTCATCCGCTGCGGCGATGAAATACCTATCCAGTGGGGCCGTTTGGAGTCACCAATCGTTTTGGCAATGACGATTGAGCCTTACGGTATGCGCATGACAGTGCTTTGGTATTCCTATTAGGGTAACGCCTAGCTAGGTGCATGCGCATCGAGTGCTTCCGCCTTGGTGTTTACTTCCGCTGGTCGGAAGGAACGCTAGCAGTCAGGATTCGGGTTGTAGGTGCTCCCCACCGCCTACTGTGGTAGTCAGCCTCGGTATAACAGTGGTAACGTATTACTTAATGTAATTTGTAGAATTTTCCTATTCGGAATATTCTATAAGTAATACGTTACCACTGGGCTGCTGCCCGCCCGTCCGTCCCCCGAGCACTTGCTCTCGCAGGAGACAAGAGTGAAGGGTGTCACATGGCAGCTAGGTGGCTACGCACGTGCTGCATGAGGTAATTGAGATCTCTGTGGTAGATTTCGCTATAGCAGCAGTTGTGGGAGACAACAGCCTCGGTATAACAGTGGTAACGTATTACTTATAGAATATTCCGAATAGGAAAATTCTACAAATTTCAAAAATCTTCTTCAGGAATATTGACAGAGATGATATAGTATTAGCATTTCGGGAGTTCAACAAATTTTTCATCAGTTGTTCATCTTTGTACATAGTTGAAATCATAGGGAGGTATCTATTTCTAAGAAACTGATAATATTTACAAATGAGAAGTACATGAAACTCATCCTCAGCATAGCTTTCATTACAATAACGGCATAAACTACTTTCTTTATCTTGTACATTTTTCTTTCTGAGATTATTAACATTAAAATTATGTAATGATATATGTAATTTACACAAAGATCTTCTCAAAGTTCTATCCTGAAGTACAGATACATATTTTTTTATACTATAAAGATGACCCGTGAAGATTCAGGGTAGAATAGGTCTTCAGCAACTCATGCTTCCCGTAAAAGATGACTATGATTGTCGTAAGAGGGGACTAACGGGATCGGTCGGTCAGGCTAACTGACTTGGTTGATTCATGTCATCGATACTGCTTGAATATTGCTAAAAGCGGAGTAAAACCAAACTCAATCACTCACACTTGGTGATTTAGTGGTGTATCATCGTACCCAACGGCATTGGTCGTTGCTCGCGATATCAATCACAGGATTGTCTGGTCCAGACTTGTTTATTTACAGGCCACCGTCATATTGCTGGAATATTTCTCAGAGCAATGTTAAACAACGAACATGCATGCACACACATTGGCCAATTCATAAACTGTGAAGAGCACAATTTGACATTCGTACATTTTACAAGCAACTGCATTTGGTACACATCCCTGAGAAATCACAAGCATACGTAACTATAGAAAACCTTTACAAATGGTGGACAAGAGAATTGTTAGACTGTTCCTCAAAACAAGGTATATCCACACTGTCATGTATCATTCAGTGTTGACAATAACTTTATCATGGCACAAGGTCTATGAGATAAGTCAAGCTTCTTTTAGACAGGCTGTTGAATCAACCTTGAATTATTGAACCTCCAACATTCCAGACCCGTGAACATCTGGGAAGAGCATAGGTCTTCAGCAACCCATGCTTGCCGTAAGAGGCGACTTTGGCTCACTGACTTGGTTGATGCATGTCATCGATCCCAATTATGTAGATTGATGCTCATGATGTCAATCACTGGATTGTCTGGTCCATACTTGATTTTTTACATATTACTGTCATATAGCTGGAATATTGCTGAGTGTTGCGCTAAACAACAAACAAGATCCAACATTCCCACAGATTGGCCGTCATGCACTGTAACAGGGATGGAACTGAAACTCACACTAAGTGGAAGTCAATACTAACCTGACATTAAGCAGAATGTTTACAGATACTTACATGTTGATTCATCAACCCTTTGGGGAATGATGATACTGTTTTTATAGGGAATGTAATGTTTATGTCTTCAGATTGTAAAGAAGTATGCCTTTAAGAAGAATCAAACAGTGGAAGAAGAGGATATTTTCATTGACTTTGAAACAATGAGGTAGTCATTCTTGATCAGCTTATTCTGTTCACAAAGAATAAAAAATCATTGTTTTGTCCCTGGCCTCCCCTCCCTGTGCCCTGGTGAGGGTCCCTGAGATGTTTTCCTGCATTGTTCGTACAGGTTTGAAATGGCCTTGAATTTTTAAGGTCCCTTTTGAAAAGCCTTGGTTTAAATGATTTTTAAAGTCAATTTTAAAAAGCCTTGAAAATAACCAAAATAGCTTGAAAAGCAATGAATTTGTACAAAGTGACATCTACATGTACTTGTTAATAAAAGCTTAAGTGTGATTTATCACAGTGATAGATTTGTGGGCCAAGGACCATGAAGTATTCGTGACAGACTTAATATATTTTATTTGTCGGTTGTGAAAATAAACCTTGTTTGAAAATTTGTTCTGTTCTTAGTAGCAGACTTCTGGTTATAACAATAAAGCCCCGTGTTTATGATTGAAAAATCAATTTTCTTAATTATTTTCAGTGACTAATACATTTTATTATTTATCACAGTTATTGGAATTTGTGACGAAACATAAAGATATAATATCTTTTCATAACGTGTACTCGCAAACAACTATGAAATACTATGTCACTTATATCATCAAGTAATAGGCTTTGTGTTTATCAACAAATTATAGTGTTGCGCATGTGTCTTGCACTGAAACCAGTTTACCAAGGGAGGTAATCAATACGTCGCTAATTTTGTTGATGTAAACGACTGGTTGCCGATGGTGACCTGTCAAATTTTTTTGTGGGTGGCGGGGCAAATACAGTTGGATTGTTGGGCAAGTACACTTTCAGAAGGATGAGTACAAAATAAAAAGTAGATAACAAAATCAGAATCTCTAGTTGTATATCTAGTAAACAAGCCAGATAAGTTATCCTGGATCACTTGTTTTCTGTATCCAAGAGAATCAGGCTTCTTCATTCAGAGTTGATAGGCCTGGATAATGCCCTTCTGGTAATACAAGTGCTAAGTAGAGCTACCCGATACTACTACTGCTCCAGCACGTTCCAGTGTGTGATGGGTTGAAGGTGCTTCTACTGCTGCTGTTACTCTGTGTATGTGTTTTTGCAGCCAAGCTTACTGTAACATAGTTGCCGGGGCATGCATGGCGCTCAGTCTCAAGTTTGCTGGATCGGCCAACCAGACTGCTTACAATACTCTAGTAAGTACAGAGCTCAGTGCGGTGGCAGGTATTTCACAGCTTCGCACATGTCAGTAACAATGTACAAAAGGTCTCGAACCACTTTTTCTTTAATTCAATTACATGAAATATGTTTTTGTTTGTCCTATTTGAAGTTGTCACTTATTTTCAGGTGTGTAATATGTCTTTTGTGACCAATAGTCATTGAATGCAACCTCCAAGAATTTGTCCAATATGTTAACATCCGCCATTATAATCAGTGAGGAAAAGGAAGTTATGAAAACATCCAATTACAAAGGGTGTTACGATCCTATTTATGATAATATTACATCTTCCAATCACAATTCATGTGTCAAAGATTAATGTTCTGCAGTCTGTCTCACTGCTTCTGGAGGGGCATGTATGGCCCAGTCGTCTAAGACGCCGCGATTCTCTGTGCAGAGTTGAGTCCCTTGGGCACGCCAGAAACCTATGATTTATGGGTTCGAATCCCTGTTCGCACTGATTATGTTTCTAGGTTTGTCAGCACCATACCCGTGCTCGTGGGTTTCACCGAAGTGGTAAACGTCTGAGACCTGCCTCACTTCGGGCGTTCCTCCCACATTAAATACTGGAATACTGTTAAAAGCGGCGTTAAACCCAACTCACTCACTCCTATGTAGTGCTGAATAGTTCGTCCTAAATGTTTACATGTTCCAGGATCACCTCCGTGGTGTAGTGGATAGCATTAACCCAACTCACTCACTCACTCACTCACTCACTCACTCACTCACTCACTCACTCACTCACTCACTCACTCACTCACTCACTCACTCACTCACTCACTCACTCACTCACTTTGTTGCTTTTATCCCACATTAACCTCTAATATGTTCTTCTTATTTGTATAGGGCTAAAGAAAATGTGTTGGTTCTTAGGAACCGCCTGCATCATCATAAAGTCCAACTCACATTTCGTTTTTATTCCTTTTTCACCCCCCCCCCCCCCCCCCCCCCCACACACACACACACACACACCCAAATATACATCGTTAAATATTTTGCGTCTTGAACACATGACCCCGGCAGTGAGTGAAATGCTGTAATACTAAAAATAATGTGATCCGATATAGCAAGCAGTTACTTCCCTTTACATGCCCACTGCTTTACTGCGCATCTCGTGTTATGGTCATGGCGGCAGTAAGAGTGTGTGTGCTTGTTTTGCCATTAGCAAATATGGTCAATGAAAACATGAAATTTATGATAAGACGTCACTAGACATAATGATTTACAAATTCAATTGTATTTATGTACTGTATGCCGGACAATGTTTCATATGCAGAGATTAAGATTGCATGTGCATTTGTCTCATAAAATATGCTGGAAATAGCAATCAGCTGTTCAGACACATTTTCTCCCCAATCTGGAGGTGATTTATTTTTAAAATACTTAATGTCATGGCCCATAGCATAACTGAAAAGAAATAACAATACTGTGATAGGAAGATAGGAAGCCCGAAGACTTTGTATCTTGTAACGACAAGTGTTTGTTTCAAGTCGAATTCATGGCGAGTCGATGTGATTTGCCGATCATTCATACATGATTTCACCAAAACTAGTGTAAACAATTTCACGTGAAATAAAATCGAAGCTCATTGTATTATGCACTCACTTGTAGTCAAATACTGTATTCCATTATTTTACTCATCAAGGAATATATTTATGTAGGGAGGCCCTTCCCAGGTTTACTGAACACAACTGTTTATTTGGTTACATACTAGTTTGAACAACCTGCCCACACTATATTTTCAAAAGCCTGAGGACCAATTATTTAATTTTTTTAAGCCTCAATGGAGTTGTGTGTAATAAATAGAAAAAAATGATGAATGAAAATACATTGAAATTGTACAGTCTGGAATACAGTTGTAGTGTAAAGTTATCATTCACTGATTCATACATGGTGACCCTTTGAAGGTGATAATTGTACAACTTTACTTTAAGTGTGTAAGACATGTTTGTGTTTTTCTGCCATGATGCTGTGTGTTAAGTTTGACATATTCTCTTCTACAGATGGACTGTATGAAGCGTTGTCTCCAGGCGTTGTCTGTCCCCAGCTACTGTGAACAGGCAGGCAAGAGCTCTGTGGAGAATGGACTGTGTGTCATACTCACGGGATTAGCCATGGTGAGAACTAGAGCAATGTGACGTAGGACTGTCAAGTTTGCTTCTTAAGTCTTAGTAAATGTATTGTCTAGAACCTGAGGTCTGGGGCCATGTGGCAAGTGTTCTTAGCATCGCCTCTTGTGTAACTGGGGGCACAGGTGACCAAATTGTATAATGCCCCACAAATCTCTGTGGAGAGTTGCATCCTTTATACATGCCAGAAACCTAGGATCACTGTGCGAATCCTAGATTTACCTTGATTATGTTAACAGCACCTTACTCATGCTTTTCGTCAAAGTGGTATGAATTAAGACCTGCATCACTTCTGGCTTTCCTGCCACATCAAGCTGCCACAGCGTGATATAAATGTAATACTGTTTAAAGCAGCATTAAGCCAAACTCACTCATGTATGCTTGTGTAACCATGGTAGCATTATGATACAGGAAACTGGAATGATGTATGTCTTTTATCTTTAATCTTTATAATAAAGATGGTTACGTGACCTGAGTGAAGTTGTCTGACCTTCAAGTGATATGGCACTGCTGGTTTGCAGGTGATGGCTGGCACAGGGAACCTGGAGGTGATGAGGATATGTCGCATGTTGAGGAAAAGAGTTGGTCCCCAGTACTCCTACATGATGTATGGCTCTCACATGTCCATAGCCATGTCTACCGGGCTGCTCTTCCTGGGTGGTGGCAGGTAACACTGATAGGGGTTTGTTCTCACATAGCCATGTCTACTGGGCTGCTCTTCCTGGGTGGTGGCAGGTAACACTGATAGGGGTTTGTTCTCACATAGCCATGTCTACCCGGCTGCTCTTCCTGGGTGGTGGTAGGTAACTCTGATAGGGGTTTGTTCTCACATAGCCATGTCTACCGGGCTGCTCTTCCTGGGTGGTGGCAGGTAACACTGATAAGGGTTTGTTCTCACATAGCCATTGCCATGTCTACAGGGCTGCTCTTCCTGGGTGGTGGCAGGTAACACTGATAGGGGTTTGTTCTCACATAGCCATGTCTACCGGGCTGCTCTTCCTGGGTGGTGGCAGGTAACACTGATAGGGGTTTGTTCTCACATAGCCATGTCTACCGGGCTGCTCTTCCTGGGTGGTGGCAGGTAACACTGATAGGGGTTTGTTCTCACATAGCCATTGCCATGTCTACTGGGCTGCTCTTCCTGGGTGGTGGCAGGTAACACTGAGAGGGGTTTGTTCTCACATAGCCATGTCTACTGGGCTGCTCTTCCTGGGTGGTGGCAGGTAACACTGATAGGGGTTTGTTCTCACATAGCCATTGCCATGTCTACCGGGCTGCTCTTCCTGGGTGGTGGCAGGTAACACTGAGTGGGGTTTGTTCTCACAAAGCCATGTCTACCGGGCTGCTCTTACTGGTTGGTGGCAAGTAAAATGTTAAAAATAGAAACAGCTTATAATGAGGTACCCTTGACAGATAACTAAAAAGAAATTTGCTTTGTGTTTTTGTGCTGTCCACCCAAATCGTACTAACTGTAACTTTGTTAATTCTTAAATAAATTTTACTGAATCTTTTTTCAAAAGAATATATATTAGTTTATGTGACCATATTTTGAAGATACCGTTGTGTTATGTCTTCAGGTACACACTGAGCACAAAGCCCGAGGCTATAGGAGCACTGCTGTGTGCCTTCTTCCCCATCTACCCAGCTCACAGTAATGACAACAGGTATACTACGACGACATTCTGGACTGAGTACTTCATGATATACTAGGTAGCGAGTAGGTTTTCGGCAACCCATTCCTGCCGTAAAAAGCGACTATGCTTGTCATAAGAGGCGACTAACTGGATCAAGTGGTCAGAATCGCTGACTTGATTGATGCATGTCATTGTATTCCAATTGCGTAGATCGATGCTCATGATGTCAATCACTGGTTTGTCTGGTCCAGACTCAATTATTTACGGACCCTGTAATATTTAATATTCCTTGTGGTTCTGTCTGTTCTAGGTATCACCTTCAAGCATTCCGCCACCTGTACGTGTTGGCAGCTGAGCCGAGGCTTGTCCTGCCCCGAGATGTGGACACGGGCCACATCTGTTATGTCCCTCTGGAGATCAAGTTCAAGGACTGTGTCTCGTACAAGAATGTCAACTACAGGATCATGGCTCCCTGCATCCTTCCAGAGCTGGATCGTATTGAGGAGGTGAGGTAGTGATCAAGGTTGATGGTATTGAGGAGGTGAGGAAGTGATCAAGGTTGATGGTATTGGGGAGGTGAGGTAGTGATCAAGGTTGATGGTATTGAGGAGGTGAGGTAGTGATCAAGGTTGATGGTATTGAGGTGGTGAGGTAGTGATCAAGATTGATGGTATTAAGGAGGTGAGGTAGTGATCAAGGTTGATGGTATTGAGGAGGTGAGGGTGATCAAGGTTGATGGTATTGAGGTGGTGAGGTAGTGATCAAGGTTGATGGTATTGAGGTGGTGAGGTAGTGATCAAGGTTGATCGTATTGAGGAGGTGAGGTAGTGATCAAGGTTGATGGTATTGAGGAGGTGAGGAAGTGATCAAGATTGATGGTATTAAGGAGGTGAGGTAGTGATCAAGGTTGATGGTATTGAGGAGGTGAGGTAGTGATCAAGGTTGATGGTATTGAGGAGGTGAGGTAGTGATCAAGGTTGATGGTATTGAGGTGGTGAGGTAGTGATCAAGGTTGATGGTATTGAGGAGGTGAGGAAGTGATCAAGATTGATGGTATTAAGGAGGTGAGGTAGTGATCAAGGTTGATGGTATTGAGGAGGTGAGGTAGTGATCAAGGTTGATGGTATTGAGGAGGTGAGGTAGTGATCAAGGTTGATGGTATTGAGGAGGTGAGGGTGATCAAGGTTGATGGTATTGAGGAGGTGAGGTAGTGATCAAGGTTGATGGTATTGAGGAGGTGAGGTAGTGATCAAGGTTGATGGTATTGAGGAGGTGAGGTAGTGATCAAGATTGATGGTATTGAGGAGGTGAGGTAGTGATCAAGGTTGATGGTATTGAGGAGGTGAGGTAGTGATCAAGGTTGATGGTATTGAGGTGGTGAGGTAGTGATCAAGGTTGATGGTATTGAGGAGGTGAGGTAGTGATCAAGGTTGATGGTATTGAGGTGGTGAGGTAGTGATCAAGGTTGATGGTATTGAGGTGGTGAGGTAGTGATCAAGGTTGATGGTAGTGAGGAGGTGAGGTAGTGATCAAGGTTGATGGTATTGAGGAGGTGAGGTATTGATCAAGGTTGATGGTATTGAGGAGGTGAGGTAGTGATCAAGGTTGATGGTATTGAGAAGGTGAGGTAGTGATCAAGGTTGATGGTATTTAGAAGGTGAGGTAGTGATCAAGGTTGATGGTATTAAGGAGGTGAGGTAGTGATCCAAATTGAGCGTATTGAGATGACCTTATTCGGGTAGTGATCGAAGTTGACTTTATTGGGGTAGTGATCCAAGTTGACCTTATTAGGGTAGTGATCGAAGCTTACTCCATTGAGGTAGTGATCCAAGTCGACCTTATTAGGGTAGTGATCCAAGTTTACTTCATTAAGGTAGTGACCCAAGTTGAACTGATTGAGGTAGTGATCCAAGTCAACCTTATTAAGGTAGTGATCCAGGGTGATGTTTTTAAGGTAGTGTTCCAAGTTGACCTTATTAAGGGAGTGATCCCAGTTTACCTTATTAAGGTAGTGATCCCAGTTGACCTTATTGAGGTAGTGATCCAAGTTGACCTTATTGAGGTAGTGATTCCAGTTAACCTTATTAAGGTGAGGTAGTGATACAAGTCGACCATATTGAGGTAGTGATCCAAGTTGACTTCATTAAGGTAGTGATCCAAGTCGACCTTATCAAGGTAGTGATCCAAATTGACCTTATTAAGGTAGTGATCCAAGTTGACCTAAATGAGGAGGTGAGGTAGTGATCCACCTGCAATTTCTAATCAGGCGATGAGTAGCCCTTAAAGTGGCCAACAGTATGGCAGTAATCCATCAGGATATGGTGACACATGAAGTCAGCCAGGACATGGGTAAATAGAAATTCAGAGCAGGCTGCAAGTCATTTTCCATTTGTTTATCACCAAGTGGATATGAATGATCATTTGTAGGTACATGATGACAACATTTACATTGTGAAAGGAATTTAGCCTGATACAAGAGAGTATTGTGATCCATCAAGTGCTCTGATACTCTATACACAGAACCTTGTTAGTCCAGAAACCCTGTAATCTAGATGATTAGTGTTGGGAACATTAATGTACTATTAAAAGTACATTACTGTGTACCCATTATTCATAAATGTGGTAATCACTTTGAACCTGTTTGGATTAACAGAGTTGCACTGTACTAACGACACCTAATAGCGTTAAACATACCCCGACTCTTTAGTCGGTCGTTTTCAGTAAGCCTCAACACCATGTTAAATGACTTGTGTTACAGATCAAGGTACTGGGGCCCAGATATTGGCCTGTTACATTCCGTGTCGACAAAAACTGGAACACTATCATGTAAGTAAAACCACTTTTAAACAGGAAGGCTTTTGTTTCATTTTGTTTATTTCACAAATTGTTGTTTGTTTGGCTATGACCATTTTGTTGTGTAGCCATGATGAATGTAACATCTACATGATCTAGCACGGGATACAAAATAAACATATTCCATGAAGAAGGTTAACAGTTAGAACTTACTGTGGTTGAAGTGTACATTAATGTGTTCAGGAAATTGTGCGTGGGAATAGGTTAGTCTCATGGTCAAAGCATTTGCTGGTCATGATAAATACTGATTAATTCCAATATGGTTTGCCTGCCAAAGGCACTTGGTTTGAAATCCTAGATACATCCCACTGTGCCGTTGAACAAAACAACCTTAGCACTACGACTGTCGTATGTCTATGTTAAGGTATGTTAGTTACGATCACCTTAGCGCTAAGATCGCTGTGTACATAGGGGCCCTGGTCATTGAGTAACCACTGTGTTCAGTATGCTGTATTTGTGTAACAGTGGTGTAGGTGGCTTACATCCATGTTTGTTGTGCAGGGCTCTGCTCCAGAAGAATGGTACACTCAGTGTGAAGCAGAGGGCCGGACATCTGTCTTACATGGAAGACCCACAGGTTGGTGAAAGTTCCATGTGAAAGATGGACGATTCATTTCATTGGCTGTAGTCTTTGGTCTGTGTGCTCCAGGTCTGATATAGCATGCTGTTTTGTGGATGGATACAATCTCCCTTTGTAGTGCTGAATAGTTCGTCCTGATTGTTTACATGTTCCAGGACCACCTCCGTGGTGTAGTGGATAGTTGCATCTGCCTGGAGAGTTGAAGGTCGGTAGTTTGAATCCCAGGCCGCATCATACCAAAAATCGTTTAAAAAAATGGTGCTTATTGTTTCCTCGTCTGGCGAACAGCATTAAGATAAAACAAGGACTGGCCACCTCGGAATCGGTATTATGTGTCTGAGTGGGATATACCATGTTAAGCTGCGGAATGGTATCTAGGTGGGCTGGTATTATTAACGATTTAACTGGCATGAGTACAAGCAGACACACATGTATGCATGAAATAAAACGTTAAATGCCACTTCTCTCTTCTCACATGATGCATGTCCAGATCGAGGGCCAAATATGGAGGCCTGAATCTGCTATAGTGACCTTAGTCTGTGCAGTCTAGCCTTGTCTTTTTAAAGTGTGAAACCATTCTCCCTGGGTCTCAGAATTTATTGTTTTTTTGAAGCACCAATCAACTGCTTTCCTGGAGAAGTGTTTGATTAATCATGCAAAACAAGACAATTTTCTTTATTTTTTCCAGGTTTTTTATTTTTATCATCCCAAACTGGCTTCGATAGGAGATATTGTTTGGGTGAGATCAAGCGATATGCCTTAGGAAATATTGCTTCAATGAAATTGTATGATGATGCTTTGCAGACCATTGTGACTTCTTCGGTTACCATGATGTCACAATCGAATGACATCACTAGTCTCTCGGATACTTAATCTTGTAAACTATACTGTTTACACTCAAGACTGGTTATGACAGTTTACTAACTGAATACCCGTGAAGATCCGGATTAGAATAGGTCTTCAGCAACCCATGCTTGCCATTAAAGGCGACAATGCATGTCTTAAGAAGTGACTAATTGGATCGGGTGGTCAGGCTTGCTGACTTGGTTGATGCATGTTATATCCCAATTGCGTGGATCGATGCTCATGATGTCAGTCACTGGATTGTCTGGTCCAGACTTGATTTATTTACAGACTGTCATCATATAGCTGGAATATAGCTGAGTACGGTGTTAACAAACAAACAAACAAACAAAAGACGCAATACAAACTGAAAAGAAAGTTGTAGGAATGATTTTGGAACTTTTACCGACTCGTATTGGGAAGTTTGATATAAAAAACACTTGAGTGAGATTCTCTATTTCTCTGGTAAATTAGCCTTACTTAGATTTTAGCAGTGATATAACAGTTAGGGCTGGGACGAGTCCAAATTAACTACCTGGGTACCTATCTCCCTATTACCCGACCCTACCCGGGTACCCTCTGTAGGTCTCAAGAGATACAAAATGTCCGTTTGAGATTTTTTTACCACAGCACTTGCAAAATGTATTTAGATACATGTATTAAACGATCTGGTCATGCATACACTGAAAGTGACTGAAGTTATATCTTTACTCAACCATATGAAAAGTCAGAGGGAATGGGTGCATATAGTAAGAAAGAAATGCGAACATTAGTGACTTGTGGTGTAAGCATAGAGTTCTAGATAATTTTTGTCTTTAAACAATATATCACATGACTAACCACGGGTCCGGGTAGTCCTGTGGGTACCGGGTCCTACTCAGTACCCACCCGACCCGGGTACCCGAGTTACCCGTCCCGGGTACCCGAGTTACCCGTCCCAGCCCTAATAACAGTGTCGAACACCAGTATCCAGATATTGTTCTTGTGTTTGCAGGGTTATCGCAGTATGCTTGCTAAATCTCTCACTTCGGACCATTCATGTCACTGTTCAAATAAGGTCAGTACACATTCCCATTTACACTATTGCAGTATTAGTTATTCCACATGATGAGAAAGCCAAACATTTAGCTCGGAGGCTATTAGAGAGTTGATGCAGGTGCTTCTGTTAAGCTGTTTAGGGATTTAGGGTTAGAATATAGGCCCCCAGCAACCTATGCTGGTTGTAATAGGCGACTAGATGGATCAGGTCGTCAGGTTCGGTGACCAGGTTAATTGTGTGACATCGTACTATGACGGCGAGGAGCATTGTTCACAACATTAATCACTGGATTGTCTGGTCCAGACTTGATTATTTACAGGCCACCTTCATAAAGCTGAAATATTGCTGAGTGATCCATTAAACAACTAAAAACAAACAAAACTCAGATTATTGTCTGATAAATTATTATATTTTCTGAATGGATACCCATGTGTCTCTTCAAACAATGTGCATTTGTATCAGAATTGATAGAAAGGTAAATAAATAACAGGTTTTTTTCTTTCTGGTAGAATAGGACTTCAGCAACCCATGCTTGCCGTAAAAGGCAAATATGCTTATCTTAAGAGGCGACTAACAGGATTGGGTGGTCAGGCTCGCTGACTTGCTTGTTGCATGTCATTGTATTCCAGTTGCGTAGATCAATGCTCATGATGTCAATCACTGGATTGTCTGGTCCAGATTCGATTATTTACAGACTCCCGTCATATAGCTGGAATATTGCTGAGTGCGGCATTAAACAACAAACAATAAATAAATCTTCCTGTTATGTCTATTGATACTATTGATTGTGTAGCGCAGCATTGTTGTTAACTATTAATCTTTTAATGCATCAATGCCTCACACCATGGACGATTGCAATGCATCAAGTTTGATTGATCGTTACAGCCCTATTAACACCCATGTATTCCTGTGTAAACTGGACAGACATGTTGCACTTAACGTTTGTTGAAAGAGTATTGCTTCATTTATCAGTTCATGTATGTTTGTATTGTTACCAGCCAAACATCATCAAGTCTTTCACATCGGACCCACGGATTATAGCATTAGCAGAGTTTTTCCTCAAGTCCAAAGAGGACATGGTGAGTCAAGACAATGAGTTGCTCATTTTGTTACTGTAATGTTCTTGTTGCTAATGACTAAGCAATGAGACTGGAAGCGTCTTAGGGCAGACATTCAGACTTAGTTTCATTATAACCCCTTGCATCTCTCCAGTGTGTTGTGCCCAAAGGTTTGAAGCATGACAGATTGAGAATAAGCAATGAGCTATGAGGAAATACGGATTATCTGCCTGGAGGGAATGAATGGTGTTAATCCCGAGGTTTGGGCAAACGATTAACATTGACAGCATTCATTCACGAGGGACGGATAATCCATAATTCCGATTTGTTAAAGTATGTTATTTCATGTATTACTCATTGACATCATAAGAGAGAAAATTAAGGGAAAATATTTGAAATGTCAGCCCTACGGATAAACTTCACTGAGGAGACCCTATTGTTCAGATGATGTAATTTAATCAATTTGTGACATTATGAACAATGGATGAAGTCATATCGTAATTGTGGATGATGTCATTGTTGCGTTTCTCAGTCATGCTAGGATCCCCTGATCACAGGTTGCTCCCTGATTATAATTCTTGGTCATAGCCATGCTCGTGATGTTGGTAATTATCAACCTGCATCACTTAAGGCTTTCCTCCCACAACGAGCAATACCTGTTCCATGATGGGGCACGGGTGGCCCAGTCATCTAAGGCGTCGCAATTTGCTGTGCATGCAGAGTTGCGTCCCTTGGACATGCCAGAAATCTATGATTGTGGGTTCAATTACATTAAGTAATACGTTACCACTGTTATACCGAGGCTGTTGTCTCCCACAACTGCTGCTATAGCGAAATCTACCACAGAGATCTCAATTACCTCATGCAGCACGTGCGTAGCCACCTAGCTGCCATGTGACACCCTTCACTCTTGTCTCCTTCGTCTGCTTAGCAAGACGTGTTTTCTCCTGCTGAAGCGTTCCTTGAAGATTTGGTGATATTTATTATAGTTTATTCTCTAATAAACTGTGCTTTTATGGGGCGTTGCGGTAGCTACGCTTGGTTATAATTTTCCCGCCAAACGGAAAATTTTTCCCGCCCTTTTTTCTATATACTTGCGGGGTTCGCGTATGCACGTTGTGTTTTACGTTTCCCCTGTTCTTGTATGTTTTGGGGGTTAACATAACTTATTTCTTTAATAAAAGTTATATGTGTATGTTATATGTTCACATTGCTCGTTTATTTTCTTGTGAAAATGTTCGTTTGTGAATCATTGTGGTGCGTGCGTTGTAACCATGTTTTGTTCTTTGTTTATAGCAAACAATCAATGTCTGACATGGATATGTCCCCAGTATCCACCCCCTCTACCCCTGCTTCTCGGAGTTATGGGGTGTGCAGAAAGTTTTTGTCGTCCCGGGATCCCCACGTTCGTTGCCCGCGGTGCAGGGTTCCTTGCGGGGACACCCGGTGCATCCTGTGCGAAGGTCTGGGGCCTGCGGATTTTGAGCGGTACCGGCTGTACGTACAGTCCGTCTCCACCCCTGTGGTGGCCGGTTCGTCCGGTCGGGGTCCCCGTGCGGGTACCACCTCCTCGGCTGCGGCGGATCCCCTTGCGGCCCTCGGGCTGTTTGGGGATTCCGTCGCCGCATTGTTGTCGAAACTTGTGGATTCCATGCTGGCGGCCTTATCGCAAGATAGGCCGCTGGCTGTTCCGTCCCCGGCCTCTTCGGTGGCCGCGGGGTCGGACGCGGGGTCCACCGGTAAAGCGGCGGATCTCTTGGCGGCCCGTGTGCTGTCCGGGGATTCCGTCGCTGCATTACTTGCATAACTTGTGGACTCCAAGCTGGCGGCCTTATCTCAGGATAGGCCGCTGGCTGTTCCGTCCCCGGCCACTTCGGTGGCCGCGGGGTCGGACGCGGGGTCCACCGGTACGGCGGCGGCTCCCGTGGTCACCGGTCCTTCCCCCGAACCGTTGCTCCCGCTATCGGTTTAGGACCGCGTGGCCATGGTTTATGACCTCTTTGAGGACATGCCCCGGCCGGTACCGCGGGGAATCCACGACTCGGCTTTCCCCGCATCAACCTTGCTGCGCGGTTTCAAGCCTTCCTTGGAGAACGCCTTCGCGGCGGCCTCCGGTCGGGGTCTCCCGTTGCCTCCGACGTCGTGGAGAAAGGGTTTATTCCCGGTACATGACCTTGCCTTTCCCGAGGCTGGTCCTACCGCGGAGGCCCATGTTGAGCGGTTGGGTGTCCGTGCCCCACCGGCTGCTACGGTAACGCAAGCTACCTTGCACCAGCTGGACGCCCTCGCTCGGCACTCCATGTCTCACGGAGACACTTACTTGGCTGCAGCGGCCCGTCTGGTCGAAGGTTCTCCCACGGACCGTGACCAGCGCATTTACAACTGCCTGCTCAGTTTAAATGCTTCCCTGGAGTACGTTGCCGAGTACTCTCGGCACACACTTGCTCTTGTTGGGTCCCTGCATAGGCGCCTGGGTGCCGCTCCTACCCGGAGCGCGCCCCAGGCTGCTGCGGCCGGTAGGTCTAAGGGGTCGGGTTCTTCTTCCTCTGGGAAGTAGCCCCGCCCTGAGGGCTCCGGTATGGGCAATCAGCTGCCCTTTCGCGCGAAACGGGGAACTGGGGGAAGCCCAAGTCGTCGACGGACGGCAAGGGCCCCTCCAGGTGACTCTCATTGGAGGGGTTCGTATGCCGACAGCGCCAACTTCGGTTGGCCCTTAGGCGAACCCGAGTCACTTGGCCCTGGACAGTTGCGCCTGTCGCAACCTGTCAGGGCCCCCTCTCCTTCCCCAGTGGGAGCCAGACTCCAGACTTACTGGGAGTATTGGGAACAAGTGTTCGACGACCCGTGGGTGGTCAACACGATTCGGTACGGCTATCGGCTTGATCTCAAAGCGAATCCGCCGCTCACCGTTGCCCCGTTGGCAGGTTTCGATTCGGAAACCGATCTTCCCATCCTTGCCGATGCCATCGGCAGGTTGGTGGAGAAGGGGCAGTACGGGAGTTAGCTCTACCAGAAATAACACCGGGGTTTTACTCCAGGATATTTCTCGTTCCCAAGTAGGACAGTGCCGAACTCAGAATGATTCACACGTCCGCTCCCTGGCTGTTCACCCGGTTAACCACCCCCATAGTGGGGTTCCTCCACAGGAGGGGTGTCCGGTACTTCGCGTACCTGGACGACTCGCAAGTAGCAAATCGAATGACGGACACCCTGTCACGCCATCTCGATTTCGCACGTCGGCTCTTGGAGCAATTTGGGTGGATTATCAATCTCCCCAAGAGCGAGTTAACCCCTTCTCAGAACTTGCTGTTCATCGGAGGTCGGTTCAACACGGTGTCCCATCGCCTCTTTGTCCCCCCAGACCGGTGGCACAAAATTCAGGCGATGATTGCCAAAGTCTTAGCGGTGCAACAGACTGTTCACTTTTGGGAACAGCTGTTAGGGCTACTTGTATCAGCCCAGGACTGCACCGCACGGGGTCGTCTCCAACTCCGCCCGCTGCAACGGTTTTTAATCCAGTTGTTAGCAACGGAGGTGAACAGTGCGACCGTCGCCCTCCCGGATCGGCTCCGACCGCATCTGGAGTGGTGGACGGTCCCTTACATTGTCTTATCAGGAGTCTCTATGCGGCCCTACCGGGCCACGTTGACCCTGTATACAGACGCCTCTCTAGTGGGCTGGGGCGCCCATCTAAAGGGGGAGGTGAGCTCGGGGCTGTGGTGCTTAGACGAACTAGGTCTTCACATCACTTGTCTCGAGTTCAAGGCAGTGATCAACGCAGTCAATCACTGGAAGCATCGTCTCGTCGACGCCCGGCTCATGCTGGCGACAGACAACACGACGGTAGTGTCCTATGTGAACAAACTGGGGGGAACCCACAGTCACTCGCTGCTCGATCTCACGTTCGAGTTTTACGCTCTGGTGGACAGTGTCCCGTGCCAGATACGCGCCCGTCACATCCCAGGTGTGCGGAACGTACTGGCCGATGCTCTATCGAGGCCTCAGGATCCGAGCCCCACAGAGTGGATGCTGAACCCAGTAGTGTTTCAGTGGCTGTGCGAACGTTTGGGTCGTCCGATGGTCGACCTGTTCGCAACGCGGTTCAACAATCAACTCCCGTTGTTTGTATCACCAGTCCCGGTCCCGAGGGCCATCGATCACGATGCTCTCGCGTTAGACTGGACGGGCTTGGTCGCTTATGCTTACCCGCCGACAGCGTTGATACCACACATTCTAAGCCGGCTCCGAGGAGTTCGCTGTCGAATGTTACTGATCGCGCCCATGTGGCCGAACAGATCGTGGTACCCCGACTTGCTGACCCAGGTCACGCAGTCGCCACTTCCACTGCCTGTGAGACCGGATCTCTTGATCCACCCTCACACCCGTCAGCTTCATCCAAACGCAGGGCAGTTCAATCTGCACGCGTGGATGTTGTCACCGAGCGTCTGAGGAGTAAAGTTTTTTCTCGCCGGGCGTCTCGGGCATACGTTAGTATGCATCGTGATTCTACCCAGAAGGTGTATAATGCACGTTGGGTTATTTTCACGAAGTGGTGTTGTAAACATCACATTCATTCGCCAGATAAGGTATCTGTGCAGGATATTGCTCGTTTCATGTCTCACTTGCGAGAGACCCGGAAACTCTCCGGGGGTTCCATTGCCAACTATGTCTCGTCCGTTGCTACGGTACGGGACGTTGCTATGGGTACCAGTCTCTCCAAAGAGCCGGTGATACGGGGTATTATCAAGGGTTTCAAACAGCACGATCTTAAGAAGGGCCGCCTTCGGGCACCGGCCTGGGATCTTTCCCTAGTGTTGCAATCACTTACGGAAGCTCCGTATGAACCCTTGCATAGTGCTTCGTTCCGGCATGTGACTTGGACAGCATTTCTCCTCTCCTTTGCCACGGCGGCACGTGTATCCGAAATTCATGCACTCGATGTCGCCAAGGTACGATTCGATAGGGGTGACGAAGGAGCGGTCCGCCTGGGCCTGCTCATGGGCTTCGTCGCCAAGAATCAGAGAGTCGGGCAAACGGAGAGAGAATTCACTGTAAGATCACTCAAAGAAATCTTACATCCTGCTAATACTGAGGACAGAGCGCTGTGTCCGGTTAGGGCCCTTAAGTATTATCTTAAGGCTTCGAATGGACGTAGACAAGGGCGTGACCGTCTGTTCATATCGTGTAACCCTAATCGCACGGTTGACATACCTCGCAACTCGATTGCGTTGTGGCTTCGTTCTGTCATCAATCTGGCGTACCGGTCTCGGGGGTTACCGGTAGCGGGGTCAAACCCGCACGAGATCAGGGCGCTAGCGGCAACATTTGCCCTACACTCGAATATCTCTGTTCGCAGAATATTACGAGGTTGTTACTGGCGTTCTGACTCGGTTTTTGCCAATCATTACCTCAAACAGGTCGCTGATGCCGTCGTGGAGAGTGTGCACCGTCTTGGCCCGCGGATCGCGGCGCAAGCGGGCACCTAAGGGGTGTGCCCAGCGCAATTCCGAACTCCTCAGGCGTCTGACCTTGCACGGTGGTCAATCTGGGTCTACTCCAATGTTCCCACTGCCGTGGGTACAGGAGTTGGGGTCCCGCAAACCAGCGCACTCACACCACAGGTGAGGGCGGCTTTTGTGTGCTTTGTCCTTATTTGTATTTTGACAATTATGTCTTTAATTGTCTGTCGTGTATCCCAACCTTGTGATGCATGCTTACAAATACTGGAATTAGGTCACGCGCCTAATGCATACTTTAAGTAGGCTTGCTCTGGGATATACGGTCTGAATGAAATTAATTTCCCTCTTTTCGACTGTTTAACCTGATCTAAGATTAAGCTCACGCGGATACAGTGTTCTCATCCGCTGCGGCGATGAAATACCTATCCAGTGGGGCCGTTTGGAGTCACCAATCGTTTTGGCAATGACGATTGAGCCTTACGGTATGCGCTTGACAGTGCTTTGGTATTCCTATAGGGTAACGCCTAGCTAGGTGCATGCGCATCGAGTGCTTCCGCCTTGGTGTTTACTTCCGCTGGTCGGAAGGAACGCTAGCAGTCAGGATTCGGGTTGTAGGTGCTCCCCACCGCCTACTGTGGTAGTCAGCCTCGGTATAACAGTGGTAACGTATTACTTAATGTAATTTGTAGAATTTTCCTATTCGGAATATTCTATATGTAATACGTTACCACTGGGCTGCTGCCCGCCCGTCCGTCCCCCGAGCACTTGCTCTCGCAGGAGACAAGAGTGAAGGGTGTCACATGGCAGCTAGGTGGCTACGCACGTGCTGCATGAGGTAATTGAGATCTCTGTGGTAGATTTCGCTATAGCAGCAGTTGTGGGAGACAACAGCCTCGGTATAACAGTGGTAACGTATTACTTATAGAATATTCCGAATAGGAAAATTCTACAAAATTCCAATTCGTCCCGATTATGTTTCTTGGTTTGTCAGCACCATACCCGTGCTTGTTGTTTCACCAAAGTGTTAAACGCCTGAGACTAGCATCACTTAGAGCTTTCCTCCCACATTAAGCTAACATGCCGTGATATAACTGGAATACTGTTAAAAGTGGCGTTAAACCAAACTCACTCACTCACTGTTCCAGGGGGCGGTTGGGTAGCCTTGTGGTCAAGCGTTTGCTCGTCACGCCGAAAACCCAGGTCCCCCTCTCTGATATTGCTGGAATACTGTTTAAGTCGATGTTAAACCCAACACTCTCACTGTTCAAGGGGACGGTTGGGTAGCCTAGTGGTTAAGCGTTTGCTCGTCATGCCGAAAACCCAGGTCCCCCTCTGTGATATTGCTGGAATACTGTTTAAGTCGGTGTTAAACCCAACACTCACTCACTGTTCAAGGGGACGGTTGGGTAGCCTAGTTGTTAAGCGTTTGCTCGTCACGCCAAAAACCCAGGTCCTCCACTGTGATATTGCTGGAATACTGTTAAAAGCGGCGTTAAACCAAACTCACTCACTCACTGTTCAAGGTGGCGGTTGGGTAGCCTTGTGGTTAAGCGTTTGCTCGTCATGCCGAAAACCCAGGTCCCCCACTGCTGGAATACTGTTTAAGTCGGTGTTAAACCCAACACTCACTCACTGTTCCAGGACCTGTCCACGGTGCAGGAGCTGTCCACTGTTGTGTATGAGTGTGTGACCCAGGAGAAGCCTGAAGCCACCTGCCTCCACTTCATCCTGGAGCAGCTCATCCACCAGTGTCAGAAGGGGCTCCACACCACCGGGGTGTGGCAGCTCAAGTTGGTGCTGGCTTACTACACCAGCAGGTACCGCATCAACCACACCGCAGAAGACCAGCCACAACACCTCCTGGAGATGGAGTTCTTACTGTGCCTGAAGAGACATCTAGAGGACACACTGGATAAGTGGCATATAGGTGAGTGTTGAGGTGCTCATAGTCTTCTTGGGGCGGTCGGGTATCCTAGTGGTTAAAGCGTTGGCTCGTCACTCCAAATACCCAGTTCGATTCTCGACATGGGTACAATGTGTGAAACCCATTTCTGGTTCCCACACCGTGATATTGTTGGAATATTGTTAAAAGCGGTGTAAAACCATACTCACTCACTCACTCATAGTCTTCTTGATACAGGTTTTATTGTCAAGTCGAGTGAGCTCATGTTATATCGCTTTGGTGACTGTCCATATGTCCTTCATTAGCTGTTACACTTTCCGACATTTACTTTGAAAGTTTTCAATCAAAATGAACTTTGCTTGAATGATCCCAGCTATTGTGTCTGTAGAAACTGCTCACAGAATTCTGATCCAATTTGAGCATTTAGGCCACAGCAGCAATTTTGAGAATATTAATTGTTCCCATTTTGCAGCAAGCTCTGCATGTATCATTATGAAGTCTGATATATAATCTATGTAGTGGTATGTGGTATAGTTTTCTGTATGTGTTTCCTGCAGACAATGTGGAGTTGTTCCTGCGTTACCTGAAGGGGGAGGAGATGAAGGGGCAGGAGATCACCTGTCTGTCGGGATTCCTAGCATGGTTCGACATCCCCCACCCAGAAGACATTGCTCCAGTATTAGCTAAAGGTTGGTGTGTCTGTGATTTTGGCTGAGGTCGTAACTGACTGTGGTTGTTTGTAGCTGTGGCTGTGATTGTGTCTGAGGTCGTAACTAACTGTGGTTGTTTGTAGCTGTGGCTGTGATTTTGTTTATAGCTGTAGCTGTGGCTGTGATTGTGGCTGAGGTCGTAACTAACTGTGGTTGTTTGTAGCTGTGGCTCTGATTGTGTTTATAGCTGTAGCTGTGGCTGTGATTGTGACTGAGGATTGTAACTGTCACTGTTGCTTTTACTGAACTGGTGGCTGTGGTTTAAACTTTAACTGTGTCTGTGACTGACTGTGACCATGGTTGTAACTGTAGCTGTGTCTGTGACTGACTGTGACCATGGTTGTAACTGTAACTGTAGCTGTGACCATGGTTGTAACTGTAACTGTAGCTGTGACCATGGTTGTAACTGTAACTGTAGCTGTGACCATGGTTGTAACTGTAACTGTAGCTGTGACCATGGTTGTAACTGTAACTGTAGCTGTAACCATGGCTGTTGTTTTACCGGTAGATGTGGCTGAGGCTGTGTCTGTGTTTCTGTCTCTTGCTGAACTGTTGACTGTGGCTGTGATTGTAATCATGGTTTAGCCTGAAAAAAAAAAAAAATTGGTTCTCAGGCAATAACTTATGAAAATATCATGCGGGCAGGCGGCCCCTTTTTATTTTATGGTTGTGTACACACTAGTAACAAATCCGTATATCGCTGTGTATAAGGCGAGTTTTTCAAAACTAGAATTAGGAGACTTTCAAGGTGTGTGTGTTTGGGTATGTGGGTGGTCTTATACACAGGGTTGAGTATTTTATGGTTTTTTTCCGCAACACAAAGACATTACTGTGGGCACGAAACGCCTGAAATACCATGTCAACAAATCCGTACTGAAAAACTCAAATTAATCATGTAATTACACTGTCTTGTTGTAGAAAGAGTTCATAATATATCTGGACTTATGTTGGTAATCTATTTTATCAATTTTATTCAACATTTCATTCAATATTGTTTCAATTCATTTCGGCAAAAGCGTATGTGAAGTGATCAGAAGATAGCACATCTCACCGTTATTTACAGCAACCACGATCATATTACCGCTATTGACGCCTTGAAACAAACTTAAGTGGATAGAGAATGGATATATGTATCATAAAGGCCATACATTGAATCGCTGAAAGTCATACTTGTTGTAGTTTGACAATTATATGTCAACATTTACTTTTCGCAAAGTCAAATTCTTCCATTCGAAACCATTTCTGGCAATGGCGATCAGCTGAACAAAAGTGCTACGCTTATGGTTATTAATTTATTTCACATATATATTGTAAAGCTGTATATCGTAAACAACTACACATAATATTGGAATAAATTATTCCTGATAAAATAATAGTTTCAGATACAATTCTTCCGCTCATTGTATCAACATTTTTTAAAGTTATATTATTGGCCGAATCACCGGTAGATTCTGAGAAAAGTGTGTTCAGCTGAATGCTACTTCCGGCTTAGCTTACAAGACAAGACGCATGATAATCTTAATCTCTGCATATAAAACAATGCCAATCAGAACAGCAAATACAATTTAATCGGCTAATGATAATGTTTAGTGATGTTTTATTTCAAATTTGTATTGACACAAGTTTAATTGATATAATGCGGAAGACAAACACATTTTTATTGCAAATGTAGAGATTTTGTATGCACTAGTGATGTGCTTTATTCTGATTCGCTTTATCGCCGGGGTATATAAATTAGCATTGATTACCCGCATATTTTACGAGACAAATAACCTCTGCGTATGAAACATTGTCCCTCATACAGTACACAAATACCATGGAATATATATTTGAATACCGTCATCATGTCTAGTGATGTTGTATTGCAAATTTAATGTTTTTATTGACCAAATTTGCAAACAGCAAAGCAAGCACACAAACTTCTATTGCTGCTATGACCATAACACATGAGACGCGCAGTAAAAAAGTGCACATGAAAAGGGAAATAACTGCATGTTATATTGGATCGCATTGATTTTAAGTATTGTAGCATTTCACAGTTGAGGTCGTGTGTTCGAGACGCGGAACATTTAAGGATTTTTTTTGTTTTGAAAATGGAAATAAAAACGAAATGTGCGGCAGACTTTATGATGATGCGGCGATGCCTGAGAACCAAGAATTTTTTATTTTTTTTAGCTTTAGCTGCAGGTGTACCTGTGGTTTTTTTCTGTGGCTGTTACTGTAACCATGGTTTCAGCTGCAGTGTAGTTGCAGTTGGTTTTATCTGTGGCTGTGACCATGGTTGTAGTTGTACCTGTAGCCTTGGCTTTGAATGTTGTATCTGTTGTTGTGGCTGTGCCTATACATCGTTTCGGTGCTCTTATACATTCATTGGTATGAATTATTTTTGTAATTTCATTCATGTTGCAGGAGAGTCCAGCCTCCCGGTGTTGTGTAAGCAGCTGCCTGGACTCAGTGTTGTGACAATCATGAGGCTCCTAGCCTCCAGACAATCGGCCTCCACGTGACCGCCACCCTTGGCAGAGTCATTCCATCATAACAGCACTACACAAGCTAAGGCCACCCTCTTAAATCAAATGTCAGTCTGCTGATCTGCTGATTCACAGCAAGACAAGCGAAGGAACATTCCTGACCATAGTCAACTGACCACTGGCCACACAGTGTCCAGACTATGCATCGTCATCTCAAGTACAACACAAGACACGCTGAGACTCAACCTTGGCCATAGAGTAGTGTTTACATTTTCGTAATCATTTCAGAACAATACTCATCGAGGGCACCGTTCTCCAGTCAGGGGCCCTCTAGTACTGTAGTGTTATGTCCTCTGATCAACTAATGGACAGCAGAGGTGGAATTTAGGGACACTCTCCTTGTGATCCTTGACCAGTCACTACATTATCTTTGTTGACACTACAGAGTTCATGTTAAAGGGACACTCTCCTTGTGATCCTTGACCAGTCACTACATTATCTTTGTTGACACTACAGAGTTCATGTTAAAGGGACACTCTCCTTGTGATCCTTGACCAGTCACTACATTATCTTTGTTGACACTACAGAGTTCATGTTAAAGGGACACTCTCCTTCACAAAAACGACCGATAGCCACTGCATAGTGTCCAGTCGATCCAGTCGATCCAGTGACGTCTGAAACACAACACATTACATGTTAAAGGGACGCTCTCCTTCAATAATTGTTGGTCTTCATAGTGTCCAGTCAATCCATTGACGACTGAAACACAACACATTACATGTTAAAGGGACGCTCTCCTTCAATAATTGTTGGACATCATATAGTGTCCAGTCAATCCTTTGAAATCTGAAACACAACACATTACATGTTAAAGGGACACTCTCCTTCAATAATTGTTGGTCTTCATAGTGTCCAGTCAATCCATTGACGACTGAAACACAACACATTACATGTTAAAGGGACGCTCTCCTTCAATAATTGTTGGACATCATATAGTGTCCAGTCAATCCTTTGAAATCTGAAACACAACACATTACATGTTAAAGGGACACTCTCCTTCAATAATTGTTGGCCATCACATAGTGTCCAGTCAATCCACATATTTGAGGGACACTCTCCTTCAGTCAAATCACTATAGTGGCCATATGGCATGGTCCAGTCATTCTATTGTCATGTTAACACAACACAGTACAGTTTGAGGGTCACTCTCTTTCAGCATGTTCAGTCACGTGTTGTCAAATCATCTCTTATTCTGCTAGATTCTTGTTATGAAACCTCTGGTATAGTTAATGACCTGCTGCCACAATATAGTTCAATCCTTCTGTGTCAACCACAGTCAACCATTGTGATGTGCTACCCTTCCTAGTGTTACAAGTCCACATTGTCTTCTGTGTTTGTATCAGTGTTATGACATCACACATCAAAAAATAACATGTGGGACATATAGCCACACTGGAGACTGGAGACGTTCTTTTTCTTAACAGACAAAGCTGGTGAACATGTTTCCATTGTCATACTCATTTAATGACTGGACCATTGAAATGTGTTTGGGACTGTTTTGGGTGATATGCATGGTAAGCTGAGGGAGCAGACAGTCTTCTCAATATTGTGTTGCCATAGAAACAAGTGTTGAGGTCTATGCTGAGCTGAGGGAGAAGACAGTCTTCTCAATATTGTGTTGCCATAGAAACAAGTGTTGAGGTCTATGCTGAGCTGAGGGAGAAGACAGTCTTCTCAATATTGTGTTGTCATGGAGAGAAGCTGAGCTGAGGGAAAAGACAGTCTTCTCAATATTGTGTTGTCATGGAGACAAGCTGAGCTGAGGGAGAAGACAGTCTTCTCAATATTGTGTTGCCATAGAAACAAGTGTTGGGGTCTATGCTGAGCAGAGGGAGAAGACAGTCTTCTCAATATTGTGTTGTCATGGAGACAAGCTGAGCTGAGGGAGAAGACAGTCTTCTCAATATTGTGTTGCCATAGAAACAAGTGTTGCGGTCTATGCTGAGCAGAGGGAGAAGACAGTCTTGTCACTATTGTGTTGCCATGGAAAGGAAACAAGTGTTGAGGCCTAGGTTGAGTCAACATTTGTCTTTGCTAGATGGAAGCCTGTCAGTTTCTGAATATTAAGATATGATGTCAGGGATTAGCAGGCAAGAACCAAACCAGAACTGACATTGGATGCATGGCACTTGAAAGCAGGTATGCCCATGGCAGAATGTCTGAATGTACAATACCTAGTCCAGCTTCAATGCTTTTTTTCACAATAGTATCTGTCCATGTTAGTGAGATTAACATGTGAACCAAATGTTTGCATTAGCTAGAGAACCATTATGAATCTCTAATTTTCCATTCTTCCTTCATGCTAAGACACTGGGAAGGCTCTGTCATATAAGTTTGTTCTGTCAGCCTGTCCCATATGCAATATTATGAGCATCATCATGACTGTCTCACCACAACCCATTGCCACACCTACACCCTTAGTCTATCTACTTTCATGCCTCACCCCTCACCCATGCCCATTATGATGCCACATCCTACTTTTGTGCCCCACCCCTCACCCATGCCCAGGGGCGGTCGGGTAGCCTAGTGGTAGCTCGTCAAGCCAAAGACCCGGGTTCGATTCCCGACATGGGTAAAATGTGTGAAGCCCATTTCTGGTGTCCCCTGCCGTGATATTGCCGGAATATTGCTAAAAGCGGCGTAAAACCATACTCACTCACTCACTCACCCATGCCCATTATGATGCCACACCCTACTTTTGTGCCCCACCCCTCATCCACACCCACACTCCACTTGCCTTCCAGATCCCTCATCCATGCCCACATATATTTATATGACTTGACTTTAGCCACACCACGCCCATATCTGTAACACAAGCCTGTAAACCAAGGTGGTAGGGGATTAAGCTTATATACTCACCACCAAAAGAAACTCAAACCATAGAAGGATATTGAGAAGAACATGTATGTACGTTAGGAAGAGATGTCTCCAATGTGTACCACTTATTGACAAAACTAACAGTCAAGTGTTACCACAGCGCGTCTTTATTCTTTTCACAATATGCTGCACATGATTTCCAAACTTTACACGCTAATCCTACAAGAGACAATATGTGTGTCTCGAGTCTTGAATCTATGATGTCAAATGTGATGCATTCATGAGCATCGGTTCACAGTATGTTTGTTTGTGCATCAAACCAACCTAATATCTCTTGAATATGTCTTCATATGTCAACCAACATGTATGGTATTCGCCTTTCTTTTGTCGGTGGGGGTCATGGGTGGCCCAGTCGTCTAGGGCGCCGGGATTCGCTGTGCAGAGTTGCGTCCCTTGGTCGTGCCAGAAACCTATGATTGTGGGTTCGAATCCCGGTTCGCCCCGATTATGTTTCTAGGTTTGTCAGCACCATACCCCTGCTTGTGGGTTTCACCGAAGTAGTAAACGTCTGAGACCTGCATCATTTCAGGCTTTCCTCCCACATTAAGCTGACACGCCGTGATATAACTGGAATACTGTTAAAAGTGGCGTTAAACCCAACTCACTCACTGTCGGTGAATATAAAATATACTGCTCAAATTTTTATGAGGGTATTCTGAGTATCAAGCTTGGGAACTGAAAATTACTGATTGCTGGGAGATGTTGTCATACAAATAGTATTTACTATTGCCCCTTCACTTCAAGTCAAAATAAACAAATTCTTTTCCAATATTGATACCCCAAAGCTTCATAACAGTGTGAAATTTGTCAGTATCCTTATCGAAAGTAGAGTAGTATAAATTGATACAGGTTTGCAATCCATATATGTACATGTGTCTTACAACACTCTCTCTACTTGTTGCTGCCACAAGTGTAGTGTCTATGTAAGGAGATGATAGTGACTGTCGCCAGACGTACTTCAGTTCTATTCAGTAGTACATCAGTCTTCCACTGCACACAAGGTCAGTCTGCCTCTTTCACGACTGTGTCACATCTAAGTGAATTGTCCAGCTAATTGTATTTCTCTCACTCATGCACAGCCAGATGTTGAAGCAGTGTCTCTGTCAGACAGTCTGGCTCCCTGACAGGCCAGTGTCATCATTCCATTGTACCAGTGTTAAGTTCCAGGCTGTTGTTTCCACCCGGCTTGCCGATCCCGAGGCTGCCATTATATTTTCTGAAATATTTTGGTATGATACTGATATTTCTTAGTGACTCTTGCTTGAATATTGTCATTGATGACATGTTGCTTACAGGCAGTTTTAGGCAATGATTCCTGTCAGTGATTTAAGTCAGGAATGAACTTCATCCATAGTGTGCCCTCTTGTGTATTGTGCATTTTATTGAACATTACCATGGTGAATGTGGAGAAACAATGAGTGTTACAATGATAGATGCAATGATTAAATAGGATCATGAGTATCAAGTCATTTTAGACCCTTTAGCCCTAAGATCATTAGTGACAGACCATTTGTTATTCTGGGTGGGGATGGGAAAAAAATACTTTTGCCTGATTTTTAACACACACCCACACCCACACCCACACCCACACCCACACCCACACCCACATTCACATCCACAACCACACCCACACCAATATCCACACCTACATCCACACCAATATCCACACCCACATCCACACCCAAACCCACACCAATATCCACATCCACATCCACACCTACATCCACACCCTAACCCACACAAATATCCACACCCACATCCACACCCAAACCCACACCAATATCCACATCCACACCCAAATCCAAACCCGAACCCACACCCACACCCACACCCACATTCACATCCACAACCACACCCACACCAATATCCACACCTACATCCACACAAATATCCACACCCACATCCACACCCAAACCCACACCAATATCCACATCCACATCCACACCTACATCCACACCCTAACCCACACAAATATCCACACCCACATCCACACCCAAACCCACACCAATATCCACATCCACACCCACACCCAAATCCAAACCCAAACCCACACCCAAACCACATCCATGTTGTGTCCACCTGGCTTGCCGATCCCCGTTAAATTAGAATCTCAAGATATATCTTTTTTCAACAATCCTTTGTTTTTATCTGCAATATCCCAAACGACAAGACTGGATTAATTTTTCATGAAGTGCTGTTACTTGATTAAGTTTCTGTCAGTGTGGAGATTTGAAAGTGGCATTGCAATGAGGATTAAAATCAACTCCCAATCATTCTATTTACATAAAAAGATCCTTAAACAAAACAGTTTCAGTGCGGCCTTCATTATTAGACTTTGTGTCAGTCAGCACACATGGAGACTGCCAGCAATGCATCAGTGATGCCAGGGCTGCAGTGAGCCTCGCTCACCAACATTGCACTACATATATTACGGTACTGTCAAGTTAGCATTTCATGCATCATGAAGATCAAATAGGGGTGTGGGGATTTGTTGTTAAATACTGTACATCAACTGTAAAAAGGTAGTGTGTCTTGATTCCTGTAACAATCAAACTTTATAATTTATGATCTTGCACATGCGGATTCAAGACAGTCCTCAGTTACACTTGTTTGCAACTCCCATGGAACAACGTCAGGTCACATCATTTGTTTAAGTGTTATTTTCAGAATTAAAGCAGTAAACTTATTGATGAAATCACTGCAGTATGTTTTGTTGTGTAAAGGGCAAATGTATGTGATTTTGTACATCGATAATTAACAGAATTGTAAGTTGTAACCCATCAGCTATGCACATGATTTTGACTGTTTTGTCTTCTCTTATGTTTTTCTGCATATTTAATGAGGTCATTAGGCTTGTTAGCAAAATACTGTTTCTTGTAAGGAATCTCTGGCTGTTTGGCTTGTGTGACTGTGATACAGATATTTGATTTCTCTTGTACATAGCATTTCTGTGCAATGTTAGGAATGGAGATTATATACTACTCAGCTGCTGATAGAGGGACTGAGAGTATCCAGCGGGGTTGGAATGTGACTGATGGCTTGGATATGTTGTCGTACAAATAGTATTTAAATTTGCCATGGAACTGAATCGTAACCAGTTCCATTTTTTGTTGATGAAACATAAATAGTGTTCAAGAAGTTAATTGTCATGTTTTGTGACAGTATGGAATACCTCAGTATCCCTATCGACTGTTGAGTTGTACATTACTGTAAGCCAGTCAACTATCTATTGAACCAGTTTCCTATACTCAGGAGTGATACAGCACATATCCTTGACATTATTGTGAGGTGTGTTTGTTTCTACACTAATATCATGGTTATGATTATTTCAATTTTGCATTTACATCACAATGTTTTCCCTTGTTTCACAAATGTACTTAACCTTTGTACAATAACTAATAACTTCTATTTATATCGAAATCTTAAATCATTTGGGAAATGCACAAGGTGTGATAAGAGCTGGTTTGGCCCACTAGATGTGCTTATTTTAACAAATGGGGATACCTTTAATGTGTTCATATGAGAATTTCCCTTTTGTTAATTTCAACTATTGCAGGTTAGAGAATTATGACTTCACTAAATGCATAAGTAAGGCTAAAATGTGTCAAAAAGGCTCATTTTAGAGATTTTCAGGAAGCATTTGTCTAATATTTGAACAAGAGCATGTCTTTGACTCAAGCTGATTTTAGGAGAAGATATGGTCAAAAATCCATTTGGATCACAGACTTCTTCATCCTAAGATTTTCTCTGGAAGAAAGGAAATTTGTCTTTTTTTCACTCATTTTTTCACTCATTTTTGCCATTTTGTATTTGATCATGCTTAAATTCCAAAACTTGCATTCGCATGAAATAATCTTGTCAGCCATTGACACATTTAATAGTTTTTATGCCAACATTTCAAAGTTTTCTGTTGACATTTCCAGTGGGCCTAACAGAGCCATGAACGTACCTCATCCTATCACTGAACGTATGTCCTGGATGTCTTTGGCCATCACCTGTCAACCATGATGCAAATTTTACTTATGAAACCTAACAAAATGTTTGCATCCTTGTGTTTCTTTTTCACCTAAATTTGAAAATGATTGAACGTTTGAAAAATCTTAATAACATTTATCTTTGTAATTGCTGGACTGGTGAAAGTGAAACTTGGCCCTCATGGTACTACAATGCTGACACCAACGGCTTTGAACAAATTTGTGATCCATTTGTTAATTGTATGAAGAAATTTAAATAGTTATAAAAAAAATATCAATTGACAAAGAGTATAATTTTTTTTTCCATAAACCACATGGTCTTGAAAGGGAGAACATTTTGCGAATGATAATTACTTTAAGCAATTTACCGTTGTGTTCAAGGCTTCATGATCAGTGTTCAACTTCATCTCTTGTAGATGCAATCACATTAAAATGTTACCTCCGTTTCGATACAGAGAGGGGTATAATGGATGTAAAAGGTCTGACTTTATTGTGATTGCTTGTAGATGACGCAGGTGTAAGTTTTTACCCTTTCTCAGAAACTGCAGCCCCAAATGCCAATTCATTCAGGTTGATGTCACCATCTGGGAGTTCACATATAAAATTTCAACAAAGTTCAAAATTTGATTTAGGCAAGACCCGTCAAATTGTTTTTTCAGAATCCTGTCACTTTCAAGCCATTTTCACACACAAGCATCCCTGTGTTTACTGGGTATGTATTGGGCACCAATGCTGGTTGATAGAGGCGACCAAATTGATTGGTGGTCAGACTCGGTGATTTGGTTTATGGTATGGGTCATTGCTCGCAATATCGATCCCTGGATTGTCTGGTCCATTCTTGATCATATACAGGCGACTGTCATAAAGCTCAAATATTGCAGATTGCGGCGTTAAACAACAATTTCATTTTATAATTTGCAATTACATTAAATTTTTGACTAGTTGTGTCCCACTAGTACCAGCTGAAGTGAAAGGATAGTATTGTTTGCCCCCAAAAAGGATCTTCCCAAATGATGTGTGTGTACACAGCATTTGGGAACAGGCCCCTTGTTGTACTAAATATAGATGATTAATATTCAGAAAATATTTTTTTGTTTCTTATACACAATTTTGGGACACACATTTTTCAAAATGGCAATAAGGTGGAATGTCTTCTGTATATTGTCATTGTTTATTGTCATATTGAAGAAGTATGAATATGTATATTAACCTTTTGTGGCAGGCTCTATCCACAAGTGTGGGAAGAATAAATGGATAAAGTAGTTCTTCATTATATACTGCTCAATTTGTTATAGGAATATTCTGAGTGTCAAATGCCCAATTGCACAAAGCGATCTT